TCTACAGAAAGGTGTGGAAACCCTTGTCTGTGAAAACATTTTTTCAGAATATTGGCTTTTTCCCCAACTTTAATTAAAAAAAGAAACGATACCGAGTTGTTAAATTTTATGTTGCTTTTTATAGACAGCTTTGATATCTTGTGGCAACATTCATGATGCTTGTGATTTATATCATTCCCGTTTTGTACATTGTATGCTTATTTTCGACTACTATTTAATCACAAAAAATTCGTTAGAGATTTAAATGTGATTGGAATGCTAACTCATATCATCTACAGAAAGGGGTGGAAACCCTTGTCTGTGAAAACATTTTTCAGAATATTGGCTTTTTCCCAACTTTAATTAAAAAAAGAATCAATACAGAGTTGTTAAATAGTTGTCAAATATTTTTATATTTGTAGGTGAAAAAGCAGAATAAGCTTATCTCAATAGTAAGGACTTATAAGGTTAGTCAACACTTATTTAATTAGATCACTCAGGATCGATGTTCGTAGAGTTAGGCAAGGATTGAAAGAAGTTCGGGTAGCTAAGACTTAAATGTTCTACATGGAAGATTATTAGAGTATTTATTCTTTATATCACCCAAATGATTGACAAAATGATTTCAAAGAATAATGCAACCTAAAATAATTCTTGCTAACTTTTTATAGCTAAGAAGACATATGTATTACACTTGAAAATAAGTACTTGTTTAAACTTTTATAAAGTTACTTTGGTGACTAATATGGATATGTGACACTAGAATTTGTTTCGAATCAGAGATAGTTGTTTTATAAGTAATTTGCATTTATTTTTTTTATTTCAGATGTTATCATGACTTCAGCAATGACTAGATTTTATAAACAAGAATTAATCAGTTTATATGTGAATGTGTGATAGTGAAAATAATAGTATAAATGAAAAATTTTAATTTCAGTTATCTTTTGATATACTTTTTGTGCCATTTTCCAATATCTACATCCAATTAAATTTTGTAAAGCTGACGTCCTGAACTTTTTTAGGTTAGTCTTCCGTTCCTTTTGAATTCCAACCGAAGATGAAGACCTACATCAGCTTTCACTGTACTGAATACTCATATTACATGTGCCTATACAAACAACCTTATATTGCTTGGTCTGCCAAATGTTCTATGAAATAAATTTCTTAATAACTTACATCTCTTTTCAAAGTAAAATTACACTATATAAATTTAGTGCGTCCAAAACACTTTTCTAGAAATGATTATTTTTTGAACGCTCAAACCCAAACACTTAAAAGCCAAAAAAGTATAAATACATGTACCTTTAAAAATGTGAAAAGCAATATAAGTTATAACTTAAAGGGAAATAAAAGGTATAGTCAAATTCATTTAATGTCAACTTCGCCTGATGATATTTAAACCTTAGTTTCTTGATGCTTTCTTCAATTCACCAACAGAAAATTTAAGAAAGGATTGTTTTAAATCATGTCAGGACCGAAGCACTGACTTCTGAGTTAGTGATACCCACCAGGACTGACAGTCCATCAGCAGCGGTATTGATCCAATTATAGAAAACGAAAATTAAACACTTTATAGAATTTCGTGCATCCTAACTGTCCTCCTAACTGAACTTGGGCATTCAATTGTCTAAACCGGGTTTCATGATTACTGTCTAACTTCCCTAGCTAGGGGCGTTGTGAATTAGATAAGGGTTCTTAAATAATCAAAGCGTCTAATAGTGAACACACAGTTTAAGGTCTTTACATCGTATCACAGTATATGATATTTGTCTATTCTTAGATATAAACACTTAAAGATAGATTAAATGCATTAGTCCAATTTTGTGTATAAAAATGTAGAAGGAACAATCATACTTTGTTAAAAATTCACTCTCATTGATAAAAGTACTCTAAAACTGACATAATCATGATATTTCTTCTTTTTAATATTTACAACTTTTTTGTTATCTAAGGTGGACGTTTTTTTCAGCCTCCCAATGGAACCAACTCTACTCTCCTTTTCGATGTTTTTTCCCCTCTAATCATTGAGACATGCTTCATAATATTCTTTCTCAAGCGGAAAGAAAAGATCGCGTTATGCTATAAAATTGGGTTGGTTGAGAACTCAACTACAAAAAGAACACTTATCCTATTGTAAACTTTCAAGTTTTATGAAGCAGCACCTGCATTTGAATTATGTTTCTCTCAGGTAATATGAAATTTCATGGTTTACGTTCCCTATCATGGTTACTGCTTGAGGACACCATTTAACGAAATTTAACTTATCATTTTAATTTTACTTGCTTTAAGTAACACGACTGTCGCCGTAAGTTGAGCTGATTACCATTTGAAGCACCCGAGTTCACTCCGGTTTTTAGGTTCGGTTCGTGTTGCTCAATCTTCAGTTTTCTGTGTAGTAAATTGATGACTTGTTTGCTTTGGTTTTCTTTTGTTAACCCCAGCTTTTTTAAGTGGTCGGTATGTAGTGATTTGGTATCCGTCTGTTCGTCCTTCCATCCCACTTAAGTATCCGCTACTGCTCAACTACTGTTTCAACTCCATCAGGCAAAGTTAACCTTAGATGGATTTGGCTACTTTTTATGTCCTTTTTGGTAATACAGCTCTTCAAATGTTTCGGTTCTTATATATCCTTGGCTTTCAAATATTCGGCTTTGAGCGTTCCTGATGAAGGTAAATCCAGAAAAGCGCTTCGGAAGCATAACATTTATAACGTGTTGTTTTCATTTTTTACTTACCTAATATACATTTACACCTCATATAATAATTTCTTCATCGGAATATCTTGGGAGTTACATGTCATGACAAAGATTGTTTTATATCCACACACTACAATACAGGTTTATATCCGCTTCTCTTCATTAACCCAAAATCAAATTGAAATGACACTCTCTCAGAATTTTAACTTTACTATGTTTTTTAAACATTTATTTGTTTTTTTATCCGAATTATGTTTGAGGTCATTGATTTCCAGATGCTTTATTCTGGGATTACACAATTTATATGCCCAACTCCTCTTAAACCCCATTTTGAATTTGAGGAAAACGTTCTCAGAATAACTTTGCCATTGTTTTATTTTGGAGCGAGTGTATCATTTGTAAGCTTTACTGTCAGTACATTTAGTTCATGCTTGAGGAAGATTCGGCAAGAACTGGTGTGTCCGTTAAACTAGTTGATGACGAAATAGGCCATATAAATGTCACGTTATATTCAGATGTTAATAGTTAAAGAATGTGTCAACTTCTATTTATATGTGAATATAATATATAGTTTAATGTATGATCATTTAGATGAAGATACAAGTAGAAAATCGCAAATTGTATTTTACATATAAATATAACTCTGTGTAGAGAATGTTTACAATTCTCTAAATATATAAAACGACTTCGCCAATTCTATGCAACAATTTTATAAAATTAGTGTTAAAAAAGCTTGATGCTATTTATGACTTGAGCTTTTGGGGATTAGGATTTAAAAGGGTAATTTTAGGTTCGCATCAATAGCATAATCATTTTTGTTGGAATTATCCTACTTTCAATGTATAATTGAATACACAAATATTCCAAGTTAATAACATTATTTTACTGCACCAGATGCGCATGTCGACAACAGATGTCTCTTCAGTAATGCTCGAGGCCAAAATATTTGAAGATCCAAAGAGCTTATAAACCACAAAAAAAAAGCCAAAACCAAGCAAGGAATCAGAGCTTTGCACGGGGTGATATATTCCTGAATTTAAAATAATTTCTTAAATTTGGTAACAGCCCATTTTGATAACCTAATATTTGTATTTGCATGCCAGTACCGAAGTACTAGCTACTGGGCTGGTGATACCCTCTGGGACAAACAGTCCAACAGCAAAGGTATCGACCCAGTGGTAGTCATAACAATAACGGTACCAATTTGGTCTTTACAAGATATGATGTTCATTAGAACTTGAAGCAATCTCAGCGATTAAAATTCGGAACTTTTTTTAGGTGGTTAATTTTATCACTTATTCAACAAAGTTGTCCTGTTTGACGATATTTCAAAACACAAATAAATATGCAGATATTATGCCAAATAAATTCGGTTCAAACGAAATATGACAGTATAAGATAAGACTTAACACAAGCTAGTTGCTTAATCCTTTAATTTTTGCGGAATTACCAGTCCTGACTGAATTTTTGTTGTTTGTATCAGTTTTTTTCTGATTCTACAAATTCTAATGAAGTTTATGTATAATGTTTCTTTACAAGACCCCGTCTTGTATATAAGATAAATATATATATACAATATATATTGTGAGCTGCCTTAAGCATCTATGCCATACAAGATAACATCTCTGTAAATACTGTATTATGCCGCATCAAATTAGGTAAACATTGGCTCTAAGAGCAAACTTTATTTGATTAAAATAGAATATCAACGCATCCACAAGAATCATTATTTGGTGGATAGCTTCGACATTCAATATATTTTTATTATGACCCATAGTTGCAATTCATTTCGAATACGATATACAGAAATTATAGGATTATCAAATATTAGGCACTTGTGAACCGAAAAAATAATTCCCAAGAAAATTTATAAATTCAAGTCTTGACCCCTGTTAAACTACATACTGCATCAAGGATATGTACCTCGGGACGGTTGCTAGTCTTTACAAAAGAATCTTATTTTAAAAATCAATTTCACTGTGTACATTACCATTCAGTTTATATATTTTGGGAAATAAATCTAAAGCTACTTTAGATAAAGGAATATGAAACACACAACGTCAAACTATTTTCTATTTCTTTAATCTAATAGAATATATTGCACATCAACACATTTATAAATATTTGTAACAAAAAATATTCCTTCATGCAAACAATAGAAAAAGTATATTGCAAAAGTAAGATGAAGAAAGATGATGTGGTTTATATACAAATTGTTTTATATATATATATATATATATATATAAGTCTAAATTGAAAACAACGTTCAAACCTATGATTGCGTTGGATAAAAACCGCAATTTTTATACGTGTGCATGCAAAACAAATTTCTTGTTAGAGGGGTCATATATATATATATAAAACTGTTTGAAGGTAATCAATTATTATACAATGATTATAAGGTAATAATGAAGTCTTTGTATTGCTATCATAGATTAATATCAAACGGAAGGGTCCTGTTAATTTAATATCATTTTTTGTTTATTTTCTGAGAGATTCCATTGACATTCCTTTCACTATACATCCACCAATCCAGTGATAGAATGTCATAAATGCTGTCTTATCTTCTTCGGTAAAGCTTTCACCAAGAGCTTTGGTAATTGCATGAACAAGGCATTCACCAAATACCTAGATGATAAAAGAGTTTCATGTTCATTAAAATTACACTTTCAATTGTTAAACAATATAGAAATTGATTACTTAATTTTACATAGAACTAAATGAGCAATTAATACATATATTAAGATATAAACAAAGATTTATCAATAATAACCGGATCTAAATGTCAAGTTACAGATGAAAGTCAAGACATGATATATACCTGGCAATTCATATCTTTTTTGCTGTGAGTAACATGAATGGTATGACTATCGGAGCAGGAACCGCTAACCTTTCTGTATCGACCACCTGAGTTCACACGAGAGTTTGTTGGTGTATGTATTGCTCAATTTTTGGTATTCTGATTGATGTTTTGTTTATTGTTGTTTGTTTTTATGTCGTTTATTTTTTTGCCATGGTGTTGTCTGTTTTTATGTCGTTTATTTTTTGCCATGGTGTTGTCTGTTTTTATTCGACTTACAATTTTTGATTGTCCTCTTGGTATCGTATCTTTCTTTTAGTTAACGTTTTTCCAGTTATATTGCTAAATTGGCATTTTTGGAAATATAAATTTAAGAATGATACATAATTAAAAAAGAGGCGGAATATACCCAGTGGACATTCAAAACTTATAAGTCGAGATAAACGGACAACGCTATTGCAAAAAAAAACTCAAAAAAAAACGAAGGAGGACGAAGAGACAAACAAGTTCACAAAACAATTTATAGAAAACTAAATAATTAGCAACACGACCCCCACATATTACTGGGGTTTATATCTGGTGTTCCGGGAAGATAAGCAGATCTGCTCCACTAGTGTTGCTAATGGCGAGTACAAATTCGGTGATGTTTCAATCGAAGAAAAGAGGACGAGATTTTAGTTATGATAACAATCTAATTAAAATATAGAACTCTGATTTCGTTATACTCCATATGAGCTCATATGTAGTATAACAAAATCAGAGTTCTATATTCTAGTTAGATTGGTTATGACAATTGGATCATATCCATGGTCATCTGTACACAGATATCACACACAACTTACGAATTGATAATTTTAACTTTACTACTTGGAGTCCTTGATTCAATAGCTTTTTTAAAAGCAGCAACCCTTTAACAAGAAAATCATGATAGGAAACGCAGGTTCTGGAATATAGTATCATCTTGGAGATATATACTCAATATGCAGGCGCTGCTGGAATGTTGCTACATACAAATGGAAATTTATGATTGGAAAACTGAAATCATCGTTTTTTGCCGTCAAGTTTTGTTCTCAATTGACCCTCATTGTCAATTCCTAGATGGAAGTCAAGATATGAGGCAGATTTGATTGTAAAACTGGAAATATTGACGAGGATGGAACACAATCATCTAATGGACTACTAGAGCGACGCATGAGAGGTCAGAAGTCTTGAAAGATAATGGGAACTTTGAGCAGTGCAGCCGTTAAACCAGAATAGATCTTGGCAATCCGAAACCGTCTAAAGTCTTATCTGACGGATATGGAGGTCTTTTTTTTTAGTAAAATGATATACAAATAGTTAAAACATACTGTAAATGTGTTTCTATAACGTACTACCGAACTCTAATATGTATAAACATGTATTATATATATAGTATAATTATCATTATGTAAAATTATGACCGTCTCCAAATAAAATCCTCCTCAGAAGAACGTCCAAGATTGACATTGCCTGAAGGAGTTCGATATATAGTTTCAAGAAATTGGAGTTAGAGTTTCGAAAAAATACAAAATTAAGATATTTTAACATCAAACTTTTCCAGAATATTTTAATTTCTTGTAAATAGTCTTTTTCTTTAATATCAATATTTCAAATACATCCCACCCCTTCTTAAGACTTGAAATTCTCAAATACACTTTTGACAAAAAAAAAAAAACGGTTACATTTTGGTATTATTGTTACATCTTTTTATACAATTCAATAATCACGGATTCCTATACTTTAATATAAATGTATGCAAAGATTTCGTTATCTGGCCAAAATTCAAAGTTTTCAGGTGTTTGTATCTCAAAACAGCACATGGATCTATTTTAATTTTCCGTTATTATGATTTATTCATTTTTGATTGAATAAGACTCGTTAGTCTGTTTTAATTTCAGCTGTGATCATCTTTAATACTATTAGTTATCATCATGTATCTTCACATCATTTCGGTGAAATGCAACGACTAATGGCGATTATATTCTTGTCATTACTAGTGCTCCCGCATTCTTCTAGTTACATTATATTGACACATATATTTTGAAGCTAAACTTACGAGGTAGAAATTCTGGTTTACTCCATAGTAAAAATGTCTTGTACCTAGGTCTACAATTATTGGTGTCACTGATGCTTGATCATCAATCATACTAATAGAAAAGCCCATTGTATCAAATAATAGTTTGACATGTGCCTTTACTTTTGCCCACCTTTCTGGGTTACTCTCGTCAAAATGAAATAGTTTCTTTGTCTCAGGTTTCAGTTCAAATAACCTTAAAATATATTGTAAATTACAATAATAAATTCCTTTTGTTCCTAATTTGAAATAAATCATTGACATACAAATGAACATTCTTTAATTAGAATTCTATTCTTTTGGAAAAAAAATATTGTGAACATTTTAATTACAAAAAAAATTCTTATATTTCATATTATCTCTATCTATGGCCATACGTTTTAAGCTTTGAACTATAGTGATCACTTTTAAACATAAACTTGTATGTAAAATTTATTATATTTTTCATGATAAGTCATCTTATGCTTGTTTGAAGAACTTTAGCTGACAACCTTAAAACCCATTTTGATCCACTGAGTCAATAATATGCATATTTAATTTGATACATTTTATTATAATGTAACATTACTAGCAGATGAATGATTTAAGTCATAATGAATATAACGACCTTATAAATAAATGTAATGGAATGTTTACTTTTCAAACATTGGTATACCAAGCTCATACATGTCTTCTTGTTTTTCTGAAAATCTGTTCCATGTTTCCTTTATCCTGGACCTAGTATCGTCCGTCATACCAGGAAATCCTACAAAATAAACGGAAATGGTACAATGATAATAAGATCAAAACATGTAAATTTTCGTACTTTCTATACTTATATGTATGGCAAGCCATTCTCGTCAAAACTATGTTTAAACCATTTTTCGAAACAATTACACACTGAGAATTAAAAAAAACCACACTGAGATTAAAAACCCTTAAAATACACACTGAGAATTAAAAATTACACGCTGAGATTTCATAAAAACGCACTGAGATTACAAAAAATGAAAAACACACACTGAGAATTGAAACTGATGATTACACACTGAGAATTGAAAGTTACACAATGAGATTTCAAAAAAGCATACTTAATCTGAATCTATTACAAGCTTAAAACAACTAGGGGACAGAACTCGTGAGTCCTTCAATTTGGCGCTAAATGTTTTATAAAAAACATTAAAAATACAACCGTATAGAAAAACTACGTTATCAAAGACCAATAGAACAAGAAAAATACCCACTTACTCTCATTGCAAAATATAACCAAATGGTGAAAAACTTTACTAAAATAATAAAAACACATTGGAACAATCTGCAAAAATACCGAAACAATGCAGTGAATTTTTTTCCCAAGTGCCTATTATAGCATATAAACGTAACAAAAATATAAAAGATTACCTTGCGAAATCAGGGTAACAGCTGAAAGACTTTTGAAAAGGGACCATGCTTAAACAGTTTTAAGCAAAAATCCCGATATACTGTTACTAATAATCTGAATTATAGGCAACAAATTATGAATATGAGTTAGAAAAAAAAGTTGTTAAGTCTGGAAATTTATTACGAATGTTGGTTGTAGGAACCGCATTTTATTATAATGACAAGAGTTCGGGAGACCAAGATATTAATCTGTTGAATTATTCATCTCATTAGTAATTTGCATTAATCTAAGTGTGTATTTTTGAAATCTCATTGTGTAATTAACAATTCTCAGTCTGTGTTTTTCAATTTATTTCATCTCAATGTCTTTTTAAAATCTCAGTGTTTAATTTTAAATTCTCAGTGCGTGTTTTTCATTTTTTTAAATCTCAGTGTGTAATTTCGATTTCTCAGTGTGTTATTTTAGGTTCTTAAATCTCAGTGTGATTTTTTTCATTCTCAGTGTGAAATTTTTTCGAAAAAATGGTTTAAACATAGTTTTGACGAGAACGGCTTGCCATATATATGGACTATAGTTTATTTTGCTAGCCATGCTTAGTTATTGGAATGATTTAAATGATAAATGTTGACTGTAACTTTCGAGTTTATTAATCAACTGTGTGATTATACATAAACTAAGCTTGTAGTTCCCTCATACCCAGTTGAACTTAGATGATTCGCTATTCTGTGAAGCTCTTTTTGGTTTTAATGCTCTTATATATTTTACAATTTCCAAGATTTTCGTCTCGATCGTATTTGATGAAACTTGTAAACAGCAATAATTGTCCTTTCCTAGATTTAGATTTTCAGTTTTACGCGTGAAACTCTATTAAATATTAACGACAAATGAGACGTTGGTCGTTCCCTGTTGTTAAGTTTTGCTCATTGTTGAAGGCCGTATGGTGACCTACAATTGCTTATACATCTACATCATTTAGACTCTGTTGGATAGTTGTGTCGTTGCCAATCATACTATATATATCCTAACTTTTATGTTTACTATTGAAACACGTCAGTGGCGTGTGCACAGAAGTCGTTACAGCTGCCGGTGGACTATCATTCCCGATGTCACCAATCATCCATTAAACTAAGGCCTGCTCAGTTTAGACCCTTCTGGCTTATCTTTCTCTCATTCATTTTGTATTTTTGGCTTTCAAATCGTTCATATCTGATGGTTACTTCATAAATGCGTTTTCTTCACAAAACGCTAAATGATAACAGTTGTTATGACAACTTTTGATTAGCACGACTAAACTTGTATATTTGAATAAAACATCATTTCTAACAAAACTAACATTTGCCTTTAATATATTTTGTTTGAAAGAATTATGTACTGTATTATCTGTGGTCCGCATCCTGGAATCCCAAGCAGAATTGGTCCTGTTTTAACAGATAAACACAATAATACTGTTGTCGTTAACTACAGATTATTTTATTGTATCTACTGCTCTACTGCTCAATTATTGTTTTATGTTCACAATGTACACAAAAACTTTACAGCATCGTTAACGTTCTGAAACATTGTTTCGAACAATTCAATGTAACAACATTTGAAAATGATAAAAAAACAATAGACTTTGACTATTTGTATACGTCAATGAGACAGTAAAACCGAGATATACTAGTATTCTAGACAGCATATGGTTTCAACAATAGAAGATGTGAGTTATTTGTAGAGACATACAAAAATCTGCCATCAACACCAAGTTCTTTACATGTAAAAACACTAAGATTTTAACGAAAACAACTCTTTTGGAGGTTCCTTATTTGAAACACATAAATGAACGAAGGTTTGATTGAGGGGGGAGGGGCAATTCTTGTGTTCTTCAATTTTGTAGGCCGTTTTCCCCTATTCTTAATTTGTTTGTCATTCATTCTCTATTCTTTATATTTTAACACCCCAATTTTCTCTAATCTTTATATTTCAGCACCCAAAATTTATTTGTTCTTTATTTTTTCGCCTATCTTTCTTTATTCTTTATTTTCTTTGACTATTTTTTCCATTCTGTATTTTTTGGCCCATTATTTTGTATATTGTGTAAACCCTAAACAGAAAAGATTGTCTAATACCATAGATATAATAATAAATGGCTATTATATCTATGCTAATACCCAGCCCCCTCCTTCCTTTTTTATCTCGATCAACAGAATAAAACAAAGGCACATACTATAAAGAATAGTTAAATTCAGTGCAGTAAAGGAACTGAACTCTATAATACTTCTTAATCATTAAATGGGACCTTTTAAATAAATTAAATATATACTTACCGTCCGACATTGCTTTAAGTAGTCCTTGCTGTTTATTAATGTTCCATCCTTCCTTAAAATAGAAGAGAATATGTTTAATTAACACCACCACCACATACTAATGTTTTTGACCTAGTCGGCCTTGTCAATGGTTCATTAGTTGTAGTTGATTTTAAAGGTTTACCCCTTTTCGTGTAAGTAAATATTTAAAGAACTGATGTCAAATGTTCATTGATCACATGGATTTCGTATCTTCTATAGGATTTAGAACTTTTACAAACAGAATAGACGTTTGTGTATGACGATTACTCTCCCTCTCTCTCTCTCTCTCTCTCTCTCTCTCTCTCTCTCTCTGTTTATACCCAAACTTGAATGCGTAGCCTAGATATGACTATTGATATTTAGTACAATGGCAGATCCATCAAATCATTAAAGTAGATATTGCATGAAAGAACTGACCGAAAAAAATAACAAAATAACCAAATGAATGAATAAATGTATCAGAATGAATGAATAAGTGTATCAGAATGAATGAATGAAGGAATGAATGAATGAATGAATGACTGTGAGTGAATGATGAATGACCGAGTGAAAATCACAAATAATTCACGAATGCACAATTCGTATGGGTGAATTATCACTTTTAAGGAAAAATAACATGTTATCGGTCTTCTCTCTGATTGTATCGCTCGGTCCAGCTCTTCGCAAAATTGCATATTACGGCGTTTTAATTTGTTGAAATTCTTTGTTTATTCACATACCCCCTAGACCTCTGTGCACGGAGTCTAAACATAAATTAAAACATACAACTTTGAAAACTTGTCAAATACGTTGACCCGGCCGAGTTAGCTTTGATTTGGACTAATCATGGATGTAAAGATGTTTAAGTTTTCTACCCATTGATATCGTAAAATATCTATCTATAATATGTAAAGCTCTAAATCGTCACAGGTTTGTAGTAACAATGTCCATGACTTAAGAATTCAGCACATATAGCCCAATTTATTTTTGTATTTCTATACTACTAATCTTCAACAGGATAAATAAAACATGCCAGTTTAAAGATATTAATGGCAGATACTTGAATGTAGGTTGTCAAACAATACCACTGTTTGAAATTAAGCCTGATTGCATATCTTTTTTGAGAAGTTTTCTAGGTGATTGATTTTGTTTGATTTGTTTGACATGCGTTCATAGTGTTTTTAATAAAGGTTAGGTAGTAAAGATTAGGAATCTATCTTACATTTTGTATTCATATAATGTACAGTGTTATATGTAACCTATGATATCACCTATAGTCTTAGTTCACCATATCTTTAATAAATGAGACACCAGTTAAGAAAACTTATGGAGTAAACAATATATAGCAGTAGAATATCTATAGTTATTTGCTTAGCTTTGGTAATTCAATATTTGACAATACAAATAACAATAAATATGTATACAGAATACTTCGCATGAAATTTAGCCAAACAGAGTTATATCTGCAAATTTGTGGCAGCTGATTTTTGTTCTACCCTCAGTAGGATTTGAAGCCATGTTTCTTTGACATCGCCGTCATTGTGTCGAGCGCCCTAGACCACTCGGCCAACTATGCTATATAAAATGTAGCTTTCGTTAGTCGTATAATGCCTTCCCTCGTCGGCTTCATATAGGATTGTAACACAGTACACGAAACATTGCGGTATGTTGTTGTACCTTGCAGATCAGCTGAATTTTGTGTTGTTTTTGTTTGTTTGTCAACGTTTAATAATATCATTTTATAAATATTGTCTTAATATGTACCAACTTTACGACATGCGTTTTTCATCGGATACCCTAGGATTTAACAGGGTAAACACCACAATTTATATATATACTACGTCTGAAATCTAGCCCAACAAGCACCAACAATGTTATATCTGCAATTGTGCAGAAGAAAATTTGTGTTCCTCCCTTAGTGAGATTTGATGCCATTGTTCTGTGACATCGTGACAACACCGTATATTCATTGTGTCCGGCGCTCTAGACCACTCATCCAACTAGGCTATATGAAAACGTAGTTTTCCTTGCTAGTATTGGGTATTTCCTTACGTCGTCGGCTTTATCTAGAGGTTTAAGACAGTACATGATGTAACATGTATCTAAGAAACGTACATAATCACTAAAACTTTAAGTTGACCAGTAAATCATGAAACTGAGGTAAAGGTCAGAAGAATCCTGTCATACTGACATGTATAGCATATAATCATTATTTACAAATAGTTGAGGTTTTACCTAGATTATCTCAGAGACGGACCTTACTATGAAAATGAGGTCATGTTCAGATGAATGTTAGACAGAATGTCGCATTCGAGACAAAAACTTATACCATATTTAGTTATCTATATCATACTTGTTTAAAAAAAGACCGGTTCAAAGGCCAAATAAACAGGAATGTATGTCCACTGACCCCTCATATACTGATGTGTAAAGCATGCACATTTTGTACAATACAGATGTTGTTATCACCAAACATCTTATAATTTAACCATGTTATTTTGTTCGCCATGTCATGGAATAAAACTTTATATCAATTTTATCAATTGTGCTCGATACTTTGAAGGTATGAATAACATTCAATAAGCCATTTTTGCATTTTAAAGTCAATTATACCAACAATCAATGAAAACCCATTTAGGGGATCATTTAAGTAATCGTTCAGCTTTCTATTACAATTGAATGTGTTTTACCATTTGGGAGATTTAAAAAAAAAAGATTACTTAATTATCGTATAGTATAACAAACGTCAGAATGAATATCAAATGTATATATCAGATAAAAATAGTTCAAAGAGGTTGCATTAGTTGTTTGACAAATTATGTATAGAATATAACATAAATGAACTCGAATCTTTATGTTTTCACTATAAGGATGATTATCAACAAGTAACGACTCGTACAAACAATAATGTTTTTATTTTAGTATTGATTTACTGTCAAAAAGAATATTCAATTTAACAGGTTTGAATATTTAATGCAAGATGAAACATATTTTAACATAATATCTGTTTTTGTAAAAGCATATATTGTGTTGTACATTTAACTTTTAACATTATCCAAATTAAATTATTCTCAGTTTGAAAACATCGCAGGGAAAGCTTCGTTAATAGCTTTGTGATTTGCCTTCTTTAAATGCAAAACGGCTATATTTATGAGAATCGGGTTTTAAATAAAACCAAAGGAAATTCAGCGATTAAAATACTTTTCATTTTCAAATGCTTTGTTGATCAAATTCGACCTACAAATAGTCGAAGTTCACTTTAAAAGACATCAAGGTCGGTATAAATGCTCTGTCATTGACACATAGGAATTTCAGAATATTTGTTGAATTGAACAATGGTCATTGTCGTATAACAAACAAAAAGCACACATTGTATGGTAGATTTTAACTTCTACAACGTACAAGTAATAGCTTTTCTAAAAAGCTAGCCGTCTTTAGCTGATGAAAGTGGAAAATGTTTTCGCTTTGTAGTTTAATTCATTCAGAATAGCCTTGTATATCAATTGTAGTGGATTACAAAACTTATAGAAGTCTTATACATTTTTTTATATTTACCAATATCTTTTTTGGGGGAATGTATTGATACTGGAAACGGAGGGGTAATGTCTTAATCATCTGCGTTTGTAGCAAACTTTTGAAAATATTTTTTTTCAGTTTTTTCTGATAGATGGACTTAGTTTTTTACAGTTAACATTTACAGACAGTCTGGTATTAAACTTTTTTTGACATTTTTAAACCTCCGTGGATTGTTATGAAACTTGGACATAAGCTAATCTTCAAGACCAGGAAAAAGCATCTAAAGAAAAGTTTGATTTTTTTTTAAATTCTTTATACTCATAAATGGACTCACTTTTTAAGTCAACATTACATCTTTACACTGATAGCAGCAATCGCAGGCGAGACACAGGGTTCCGCAGAACCCCTTATGAATTTTTTGCTATTAAGATATTTTTGTACATGTAATCACAACTGTGCTATATATTATAGCTAGACTTGGGAGGATAAAGAACTTAAAATATTGTAATGACACGTCCATTGTAAAAGACCGTATGTTGAACTTTAGAAGTAAATTGTTTTGTTTGTTATTTAATTGGTTTGCATTTTAAATACATTATGAATACTTCACATCTCCTTTTAAACCATGCATAAATATCAAATATTGCTTAGAATATGCTAGCATACATGTATAATTGCTTTTATCGTCTGAGAGTAGTTTTGTTTTATTTTTCTTATATTTCCCTTTGAAGTTTTTTTTTTTAGTCTTCTGTTCTTCAACGTCTGCTATCCTGATATGAAGAACTATGGAGAGCTGGACAACGTCCAATCCAACCCACACCCGGGATCCCCTAAAGATCTTGGGGTATGTGGAAAAAGGGGGGCACTTATTATAATGAGTGGAAGGGATGAGCCGCTGGTCGAGAAATTTAGGTGAAATATATAACAAGGTCGATGATTGTGAATCTGAAACTATTCAGATGTCGATATTTTTTTTACAGATGCAATTAAAATTACTGTCGTAAATGCTTAATTAAGACACTTGCAAGCAAAAACTATTCATCTCCCGTTGAAATATCGTAACAATGATAGCTATATGTAGGTATAATTATTGTAAAAAAATATGATAGCTAGGGTATGTTCTTTTGTTATTCAAGATATATGAAAAGGGTGGGGTATTGGATGTCTCAGCTAGTCACCCCTACCATAAAAAGGTCGAAGTGCCGCCGCCCCCTGAGATAAGATATAAAGATTCCATTGTAAACTAATATTAATTGAAAATAAATGATTTGGATATATCCGTTTTCAATGTTTTTTCTGCCTTTTGATTATCTTACTAAGAATTAATATCTATAACCTAAGAAAAAAAGCATGCGCGGTGTTTTCCTATGTTTTCATGTATAAAATGTACGTAACTTGGCAGTGAGCGACTGGATAGAATGTGAAATAATCACGTGTGTGTTTACAAAATTTTAGGAGTTTCGGCTATTTATAGATAAGTGTTACCTGTGTACCGATATGCATGATTGGTAACCAGGCAAAATCTAATTGCTAAAATAAAGAGTTCAAATCCTACACTCTACGTGATTAACAGACATTTACTAGGTTATGATTGTCCCAACCAATCAACGAACTTCACTATTATAAAGTCAGTAATTATCTTCCCATCAGATAGTAAGAAGCATTCAGCCCGCAGACTGTGCATCGTTCAACTCTTAAGACCGTCTCCACAATAGACCAAAAATTAAGACTGTGTTACGTTCAAAAACCGTGAATCTCTCTCTCTCTCTCTCTCTCTCTCTCTCTCTCTCTCTCTCTCTCTCTCTCTCTCTCTCTCTCTCTCTCAGATATTATCTTTCAAATTCTGTGTACTAATACATTCGGCACAGTCAAACGGTTGCCCCTCTTTAACATGTTTTTTTTACTGCAGAATGTCAGATGTCTATGTGGTCATATTTCAATATTCAACCTACCCATTGTGTTCGTGGTTTCATTAACGTATACCCTCATCTTTTATTTATAATAGGAAAGGGTCAAGAACTGTGCCACTTGTGAAAAGAAGTGTACAATGTTAGACAATACAGCTAAACATTCTAAAAGACAGTCAATATTAGCCACCGTAATTATCAGTTAAAACGCCTTTGTTGAGTTTTCTCATTATCTAGTGACAGAAAATATTGAATTACGTCATCAGATTTTTTTATTTAAGAATGAGAGATGTAAATTTCTTCTTTTCATCAAGTTAGCAAACTTAGATTCAGAATTTGATTTTTTTTACAAAAGTATTAAGCTGGTAAATTAAAGGATTACAAACGAAAAATGAGTAAAAACAAATTTCATTCTTTGCCAAATTGTAGTATATATTGTGATATGTTCCAACATGTAATAAAAAATTATAGGTCACCCATCTTGTTTTCAAGCTACAGGTTGTGAAAAAAAGACAAGTTTTGAATGGATTGTTTATAAAAAGAAAGAGCATCACAATGTGAATAGAAGGTAAACTGAATGATCGAATTTTAAAATAAAATATGAGAATATGGCTTTCATAACATGCTTTTAGAATATCAAAGTATAAAAATAGGGCCGCTGTACGTTTTTTTCCTGCTATAACATTAACAGAAAATTTTCCTGACGATTACTTCACAAATTATAAATCTAAGTTACCTCCCCTTAATACACAAAGTTTGAATTCGAAATCAAGCATACATATTCTATTATTTTTAGAAATAGGAAAAATTATAACTTAAGATCACATAAATTTGTTAATTGAAATGAAGATTCTTATTAGAACATTGTGTTTTTGCATCGAAATTTGACAACTTAATTAAAAATCTGCTATTATACAATCCAAGATGATGGAAGATACCGATCATTGTTCACGAGATTGTCAATTTATAAGTTGAAACACGAAATACTCAAGCTTCGGTTCGAAGGCCGCTGTACAGATATCTTTGTTTAGCTAGTGCTCATAGTGAGGCTATGTATAACACTAAAACCCAGGGAAGTCTAGCTTCAGACATTTTTTAACCCCGCCTACTTTACTGAACATAATTTTATTCTAATTTTGACATTATAACAGAATGCAAGTTTCTAAAGTCCGTTGACTGATGGAATTAGTTATCCTAACGAGCAATGGAAAATTTACAAATAATAAGAAAAATAAGAAAACCAGAACATGTCTGCACTACGTTTGTGAGCGTCAGATCATTACATAACGTTTACTCTGTCACTTACAACTTCTCTCTCTTATTGGAAAAAAGAAAGCATATCATGCTATGAAGGTACTCCCTTACATGCTTTTTTTCGTTATTTTTCTGAACTTTTGCCTCTCGTTTCCATGGTAACATCGGCTGTCATTAAAGCAAAACATATCTTCTTTGAAAATTGTTCGACCGTCTTTCTAGACCTTTTTATGTATACATGAATCAGCAATCAAATAAATGAAAAAAACGTATAAATCAAATGAACTGATGGTTAACTTACCGAAGAAGTCAGCTGTTATGTTTCAACTATGTTTTCCTTAATTAATGAAAGATCATTTGTAATCACATTGAAATATTATATTTCACGTTTAAATATCCTATCAAAGTTATAATGTAATTGATTTGATAGAATTTTAAACTATCTTAACGGTAAATTTGATACTTACCAGTCAAGTCAATATCTGTGCAGTTAATGAGAAAATTTTAAATCAAATTAGATTTATAGTCACCTATCTATACATTGATCCACTAATATCAAGAATGTAACCAATATTTTAAAGCAAGAAATGACTTTCCTTGACGTCGAATTAGGAATGAAATGGGATGTGCCGAGCAATAGAAGATGGCTCCAATATTACACTCATTAGATTGTATCATGAACAGTGCCACGGACCTCTGAAATAAATGTGAAATCAAACAACAATCCCTTGAACATGAATCTTAAATAGCAAACTGGGGATCAATATAAATATCCATGATATCCCTAATAGATAATCATGTGCATTTCTTTAGATGAAGAACAGCAAAAAAAGCGCTGTTCCTTTGCTTTTTGTGTGCGTGGTTTTTTTTTTTTGGTTTTTTTTGCTGTGCATGTACTGATTATGTGTCATGGATGGATACCCCATATCCTTTGTTTTTCTATTATATCCTTTTATCCATAATGACTTCCATCTGATGCAAAAAGTAAAATGACAAAAATACCGAACTCCAAGGAAAATTCAAAAAGGAAAGTCCCTTATCAAATGGCAAAAACAAAAGTTCAAACACATCAAACAAATGGAAAACTACTGTCATATTCCTGACTTGATACAGGCATGTCCTTATTAGTAGGGTGCCTAGTCAACGAATTTGATCGATTTGGGTTAACGGAATAACACACGGCTGTATTTGATATCATTGGAAAGAGGAAAACAAGCCTATCGAAATATTAATGTCGTCGTTGTCTACAGTGGTCACGATTTTCTTAAATTTGGGTCAAAGGTCAAAGCTAAAATTTCAAGGAAAACGCAGAGTCACGTTTAGACAGCTGGCCGCCCCTACATCTATGCGTTTATAGCAAAATAAATTCGAATAATTCAAAGGATTATGACTTTATTTTCTATATTTAGGACTAATTTGATATTTATGTTGCCAAATATGGTTCGAAATAGACATTTGTACTTATAGGGTGCACTTTTACAATTTCCATTCGGCTGTTAAATAACAGTGACCTTCGACTATCAAAATTTGAAAATTCGGAATTTTAATACAAGATTCGATACAAGTGATCACTAGAGGTGTTTTTTAGATATTAACGTTAATAAGTTGCCCTCCCAAAATGTTATTTTTCTTTCTTTTGATAGAAGGTGTTCGTAATGATTTTCTGGGTAAATACCCATTTTTCTTTTGGTGAGTGTGGAAGCACATAAAATTGTACATAGTTCTAAAACTGGTGTAATATTAACGCAGAATGGATTGAGTTAGCAGGTCTTGGCATATCTTTGCTTCGTAGAAATAAAAAAAGACTGCAAACGGTGAACAAGGGGGAGGGTTTCTGTTAAAGTATATATGAAAACAAAACGACAATTAAAAACAGGTTAATCACTCCATCTTACACTGACACTTGTTTACCTTATAAAGCATGAATTAGCCTAAAATTGACACGAGTTAAAGATTATCTACAAAAAGAGGGTTGTAAAGAACATCAATCTTATTGAAATATAGATCTCTGATTTCGTTATCCTCTTATAAGCTTATATATACGAGCACACGAGTTAATATAGATCAGAATTTTAATCAGATTGAAATTACAGAGAAAAATTGCCGAAGATAGCAGTAGCTATTACGTTTTATTGTCTACTGTTAAGTTGAAAGCCCACCGACCAGGTTTAGATTAGAGAGCTAATTTCAGTTGTTCTTTTTAAAATCGTATTCGAAGCAAGACGCAGAACGGAGGCATACAGCATAGAATGCAATCTGATGGTGGTGGCGGCGGCAACACCGTAAACTATTTGTATATCTTTATTTTTCAGAAGGTAAAGGAATCGGATGATTCATACTTTGTATATAGATCAATTGTGTTACGAAGTTCCCGTCTGTCATATAATCATTGTCCTTGACCTCATTTTTATGGTTTAGTGACTGCTAAAAAACTGTATTGCTTTTTTTACGTCATGTGAATGTCTCACTTGTGAGTTTGAATGTCCCTTTAGTATCCTTCGCATCTCTTTTGTCATGAGTTCTAGGATAACTATATTTGGTTACTAATATATGGTATCCTTGCAAGGTCTACATGTCGGTCATACATGGTTCACCTGACTTTGACTTCATTTCATACATCAGTGAGCAAGGTTAAGTTTAAATGGTCAAGTCCTTATCTCAGATACTATTTAAGTAGTGGGTCAAATATATTTGATGTAATGAATGGTAGTAAAGTGTACATGTCTTTGTGGCAGAGTTCATCTGACCTAACCTCATTTACATGGAACATTGATAATGTTGATTTTATGTAAGACTTGTATGATATAAAAAATAAGGAGATGTGGAAGTAAGCCGTTATAGGTGTCAGACCACAAATTCACTCCCTCCAATTTCGAACGAATGTAAAAGTAGCCCTACTCTGACACAAAATAGAGCTTTTGATGTCATTGTCACAAATTTGCAGAAATGAAACTTTTGGTAAAAGAAAAATATATTTAGACCATTTTAATCCAAAATTGACTTGTCTATGAGTTTGCATTTCAAATTGAGGATTAATGCGCTCAATAGTATACTAATTTAAGATTTCTAGAAAACCAGGGGTTATTTTTAGTATTGCTTGTCTTCCGAAAGGCAGTTCTTTCTTAGAAGATTTTAAACATGGGTTGAAAATAGGCACGTAGAAAGGTGATACATGTACAATTCAGGATATACCTGGTTTCTATGAAGTTAAACTTAAGGTAAAATATTTAGAAAGCTGTGAAAATTGCAAAATTTGTTTGAATAGATAGGGATTTTGAATTGGTGTTCTGACACCTATAGGCAACCGTACGGCCTTCAACAATGAGAAAAAAACATACCGAATGGTCGGCTTTAAGAGTCCCGGATATAAATATTTGAAACAATTCATTTGGGAAAACTAACGGCCTAATTTATAACAAAACAGTTTACCAAAAAAAAAATTATAGACATGAACCAACGACAACCACTCAAATACCGGCTTGATCCTGACTTAGGACAAACATATAAAGAACGCATAATCCTTTTATCTAAGAATTTCGACATAATTAAGTCAGTTAGTAGTACATGCTGAACCAGTAGAATCCTAGTTTTTACAGTAATGATGTTTATGATCATACTTTTCTCAGACTACAAATTGAAGACGTCCTTTCATTAGCTTTCAGTAACGGGACGATCATTTGATTTCGAAAGGAAGGAGGAGAGGAGGATTTTGAAAATCAATAACTTGGCTTGGTATGAACTGAAAATAAATGACTTTGTACAAGACCGAATAAAAATGAATACTCAGCAACATGAAATGCAGAAAAGTTGAGGATATAAATGTGTACAAAAGTAAAAATAAATTTTTGCGCAGCAAAGCCGCGGAAAAAAATAAGAATGCGTAGCAAAAGATAAAAAAAAAGATCAATCCATAAAAAATGTTCCTGTTACCAGCTTAGCACATATAGATCATTGGCTTCAGTGGTTTGCTCGGACAAACCTATCACCAATCCAGATTTTAAATTATTGCAGTTGTGTCTGCTGGTGTATAATTTATAGCACGAACGGTGATACATTTTTGTTGTCGTTCACACCGATGGGGATTAAGGTCGAAAACATCATGCAAGACCATAACATAGACTTTATGTGCAATATTCCGGGTGTGAAACGAAACCGACCGATTTGATTCTTATACTACAATTATAACAAAAATATCTATTCAATAAAAAGTTTAAAATATCGAAGAACAGACACAAAACATATTCCTCCGAAGAAAATAACCATTTACAAAGTTAGCTGGCTATTCAAAACATATAAATCAACCACACAACAAGAAAAAATAAGAAATGTGTTGAGTGACCACTGTCCTTGTTAATGACCTAATAGTGTAAGCAACAAAATGATTAAAGTCACGGGATAATCCGTGTTTAATCAATGCCAAAATGTTGACTTAATTTGTGTTTTTAATTGCTAATTTCTTCAAAACTACTTTAATTTCATACATGAAACTTGGCACCCACATGCACCGTGTCTTATTGCTTTAATCAGAGTAAAAAATATCGTGATGATACACGGAATAATTTTGCTTTCGATGAAAATGTGGTAAAATTCGGGTAAAATTTTAGTCTTACTAAAATGCTGAAATAATTATACTAAAATCACTTAAATACTTCCGGTTTTGTTATATGATATATTTAATGTATACACTATATTATAAGAACTATTTTAACCACCAACAAAGAGCGTAATAATTTATTTTTCATGTTAAAGATTCCACGTACAATACGGTATCTAAGGGTATCCTGTAAAAACACGAAATTTAGAAAATCATGACCATGGGAACTTACGACGAAAATCATTATTGTAAAATATAATGATTTTCCTATAATTTGCAAAAGAAATTAGCCGTGTGTTATCCGTTAACTTAAACTCGTTAACTAGAGGACTTTTTGGACACTGGGCACCCTACTATATGTAGAAAATGGTGGATTAAACCTGGTTTTATAGCTAGCTTCACCTCTCACTTGTATGACGGTCGCAAACGAGAGAAATAAGAACCGTTGGTGTGTGTGATTTTTTTTTGATTTTCGTTAGATAACAAATTGTTCTGAAAACTATCCCACAAAAATACAAAACAGAATGAAAGAATGTCTGATCTTTTATATCCCTAAATTGCCACATAGTTCATGTGTTGTTGATAGTGGAGCTTAATCGGTCTTACAAGTATTGATAGTTCGTCGTCTAACTACAGAAAATACGAATATAAAAAAATAAAGATAACAAACAGGTGAACAAGGACAACCTAAAGAAGACATTCGCCAAGTATCAAATTGAAAAGCTAAAGATTAAGTCCCTTTATAAAGGCAATGAAGCTGAAAAGTAAAAACACTATAGAAATTATTCAGGAAGTTAATTTGCAAAAAAAATAAAATAAACACGATAGCTATATCATGATTGAACGTCGCCGATCGAATTACTATATAGGCAAGGAGAAAACTGAAATAGTGACTACCTATTTAATTAATCATTATGAATCAAGATAAAATGGACCGTTGATAAAACAGATATTTTATATTGTCTACTTATACCTGATTGGAATTTTATGCACATATCTTGTTACCGGAGATACAATTTGAAACGTTTCAAAGGATTTCAAAAGATTGCCTAGATCAGAATAGTTTTAAAGTTCTCGGTTCTTAAAAAAGAATGTATTAACTGGTATATTTCATATATCGCCATTTTCAGTCAGAATTCTAACATTGATCAAATTTTTAGTATTCTTTATTCTTAGGTTTTTTTAAATTATTTTGTTACGACGATGCCAGTTCGTTTTTGACTGTTTTTACATATGCATAAAAGGGAGATGTTTGTCGGCATTAATGAGACAGGGCCCAGATCAAGAGAAATATATAGGTCAACATACGGTCTTCAAGAACAGACAGATGTGTATATAATTATTACATGTCTTCTTATATATATATATTACATTGTTTTATTTCAAAATTACGTAATGTAAAATCGGACAATAAGAATCCATTTATCCAACTTCTGTATTGTATTACAGCTAAGGTTCTTTTATACCAATGTCAATAAATTTATTGAATACTGCTAATTCAATCATGCATAATCAAAATTAAAGGAGTTTCTTTTTGTCTTGTTCAGTGTTTGTTTACATGGTTAATTGTGTTACATATAATGCTTCTCGTTTTTTTTCATTTACTTTTACTTTTTAAACTTTATTTCACAAAAGCCTTGCTGATAATAATTTTACAAACTATATCTTGATTAATACAAATGCATATAAGATTAATTTCACTTCTACGTGAATAGATGTAGCTGACATATTTATATATAAAAAGATTATCGAAATAAATAGTTAAATTTTATTTCACACCTGTGGTTGAAGAATTTACCAATCATTTTGTCATTTTGTTTTAGTTCTTTAGACCTTATGTAAATCTATGATATTAGTTACTCCCTCAAACATTAATGTACTTGTATTGTATTCTATTTTTGTTATAACTGAGTCATTGATTATCGAATAATGTGTAACACTTAATAAAAGCTTTGAATAATAATATGACAACCCAAATGTTCATCTGTATTGATTACTGGTAGACTTATGAAATCTTTGTAAATTATTTGCATGGTTCGTGTCTTGCCTGTTGGTTCCAACTTGTTATGGGAAAGGTTTTGTATTATTAAAGGTTTTGTCTATTATCCAATTCCCATGGAAATTTATTGCTTATAAAACAACAGAAAAGAAAAAGAAAGACGTAGTAATTAAAGCAAATCGTGTAGAAAGAAGGTCACTGACTCGACGACAGGTGACAAGCAACAATTTCAGCATCTGAATATAGAATTTTTTAAATCGAGTATGAATTTTTGGTTTGTCTTCATACTCATGGAAACGTTTCCATACAGTATAGCACATTATACTTATAAACAGATATTGATATCTTTATGACAAATATACTGGTCAAACTTACATTTAGACATATGTAAAGAACAAAGACATTAACATGCAAATGTAAAGTAACTTTACCTGTCGTCTTTTGTTCTAAAATAATATAACTCCAAATCCCAATTTTGGAAGAATTACATGACTTATACTAACTAACATATTTTACAGTTAAAGGGACAAATCCTATATAATTCAATGGATGACAAATTAGAGCCCAATTGTAAAAAAATCTATTAGAAAGATATCACAAGTTTACGTACTGTTGTTGGCCATAAGATAAAGAACTAAAGGTGGAATTACTTAGATGGCGTTCTGATTTAATTAATCAGCCACCCTTCTTTGCGAATAATCAAAACTTCCTTTTAAGTGAAGTTATTTATGAAGTTATGCAAGAGGTGATTCATGGTGAAAACCCCAGTTGTGATAACAAATAAAAAACAAGCATATCTGTCAAAACATTATGAATTTAATTAAATCACATTTAACGTATTACAAAAAGGAGATAACCTATATAAAGTTTTTAAAAAAAAATCTCACACGACCAAAAAGATTTTCGAAAATTGATTAACATTTTTCAGTTTAACCAGTCAAAATAAAATATAACCATAAAATCAATTTTATTTAACCATGTATCACCTTTACAGCGGATCCTGTCTGGTTTTGAGAAATAGTTAAAGACATATTTTTATTAATGCTTTCTTTTTAAAGTCGTTCTTGTACTATCCAACATAGTGTCTCAAGAATTGAACTCAAACATCAACCGATAGATAACAGAAGCAAAAATTTTCAACAATTTTAATGAAATAAGTTACAAAATATTCATTTAATCACTTTCAAGTTTATACTACCTATTTTTACGGCATTGTGACGCAATACAATCTTAATTCTACCGTGACCTATTAAAATCTCTGAGTTAAATTGATAAATATAAAGTGAGTGGAAAAATAAGCGATAGTACATTTTAATTATCAACTTTCTTTGGAACCTTACTCATACAACACAATAAATCTATTTGTCTGTCATTAGATACCAGAGAGTTGTACCGGTTTTTTTTAAGAGTAATGAGATATTTTTCAGCAAATTTGATGATTACCAAGTTAACTAAACAACAAGTTGAATAACAACCAGAGAGGTGTAGCGATTTACTTTTTTTTTTTTTAAAGCTATGAGCGTTTTGCCACTTATACAATCTGAACCGATTGATTCATTTAAGTGTGTTCACTTCCGGTTTTTTTGTTGGGTGTGTGCTTCTGAATCGGAGGTTTTCTGTGTAGTGTGTTCTGTACTGTTTCTGTTTCTTCTTGTCAATTTTGCGTTGATCATGACTTGTGCTTGTTCTTCTATTAACGTGTTTTGTCCTCTCACTGATATCTTCTTTTCTTTTTTTTTCTAAATTCTACATTGACTTATATAATCCTACACATATCTTCTGCATTGACTTATATAATCCTACACATATCTTCTGCATTGACTTATATAATCCTACACATATCTTCTTACCTCTTTAAAACTGTACATGTGCCTTTTTATAAAGTAAACTTAAAAGAATTAGTATAATAGATCATTCTTTCTGAAGATATATGCCAAGTTCTAAATAGTTTCAGATCTAGGTCAGTCGTAAATCAATTTAAAGCCGTCCATTGAAAATTTGAAATCAATCCTTGCGAATATATGTAGAAAAAACAGTCGATGCTGACGAAGTTCTTCGCTGGAGAGGGCACATCAATATGTAGCTGTGTCAAACTTCCTTCATGAAAACTCACCTACACATCCGTAACGTTAGATACAAAGTAATACATAGAAACACATTCAAAATCAGTGGGAAAAGTTCAAAATTATTGACATTTTTAACCCCCCCCCCCCCACCACTCCTAAACAAAACCAAATAAAAACAAAACCCCCAACAAAACAAAACAAAAACAATACAAGATACTCACAGTTACAACATGAGAATTGGAAGTTCTTGTGTATATACACATGTCATACATTCTTACAATACTTATATTATCCTTTAAAGCAAAAGGATAAATATACTCGATGATATTTAACTAAAAATGTATAAAATGTTTGGTGATAAATATTAAAATAAAGTATCGTGAAGATAGGAAATCTCATTTAGACCAATTTATATAAATAAATGTATGTTACCAATATTGTAGTCGCTGAGATTTCGATGACGGGTAGTCTAACTATGTATTCAAAATGTAAGAAATCTGTTACAATAATATTACTTTGAATATCCCAATCTTTATTCTGTGATAGAATCAGTCAAGACGTGGGATGCAGACAATTCAGAGACAGTTTGATATGACTTTCCTGTATATTAACAAAAAGATATTTTAAGATATTATAAGCCTAATATCTTTGATGAGTTTTTTTAACTCTGCCACATAGACCAGAAATCTACTATAATATTCTATGTGTGAGGTTGGGTAGATACTTATACATTTTATATATTCATACGCTGTTTCTCAATTTTGTTCTATATATATAATCTTGCTTGCAAAACGTCATAAAAATCCATGAGATCGCAGATTACGTACCTCTCACATTAAGCTTGGTGGAAATAGCAAGAAATAAAGAGGTCAAAAATAATATAACTAATTCAATGCAAACTTCTTAAAAGAATACAATTCTATGATCTCTACAAGTGAGATTTTCGTGTTGGTAAAAACATGTATTTAAATTAATTTCTGAAACACGTTATTTTATAAAAAACATGTGTTATGCGTAATGCGTAGTAAGCTAATTTAATTAATATAAGCTTGAACGCTTGCAACCTTTACTTGAATGTGAAATCATCATCTTCTTAGTGGGATTTTTTGTAATTCCTTTTTTTCAAAAAATTTTGAATTAAAGACTGGGGAGCAAGCACATTTAAGTGCATGTATATGTTACAGGGAATTGGTAAAATTAGTTGTTCTGTAAAATCCCTGAATTTTAGGTGTTTTGTTTAATCACTTATATGATACGGAAATTTATAAAATTCCTGATTTTTACAAGCCATGGGAACAAGGAAATCACCAGATAACGTTAAAATTTCAAATAATTCTCTATATTTTATAAAGTTGAAATAGACCAAAAGTGAAAAAAGTTAATGTGCATGTATTGAATGAAGGTCTTCAATATGGGGATGTGGACAGAATTATACATTCCCTCGTGTAGGCTCATTCATATGATTCATATCTTTTGAAGCTACCTACCATTTGTGTTTGAGAAGGTTTAACAAAGCAAGTAATATGCAGTTCTGGAAACTAAAACTAAGAAAAAAATAAACCAGTTTGGCCGAATGTAGGCAGGGCAATTGTGTAACTGTAGAACTTATCCAAACAATATCATGCAAAAAAAAAAAATATGTAATCTTTGTAACTGTAAATGCCTTTCATTCATTAACATTGTATTTAAAAAAAAGTTTTAAACGGTAATTTCTTTTAAAAAAAGATAGTTCAAACATTTTATTCTTTTGAAACAACAATACTTTAGTTTTCTGAAACATTCTTGACATGTATATTTTACAAAATCCAAAGCAATATTATCAGTGATTTTACAAAATATCTAAATGTCTCAAGGATTTTACAAGTTCACTGTAACATATACTTAATGGTATGACTTTTTGCGTAAAATGATATACAAAATGACGAGAACTGCTGTAGTTTGCAATATAAAGAATAAGTTCACCACTTTGTACATTCCAGACCAGAGGTAGGTTTTTGGTGTGTAAAACAAAATAAAACCAAGCACAACGTACGATATGTGACTGGACAGAACATGCGTAAATGTTTCATAGCCTGAGGACATTCAAATACATGTAATGATTCTAATCAGATACTATACATGTATTAACCACCTGCTTCAATATCAACCGAAAGGCACGCTGTCGCAGTGTTGGTTATAAGCCTTATCAGATAGTGTACATAGACAGATTTTTTTATATCGTTATATAATTTTATTTTGGTTGGTATGTTCATTCCTTCCAGCTTTCTGTTCTTGACATTTTTATTTGCAAGGTTTCGAATTATCAGGCATCTGTATGTAGCCATATGTTACATAAATACTTTCACCGAGCCCACAAGCAAACATTTTCAGTTATGCCTGTTAGCTACTGCAAGAGGGAGATAAGTATAAAATGTGAATGCAAGATTGTCTCATAGTATTTTTGACTTCAGAATTGTAAAGACCACACCGAAAATGAAGGGAACCTTTAACTTTGCTGTCTGTATTCTAAGTGTTTGCTGTTTATTTCTTCTGAATGGAGCCACAGCACGTTGCGATGAAGGTATATAATGTATTAAATGATATGTCAAGTATGTATAAATATATACAGTGAAAGCTGCGTTTATTCATATAGTAAGAAACTAATTCTTTCAAGGTGTGATAGTTATAGTTACCCTGTAGCTTTGAGGATAGAGAATATATTTATTCCTTTTTTTGGGAAATTTTGAAAAGATAGGTTCCTTGTTTTTAGATTTTTAAACATTAATATGACTGGCATGAGAGTATACCTATTTTTTTTACTATTTGTATCTCTTGTTTGATTATGACACATTTGAAAAAAAAGATTTTAAAACAAATTTATTACATATTAAGGATAAATTTGGATCATTTTAATTTACCTTTACGATGTATCAAGGACCTTTTGTTATCTTTTTACAAAGTTAAGGACAATTTTGCTATACATTTTGACAAATTTAGTACCATTTCAATACATCTTGATGCATTATAAACCACTTTGTTTTGAAAATAATTTATGAATACTTTAATCACTCAAACTAAACCATGGTCATCAGAATTCAGGATGATACTGTTGAGTTGATCATCAACTTTAAAAAAATTCTGATTCAATAAAACATGGTTGTTTGTTTCCAATATAACATATGCATGTACATTTTTTTAAATAAAAAGACCACCGTATAGTATACTGTTGAATAATGGTCACTAGAGTTCTCCAGCATCGTAGGAAGACTTAATCGGGGAAGGGGTATGTTTGACCGTTTCATACACGGAATTGAATGCATTTCTTTCTTTCATTATAACCGAGGACGTACATGACTAACACTCTAATATACGTCCTTGTTAAAACGTACATACCGTACAACAGAAATATAAGATTATTTTTATGATACCAAACACCTACTATATCCGATAATCGTTAACATCATCGCATATATCCCTTCTGAAATTAGAACATCTGCTTTATATCTTGATATTTTCCTTGATATTGACACACATGGACGTAAAATCCAAATTTTGGGTTGTTATTTAGACAAACATAACAATATTTACAAACATACATTATTCAAAGTTAACCAACACTCATAGTATATAATAGATATAGGAAGATGTGGTATGAGTGCCAATGAGACAACTCTCCATCCAAGTTACAATTTATAAAAGTAAACCATTATAGGTCAAGGTATACGGCCTTCAACACGGAGTATAAGTATATTATATATTTAGACATTTTGGATATTTTGGAGGAGATGATACTTTTGCAAATTTGAAAGTAAAAGTACAAAATTCTTAATGATATTGTTATAAAATATAATAAAACAAATATATATATAATAAAAATAAATAATCACAAATTTGTAATACATAATTCTAGTTTTTCTTGTCAGCTAGGCTATTTCTTAGTACATATAAATCATTAACCCCCTAATTAACAATAATTTTAGTTATGTCTCATTAAATCTAAACATAAATGTACATTTTTCCTCATCAGACATTTTGTTGAAAGATGGAACTATTCTCTCTACATCCTGAAAAAGATTTTGCCTACGTTTTTCTAAAAATTGACATTTTAACTTCAACCCCCTTTTTACAGAGGGGACATAATCTTTTTTCAAGGGGCAATTGACGGTGTCTATCCTGTTCAATATTTACATTACTATTACTTAATTTTATTTTATTTTAATAAAACTAGATATCATGTATCAGTCTAAATCTATTAATAAAAACATTTATAATTTGTAATATTTTTTTTAATTTTTTGTACGATCTTAGTTTGTTTCCATTAGGGTTTTTGGTCATTAAAAAGACTAATTTATTCCCTACAGCATTAATCAGGTATTTTTTTAGAAAGTATATTGATTTTCCCATACATGATTGAACCCTTTTTTTGAAAGAGCATTTTTCAATTTGGCTGTAAAACCATTATGTAAATTTAAATTAAATTTATAGGCATTTGAAGCATAACTTTCTTCATTTGCATTTATCAAATGGCACCAAAACCCTACAGAAGCCTTTAAAGCACCAATAGCAATAGGGAACATTCCTATTTCTGCTTAAACTGCTGTGTTAACAGCAGCTTTATTTACACTAACAAAATATTTAGCAAATTTTATTTGAAATTTTGATGGCAAAAATGATGAATATCTACATTCAAGACTTGAATTGTCTTTAACTATCATATCAAGTGCCCATATTTCACTGCAATAAAATTATATGAGTTTCAAACAACTTTCAAACAGTTTTAAATATGGATAAATATTAAGTTTATCAGAGAATAAAAGCTGATCCAAATCATTGCCTTTGAAGCTTTTTGCACATATGATTAACCGTATAAGAGTAAATTTCTGAAGGCTTAAATAAAATTCCCAAATATCTATATTCATTGGTCAAATCAACTGTCTGTTCATTGAATCGAAAGTTGTGATTTTTCAGATTTTTACCTGACTTATTACTATCATAACATTAGTTTTGTTTAGATTTACAGCTAAATTCCACTTATTACAGTAAGTGTTGAGTTTGTCTTAACATCGTTGTAAGCCAGACTCTGATTCAGATATTAATACAAGGTCATCTACCGCCGAAGCACGATACATTTTTATCATTTAATATTTTGGATCACAGGAGCTATCAAATATGATAACTAAGTCATTTATATAAAGTGAGAACAATGTAGGGCTTAAAATACACCCTTGTTTTACTCCAACGGTTGAGTTAAAGGATTCTGTTAACCCTTCGCTAAACTTTACAGAAAAGAAAACCTCTCTATACATGTTCTGTAAAATGTAATAAAATGATCCATTTATATTATAAAAACACAGTTTGTAAAAAAGTAACTTGAAACTTGAAACTTGTATTTCTCAAGACCCCATCAAGGGTAAGTGAATATAAACAGTAATAACAACAATAACATATATACTTATTATATATATATATATTTGTATTATATTAGTTACTTATATATATCAGTTAGTTAGTTAGTTAGTTATATAGAAAAATAGGCAATTCTAATTTATAACAGACAGAACAATTTTGCAAAATTTGGCAATTTGACAATTAAACTGTAGTCATCATACCAAAAAGGTTCACAATATTTAATAGTATTTGGCTTTTTATACACATTATAGAGCCGAAAAGCCTTTGTCTTTCACTTCAGAAAAAAGTACATTTAAACAGATAGTGGAATCTATCATCAATTTCACATAAATTGCTTAAAATCACAGATGCGATCATCACGTTCGACCATGACCCCAAAAACGACCTTTTTCTGTTGGCAATTTACGATTCATACATCTAAAATTACAATATGCCTTTCGAAGATCATATGGTAGATCAACAATATATCTTTCAAAATTATGAACAGTTTTGAAAATTCTATAGTTTAAACACTTAGCTGAATCATAAACAGTAGTAACCCGGCCATGTTTGCTTAAACTGATCACAGAGACATTGCTTGACTAGATTTGATACACTGATTACATTTTTTTGGTACACTTTGTGACAGCCAGTACAATTATTCTGTTTTTTTTTTCTCAATACAAACAGTCCACTTAGAATGAAAAAAAAATGATATGCATGTTATATAATAACTTATACAAAGTAGCAGCAATTTTATCTTGCTTATTGGAGATAATTCTTTTCCAGAATGCAACCATTCTGCTTTTGATAAAAAAAAATATCAAAAGGAAATCTTCCTAGTTCACCATACATGATACATTTTGGTGTACATTTCTTCAAACTAAGTATATATTTATAAAATTGCAGACAGAATGACACTATTATACTGATCTATACTGTTATTGGTAAAACCCCAAATCTCACAACCATACATCAAAATGGTAAAACTACTGTCCATTGCATCAAACATCAATAGGTAAGTTCAGTTTTCTACTTTTTTCATAATACTAAACAGCCTCAATTTCTAGCTTGACAAACTAATCTTTCATTATTTTTACAGAATGAACCATTTGAAGAACATATTATTCCAAGATATGTAAATTCATTAACAATATCTATAATTTGACCATCATAAGTAAATGCAAGATTATCATTCAGTTTAAAAGTACGTTTTCTAAAAATTACAATCTTATAGTCTTATCTACACATAGGCAAAGGTCGTACTCTGGGGGCCTCTGTTGGTCAAAGTGGACTTCGATCCCGGTGTCCTAGCACGGCATTGCACAAGTCATGTCTTCTTTGACTGTTCATGACGTTAAAATACTAAATCCCTGGAATGTATTTTAGTTGATTTAAGTCTTTGATGCATGATTTTTTATTATTAATTGTCTTGGCTTTTAACTAGCTTTGTAGTGACACATCTCCATTAATCCTGATAGAGTGTGTAGTACAGTACACTGTTTCCACTGTACCCTCGCAGCTCTCAAGGGGTGCCCCAAATAATGGAGATTTTTTTCGTACATACGAAGGTTGCTTCTTTCCCCTTCACTAGTGGTATCTGACATGTCAAGGTCCTCCAAGAAAAATGCAACGAATATTCAAAAGTATTCTGACATCAAGGACTTCATTGAAGCAACTAAAGAAAAATCACTGTCCTTATTGTAGGTTTATATATCATAAATCATCCAACATGTGTACAATGACCGTCACAGGTCCTTTAGTTCTTCATCCAAATACAATGAATACTGCCCACATTCAACTATCCTACCGTAGTCTATAATCGGTCATCATGTTGGTTCGTTCGGACTTTGTTATTGTACTTATCACACGGGAAAACTCCGCATTGACGTCACTTCGCTAATACCAGCGTACAAAATTAGTGCAGAATACATTTTTTCTACTCTTCTAAATAAACAAACATTTCGAAAGATATGTTTTCAATGTTATTCTAAAGTATTGTACAAAAATGCCAATTTTCTAATGGCCGTTTCAAACCTGACTTCCGATTGCCTAAAAACATTCCAGAACTTCAGAAATCCCCTTTTCCGGCCTCCATTGGTTTGTTTACATTCCATTAAGCGTCATCAATCTTAATGGCAAACCAAACAGGCCAAGCAAATCGTATTTTTAAGAATTTCAAAATGGCAAGCACCTTACGTCTTACGCGATTTTCCCGCGAAAAAAATTGAAAGAAAAACTTTGGGAAACAAACGATAATCATGCCATATTTTTGTTCAGGAATATAGAGTAGGTTAATAAAAATCAATATACATATATTTTTCATAAAAAAAATATTTGTTCAATATAAAGAGATCGATATTCTGACCATAAGTAAATATTCATATAAAATTCCATTGATATCAAATTTCATGGCTAATAATGAGGTTTCCGATTGAATAAACCCCCAATTTATTGCAAACTATTTCAAAGCAATATCATACAAACAAATAATATAATTGCCTTGTACTAAAAAATCACCTAATTGACAGTAGAGCAATTTGATTGGATATAACGATTCAATGTGTCACGTGGTTTTGAAGCCATTAGAATTTTAATGTAAACAAACTGCGTCAGCTGCTGCAGTATGGAACAACATCATACATTCAGTGACTGAGAAACAATTATTAGTAACCAAGCTTGACAATACACAGTAATAAAAAAACAAAGCTAAGTCTACAGAAAAATAAAATAAAAAATGGCCTTAAGTGCACGACTTACCACCATTGCGGGATAGTCCAAATAATTATGACGTGTTGAAAGGCTATTTTGTTATTTTGCTGTGACGCCTTTCTACAACAGGAAGGTGTCAAAGCAAAAAAAATAAAATAAAATAGCCTTTCAAGGCGTCATAATTATTTGGACTAACATTCTTCTTCTTCATCTTTAAGTTTTCCAGTCTTCCATCTGAGTAAAGATGATTAATAACTGGTGCATTCTATTTATTTAAAACAAGTTAATATAAAGTTATATACAAAAACGGTGCAGAGAACAGACCTGGTGATTAAAACTATTTACAGGAGATGAAGCTATTTAAACATGTTAAATGAGAGTGGAGAGAACAGCATATGTAAGCTGCTTTCTGAAAGAGTCGACTGTCTGTGTATTAACAACTGTAGTTGGTAATGGATTCCATTGTGTTATTGTGTATGGGAAAAATGAAAATCTGTACGAGTCTAGATGTGTAAATATGTCTGAAGGTGTGAGTATGATGTTTTCTGGTTCTTGAGTCTGATGGGATGAGAATTGTGCTAGATTCATTCAACATGATGAGTATCAGTGTTCTAGCCAGGATTTGAAAAGGGCAAGGTGCTAGTCAGAAAAAAGGCAATTTTATGTGTAAATGTCATTGTAAAAAGGGCAATTATTTAAGCCTCATAATTTAAAAGCATACATCATAAAATACATATGTACATAACACAACAAACAAAATACTCTATATATCTCAGGCGCTATGGTAAAATCAAGTTTCAGTTAAAATGGAGTAATAAAATTCAATACTTTTGGCACAATCTTCTCTCTTTGACTTTAAAAAACTTTGTTACAACGTTGTCTAAAATTGAACAGAACATGTCATTATGATAGTTAATTTTGATATGTAGCAAGTTCTCAAGTGTTGATTGCTTGGGCTTATTTCTATCATCACATTTGATCAGCTTTACTTGAGAAAACGCTCAACCTCAGCTGTGCTCAATGGCGAAACTGCTGCCACACTCATAAGTTTCAAAATTTTTGGATAGAGCTCAGTCAATCCTAGTGTTTCTTTCATGAGCACAGTTATGCACTTCTGGATTGATCTGAGCTCAGCTGAAGTGTCCCCAATAAAGGAAATGAAAGATGTCCATTCATGGACAAGATTGTCACTGTCTGTTTTAAAGTGGTCATCCAGATCCATCATCTCAGTAAGACCATATGTGCAGGGAATTTCTTCAAACAAGACGATGTCAAAGTTTTATTTTGGCTAGCATTCTTTTTGGTTTCATCTTTCAGGCGTCTATCTCGAGTCGGCATTGTGAAAATAATGATCGAAAATTTATTTGGACTTAATTAAGTTCTCAGTTTAATTCTAATCACGAAAACGATTGATCAATAGTCAAGGTAAACACTTTTTATGCAAATTTTTATGTTAATTAGTTATAGGTGGCACGTTATGCATTGTCAACAAGGAAGAAAAATGGTGACGCACATTTCGACAAAACTCATCCGAGAAAAATCAAATTTCGGGATAAAAATGGTAGCCTAAGAAACAGCACAAAAAAGGCACAGGCATCACCAAAAAGGGCACGGGCGTCAATAAAAAAAGGCGGACGCTGCGCCCTGTTCAAACTTTGTAGCTAGAACACTGAGTATTCTAGTTTATCCTCGACACCCCAAAGTTCGTCCACCTAACAAATATAGTCGAGCAGTGTCAACTACGTTTCCCGTATATTCACAATAATTTGCAGTCATAAAGATTCAATAAAAAATCTAAACTTTGACATGCAAAAGAATCAGCAAAAGAACATAGTATAACGAAAAAGCAATAGTAAACACTTACTTGAAATCAATGGTTGTTCTATTTTCAACCCTCAAGTTCATCCACTGGATGTACAAGCTTGTTACATCACACAGATTAGGCCAAGCACACTGAATTTTCACATTTTTTGTTCAAGGTTAACTTAAAAAGGTAAGTATTGAAATAAAGTCACAAAAAGTACAATCCAACGATGAAATATCCAACAAGTAACAATAACAAAGAAATTGACCAAAAATGTCTATTCCATGTCCTTGTTATGCATGCAGTAAAACTTGGTATTCCTCTGCACAGCCCTTAGTTCAGTACAATATTTCAGATGTGTCCAGTGCTTGGACCTATTCAATTGTCACACTGCATCCATTTGGTAAGTTCAACACCAACTCCAAGTCTAATTTGTTTGGAGGTGAACTGTTTACATACACAGCATAATTCATTTTCAGGAATTTCTTCGTCTGTATCGCTGAAGTCCATGGAATCATCTATGTATATGTGGCAAGGTCCTGGTTTAGGAGAAGTGTGGCTAGGTCCTGGTTAAGTAGATGTGCGGCTAGGTCCAGGTTTAGTAGATGTGTGGTTAGGTCCTGGTGTAAGTGGCAAAGCAGAAGTGGACGGTTTCTTTTTATTTTGTTTCCCAGTTTTCTAACCACTCTCTGGTTGGTTGATTTATTTTTTCCTTGGTTTTCAACATGCTGTTTTACCATTTCTGCTACCTCTGTTTCAGTTATTGGCATACCAGATACAATCTTCCCAAGGGTTTTTCTTTCATTCTTGTCTTTTTCTGACTTAATTTTCTTTAGTTTGTTTGTTCTTTCGAATGTAAAAGACTACAGGTTCAACATATTTTTAATTATTTAGTGTTAGGACATCTATATACTAAGTTGAAAGTGAAATTAAAGGTTAATTCCAGCTTCTTTTGTTTTTCTTGAGATGCTCTGTATGAAGTTTGTCTCACAAATCAGCTGGTTCCCATAGCCTTAGGAATTGCCATCATTTGTTCAAAACGTCCACCAAACGTAACAAATGTGTTGTCAAAAAAAATAATCATGCATCTTAATAAACATATGCATGATAAAGTCAATTTCAGCATATTAAAGAACTTTTTGTTTGAATCACTGTGGTTTTTTCAAAATGTCTTTTTCTAGAATGAGGTATCTGTATCTATGTTAACATTTCTTTATTAACTGAAACAAAAGCATTCTTTCAATCTGTTTAGAATGAGGAGTAGATTGTACAATGGTTACTATACAGAAGTCAATTGTTTTATTACTATCGTTTTATGGAGAGGGACTTATATTGTACATGTAGGAACATGTACTCTAACAGATCTATGAAATTTTTGGTATCCACAACTGATTTTTAAGCTAAGGTCATAAAAAAAGTGTATAGTGTTTCCCGATCTACCCTAGTTTTGAGCGCAGACCCTTAATGTTTTTATGATGATTTCTTCAAAGTTGTAACCATTAACTTATTTCATCAAAATACTTGACAGAAATGATGAAAAACATTTTAAAAGTCACAACTCTTATCATTGAAACTTTAAATGGCGCAGTTTCCAGTTATTGTAAGTTAATACGGGAACAGGACTCTGTGAATTTTCAGGGTTTCGACCGAAAAAAAAAATTAAGAAAAAATATATATCATGTATATTTCCAACCTACCGACCCTATTTTTTTTTTGGATGGAAACCCTAGACACTCAAATTTCTTTTATTTGCCCTTACTTTAAAAAAAATGTTTAACAGTAGAAAAATTGATGAGCATGATTTCAATATTACAGCCATGCCACAAAAGGATCAAACACACCTTGTACTTTAGGCTACAGCTCAACCAAGTGAGCTTAAGGAGTACTAGTACAATTGATGGAGAGAGATTGAAAATCTATTAAGTTTTGATTGATTGATTGATTGATGATTGGTGTTTAACGCCCCTTTCACCACTATTGTGCTATTTAGTGGCGGAGAAAGCCGGAGTGGCCAGAGAGAACCATGACCTTCGGTAGGAAAACTGACAAAAGGTCTAGGGAAGCACCACTACAATAACTCAAATTATATATAGTACTTAAAAGCTTGTGAATTGCTTGCCCATCATCTCTTAATTTTTGATCCTTTTATAAACGTTTTTGATTATATGAACAAGCACTATTGAAATCAGAATTTTTCACTATACTGGCATATAATTTGTTTTTAGAAACAAATATTTTGTTGTCCCAAAATTATGCAACCCAATTTTAGAACAGTTTTCAAGATTTTGTTTTCATATTATATATTTCACACAAAAAGTTTTTACCTACAACCACATAAGAATGTTTTCTTCTATTGTACTAATGTAAAGAAAGGGATGTCACATTTAACATTTTCATTTTTTTATGTTTTTTGTATTGCAAAGAATTTTTTCCTGTCACAGATGTCTAACAAAAGAAAATATTTACTGTTTGTCTGTCCAGTAAAAGGATAATGTAAAGTCCATTTTAGTTCATTTATATGTTTTGTAGTTTAGTGTGACGTCCATTTTCACTGAACTAGTACACAATTTTATTTAGGGGCCAGCTGAGGACCACCTCTGGGTGCGGGATTTTCTCACTGTGTTGAAGACCCATTGGTGGCCTTCAGCTGTTGTATACTTTGGTCGGGTTGTTGTCTCTTTGACATATTCCCCATTTCCATTCTCATTTTTATTCATAAGCTTTTGTTTAACTAAATTATCTCACAGTTGAATTTGATTTATAGAATATATTTGTTGTTTATTATAGTTTGTCATAATCAGATCAAACATTTATATGATTGATGAATTTATTACTTATTGCACTATAGGCACAGAGGCTCAGAAATGTAACCTACCTTTAGATGGACTAAAGATTTTAGATATCAGCAGGTACTTATGTTTTATATTTTACCAGTATGGAGAAAGAATATGAAAATAAACATTTTTGTATTTATTTAAAGATTGAACCCATTTATAAAGAAAAGTAGAAAAGGTAGTGAGAAGGATATCAATAACAAATCATGTATAAATAATGAACATTTAGAGGCTAAAATATGGATTTTAGCGATATACCGTTCCCTTATTCTCAAAACAAACTTATTTTTGCAAGTTATTTATTTTTGTAACTTACGTGAGTAAACAAATAATGTAATTGGATTGTCACAAATATGCTGAACTTGAAACCTTTATCATGAGTGAGCATTTGTGAAAAGAGTTAGAAAACCATGAAAAAAACCAGCTCTTAAGTCGTCTAGAAAGACAAAAAACATTTTTTCACAAAAGTAAATTGATTGAAAGTATTCAACTTTTCAATTTTTCTTTGCAGGATTTTAGCTGGACCATATTGTACCATGATTCTAGGTGATCTTGGTGCAGAAATCATCAAGGTTGAAAAGCCGGGTAACATTGATTTATGTCATTAATATTTATTCTGTTCATGTTAAATGAATACTATGTGTCTTTTGTCTACTATTTGAAAGCTATTTTTTCAAAAAGGTTTTCTTGAATGTGCAGAAAGTAAAAACCAACTAGCAATCAATTAATAATAATTGGAACATTTTTGTCATTGATATGAATTTTCATAATTTTTATAGAAGATTGTAAATGTAAAGTTTATCAACTTTTGTTTAATTGACTTCTTCTACACTTTAGTATCATAAAATAAAACATATGTGTTGTTATAGTTTAGCCTTTTAGAATTAAGCATTTAGACTTTAGAAACTCATAACATGATAAAGATGAAAAAAGCATAACAAGTTGATATGAGAGAGCAAACAAGATATAGTATTATGTGGTTTACGGTTATATTGTAAACCTTATCTTTCTTTTTTATTAGGAGCTGGGGATGATACAAGGTCATGGGGACCTCCTTTTTGTGGCAAGGAAAGTGTTTATTTTTTGACTGTCAATAGAAATAAAAAGGTAATTAATTATTATTTGTCAGTAAAACCCAACAACAAAGAGAAGAAGTCTCTGTTGAATGCATCACATATAATGCTTTAAAGTAGATGTTGCACAATGGCCATCAAAGCAAATAGGTACCTGTATTATAGAACCTAAGTACTTTTACTGTAATGATATTTATTGTACAAGTTATTCCAGCTATCAAGATTAAGAGGGATGAGATTTAAAAAAACAAACAATTTTTATCTCACCAAATCTGCATGTGCCTTTGTCAATGGTTGCCTTTTTTATATCTTAATGTTGTCATTTAGTGAATTTGTACTGATGTCAGATCTTTGGATTGTCTCTATTCTCTATTAACAACTTTGCTTCAATCAGGCAATGATAGGCTTAGTTTTCTCTTTGAATTATTTTACATTTGTCATTTCGGGGCCTTTTATAGCTGACTATGCAGTATGGGCTTTGCTCATTGTTAAAGGCCGTACAGTGACGTATAGTTGTTAATTTCTGTGTCATTTGGTCTCTTGTGGAGAGTTGTCTCAATGGCAATCATACCACATCTTCTTTTTATATTGGCATATTGTATAACAATTATCCCCATTGTTTAAGAATGTGTATTGACCTGTAGATGTCTTTTGTTTTTGTGTGTTGTTTAGTTACAGTTTCCTTGAGGTATACCCCACATCTCCTTTTAATTCATATGTACAAATATAGGTATATGTATTTATATTTTTTGCATCAATAACAACATTTCAAACATTTCTGATTTAACAGAAATTGAATCAAGTAGACTTTTTAAAGAAAGTATTTACTCTAAAAAGAATTTATTGTCTTAATTATTTTAAATGCAAAACATGTGATAAAATGAACATCTCAGTAATAAACTTCACAATTTTTTTTTGCTAGTTGTACTCGTACAGAAATCTTGTTAATTTTAAAGAAATGAATAGAAATTCAGAAATCTGCAATATGTTTTTTTGTGGATGAAAATAGATATAAGATTGATACTTGATTTTACCACTAGCATTCATCCTATTTGACTCATTATTTTAGACTCTTCAGATTCCAAAAATGCAAGTGTCTGTATACATTGTATATTTGTACTTTGATTCAATTTTTAAAGTGTCTGCTTTACAATAACCAAGATTTCTCTAGCATTATTTTCAATATTTCCTGTTATATTTCAGAGTATTGCTATTGACATCAGAACTAAAGATGGCCAAGATCTTATTCAAAAGGTAGGTTTTATCAGGCTTTCTAAAAGTATTTACCTCAAACCTATGCAATATAAAAGTAAACTTAGCCCAGTGCTGTAAGCTAAGTAAATTGTTAAACAGCAATTAGTGCAATAAAGATGATTTAATTGTTTCAAACAAAAAAAAATAAAAGTAAAGATGAAAGTTTTTACTCATAAATATCTGAAATAACCAATTACATTTTGTATGCATATAAAGGTCCTCACCTATTTATTTTTGTTCCAAATAGTGTGTGATTCCAGAAAACCAAAAATATTATTATTAACGGTGGCCATTTATTAGTTGAATATTCAGACCCTGTAAAATATAAGTGAGTCATAAGTAAACATATCTACATCAGAATCACATTTTCATGAAAGTAGGTATTCTTAGTGTCTTATGTTTCTTTAAGTTAATGTTCTTTTTATAATTATATTTCTTTTCTCCGGGCACTCAGGCTTCCTCCACCAATAAAAACTGGCCGCCACGAAATAGCCCAAAAGCGGTGCTTAAAAGTGGCGATAAAAAACCAAAAATCAAAATCAAATCAAATCAAATAATTATATTTCAGTTGGCCAAGCAGTGTGATGTGATGGTCGAGAATTATATCCCTGGTAAATTAGACCAGTACAACCTTGGTTACAAGCATCTTAATGTGATAGCTCCTCAATTAATTTACTGTTCTATAACAGGTAAGCTACAGTGAAGAATATTTGAGCAAGACCTAGAAGCTCATTGGTTATTCAGTAACAGGCAAATTATCACAAACATCATAATGAGATATCTCTAAGTTAATCTACTGTATTTATACTTTCTTGGCAAACATATTACAAACAACTGGGTTGATAGCTCTTGCTTTCAGAAGCTTCTCAACAAAATTTATCTGTTGCCTACAGCAGTTTAATTGAGAGGGTTTTGCTTTCTACTTAAAAAACTGGGAAAATCTGGCAGTGAATATTAGCTCAAACTATAGAGTATCCCAGTTCTTTCCATGGTGTTGGAAATTATAGAGTATCCCAGTTCTTTCCAGGGTGGTGGAAACTATAGAGTAGCCCAGTTCTTTCCATGGTGTTGGAAATTATAGAGTATCCCAGTTCTTTCCAGGGTGGTGGAAACTATAGAGTATCCCAGTTCTTTCCAGGGTGGTGGAAATTATAGAGTATCCCAGTTCTGTCCAGGGTGATGGAAACTATAGAGTAGCCCAGTTCTTTCCAGGGTGGTGGAAACTATATAGTATCCCAGTTCTTTCCATGGTGTTGGAAATTATAGAGTATCCCAGTTCTTTCCAGGGTGGTGGAAACTATAGAGTATCCCAGTTCTTTCCAGGGTGGTGGAAACTATAGAGTATCCCAGTTCTTTCCAGGGCTGTGGAAACTATAGAGTATCCTAGTTGTTTTCAGGGTGGTAGAAACTATATAGTATCCCAGTTCTGTCCAGGGTGATGGAAACTATAGAGTATCCTAGTTCTATCCAGTGTCAGGAAAGGTAATGCTCTCCTCAATGAAGTAGTCAGGTTAAAATATGGAAAGCCTGGGTTAAACCATAATTGGTGAAATGTGTACACAATGCCACACAAAATAAAGACCTGTTTTGTAGATATATATAAAGAGTAGGTGCTTTAGGCTACAAAGCTTAATTTCCAATCACTAACAAAATATGAATTTCATAGTGTTTTAAAGGTTTGTCTCTTAAAGGTGAATAATGAAGGAATAATGGTGTTACTGATAGACATTGCAAATTCATTTTACAGAGAAATATCCAAGGATTTAAATGCATAATAGAAATAATGCCTACTTTACCAATGCACATCCAAGACCAATCATTTCTATTACACAATATTTTTATAAAACAAGACAGTAATTCTAAGTCACCATTTTCAACAGAAAAAACTTCCACTTTATCCCAGATAAGATATCAGTATACATGGCTGGCACATTGTGCAGATGCAAAAGAAGGGGGTCATTCATGCGCTAAGCCTTGCTTTGATATAATTGATAAAAAAATATCTTGATTGTCAGGATATGGACAAACAGGCCCCTACTCAAAACGAGCAGGATATGATGTTATTGTATCAGGAGTGGGTGGATTAATGCATATCACTGGACCAGAGGTGAGGTATGAACACCCTTAATAATCAACTACTTTTTATTGAATTTATGGAAAGCATTATTATATTGTGAAAATTTTAAAGAATTTCTTTTAAGTTTTGATATATTAGTTCCCACTGTTTAAAATGTAGTCTGTCAATGTTATTAAATAGCTACTTACTGAGAATATATATCTCCTCGGTCTTTATTTTCAATTTTCTCAAGATAGTTATCTGATATTATATTTTAACTCAACAACTCGGTGTGTGTCTATAGGATGGAGACCCTTGTAAAGTAGGAGTGGCTATGACTGATCTATCTACTGGACTGTATGCCCATGGGGCTATCTTGGCAGCAGTATTACAGAGACAGATAACAGGGAGAGGACAACATATAGACTGTAACTTATTCTCAACTCAGGTAAGTCACACATATATATATGCACATCTTTATAGTATACAAAAGAACATGTGCTAATCACAGTTTTAATTTGAGTTAGAGTTATAAATCTGTATCTCTTGTTAATTAGTTTATTCTTCCAGATACCAGATAGATATTTTCTGTGAAAAATAAGAAGTGTGAGTAAATATTTATAAGTGTGTATGCTCTACCTATCATAGTAAAGGGTATTAGGTTTTCTGGTCTGTATGCCAACTGTTTATCCATTTATTTGTCTGTTTTTCAGAGAATGATCTCTCCTTAATTGTTTCTGGTTGAAATTAAAGCTTATTTAAGGTGGTACCAAACACCTTTACTAAAATTAATTTGTCTCGTTTAATTTTCATAAAATTTATTTTGACCTTTTGAGGAAAATATAAAAATTTCAAAAAACTTGAACCACACACTTTATTGCAAAAAATTTCATTGGATATGTAGCAGTTTGACAAACACTAATTTTGATCATTGAGAAGCTTAATATTTCCTTAACAATAGAATGTGATTAAAACGATCAGCTGATTTTTAAAGAGTTATCTCCCTGTAGTGTTATGTACCGCCTTATTTATATAAATATTAGTTCTAAATTCTATCAAGTGTCAATATTTCAAGATAATACCTTTTTAACTGTCCACTAATTTGACCAGTTTTCGATGGATGATGGTTTTTAAGCAGAAGAAAAACTATTATATTTTTAGGTCACAATGTCAAAAGTTAAGGGGGCTTGATTGCTGAAATGGTTTTAAAATTTCTAAATAATCATACATTATACATGTACATAGTTAGATGATATAGGTAATTTAAAACATCACTTTTATATTGTAAGCTTTAAACAATTTTGATTAAAAAATGTATGAAAAAAGTTTTTGTCTTAGAAACACTGAATTGAATTTACAATAATTGTTTTAGAAGGGTAAAATTTGTATCTACAGGTGATAGGTTAACATGCTGATGTCTTTTACAATATGAGTTATGAAAGATTGAAGGTTTACATTGTTTTTGAAAAAAACATTTTTGACAAGTATAAAGTTTAGAAAAGTTTAGAAATCTAATTATTAGTATTAGACTCATTTCGTTTTTTTAATTATTTTTTTTTCAAATGTTGCAGTCAATTTGTATCTTGCTTAAAAAAAAAGTTTAAAAAATATTTGGTTGAAACACGATTATCCCATGGAGTATCTTTGTTCAATTGTCTTTACATATGTAAAGTAAAAACTTTCTAAAGCATATGGAATCCTTTTTTATTTAGGTTGCATCATTAATCAATATTGGATCAAATTACCTGAATGCTGGGATGGAGGCTAAAAGACATGGTACAGCACATCAAAGTATTGTTCCTTATCAGGTATATATAGACTGGATTCCATCTATACTAATTATACCCCTGCTGCAAAGGTAGGAGGATACTGGTTTATGTCTGTCCAGTCAATCCATGTTTTTTCATCCATCCGATCACATTTTTGTGGCAATTTTCTCGAACTACAAATCAGAGCTCTCTGAAATTTGGTAGCAAGCTTCATGTGAGCATGCTATGCATTGTGATGTAATTTTAGATTCATGGGTAATTTTTGTCTATTAAATAGTTATAAAATTTACATATTAGTAATGCAGGAGTAACCTGACCTAGACCTCTTTCAAGTTTCAATGATCAAAGGTCAAGTTTCAGGCTTAGCCCAATTCTCAGTTACAGGTCAACTATGTATGGTCTATAGTATGACAATGGTTTTACATGTCTGTCTGTCAAGGTTCATCTTACATTTTTACAAAATACTTATTTTTTTGCAGTTAGGCTTTTTATTTACTATGAGTATTAGGTCCACTATATCTTATCTTTGAAATTCCATTTCTCAATTGCTGAGTGTAGTAAATCAACTGCATTTGGTCTGTAGATCAGTGTAAGATGTTAATGTCTTTCTGGTGATGTATTTGTACTTTATCATGTTTACTTATTTTTTATGTTTACTTTTTTCATGTTTACTTATTCTTTATGTTTACTTTTTTTCATATTTACTTATTTTTTATGTTTACTTTTTTCATATTTACCCATTTTCATGAATGAGGTGTTGCTGATAAATCAGTGTGTATTTAATTTTGTGGATTTTCTAAAAAATATCAACAAATTAATAAAGATAGTTTTCGTAAAGTGTTAATATGATTTCATACTTAACATGGTAGATGACCTTTAGAGATTAATATTAATAATGAGTTAAGTCCATACCTTTATTTGTATTTCAATAGGAATTTGGCAGTCAAAAGTTTAATGTTTGAAATGTTCATGCTTTTTTCAGTTGATCAGTGTAAGTTGTACTGATCTGTCTAAAGAACTCACTGACATAGTTTATTGATTTATGTGTGTTCTTGATACCTTTATTGCATATCTTGTCTATTCAGTTGTAATCAATATAACAGGCAAGACATTTCAGTATATGCACTCTTTTTTAGTGTTTATTATCATAGTATTTTTAGCTACATTCTTTGGTAAACAAGATTAATAAACTTACTTTTTAGGCATTTAAGACAAAGGACAGCTACATTGTTGTTGGAGCAGGCAATGATAAACAATTTCATAAATTATGTAAGGTGAGTGTTTTTAACAACTAATTGGTTCATCCATCTGTACCCTTTTTTACACGACTCCTTTATAATTAATGGTCTTTGTAAGGGTTATGGCTTGTTGACATTGCTGTATAGCTTTTTATTACCTAGAAAAAAGACTGACCAAGTACTTTCATTGAAAGAAAACAGTACTTACTACCTGGATTAGGTAAAAAATTGCAAATAGTCCTATTTGTTCAAGGATTTTTCACTTAACTTAGTTCTCAAAAGTGAAATAGACATTCATTGCCCTTCTCTTATTAAAGTACTTCTAAAATGGGAAATAGACATTCATTGCCCTCCTCTTATTAAAGTACTTCTAAAATGGGAAATAGACATTCATTGCCCTCCTCTTATTAAAGTACTTAAGGTACATTTATTTCTTTAGATCCAGAACATTTGGTAACTCTCATTTAGTTGCATTCAGTGTTTACTCAGAAAGAGATCAGCCCAACTCATTAAAACAAATAAATCTATGGCACCCATACTGTAAATTCAGAAATTATTGCGATGTTTTTATTATTGCGAAAAATGCGACAGGGTTATCATCGTAATAATTAAAACTCGCGTTTTGACATTTTTGATATGAATCAAACAGGATTTTTCTGAATATCGCAAAAATTAAAATCGCATTTTAGTCTAAAATGACAAAATCGCAATAATAAATGCACGCAATAATTTCTGAATTTACAGTATTTCAAATTTGAGCTTAGGTTAGGTTCTGCAGAATATTATGAATAAATGCTAGACCTGTTGAAGTATTTACTGTAAAATAGTATGGATCTAACCCTCGCTGTTATGAAAATATGGAACTCTGTAAAAAGTCTCAAAAATAAGATTGTTCTCATACTTCAGATTGTTCTCATACTTCAAAAAGAAGAGATCCACATTTGTAAATGGTAAAGGATAAGGAAAAGATATAAATGTTATATATTCTAGAAAAGTTTAAAGAACACACATATATTTATATATACATTTTAGGTGTTACAACTGGATCATTTGTTGGAGGATAACAAATACACAACAAACAAACTTCGTGTGCATAATAGGAAGAGTTTACTGTCAACATTGGACAATTTGTAAGTACTATTGTTTCAACTGGATTAAATATCATCTTAGTTTTCTAATTGCTTAACCTTTGTTTCTGATTTCCAGTTTATTTTTAATGACATTATCAGCTTATTACTTAGCATGCCAGGCTATCTGTAAAATACCCCATCATATTTTCTCAGTGCTAATTACAGCATTCTCTTAAAGGGGCACTAGCTGTCAAATTCATTTTCACCGATTTGACTCAAATTCTCATATTTGATTTATAACAATGTTAAACATTTATCCAAACTATTAAAAGTCTAAAATAAACAGTTAACAGGACATGGGCATGATAACACGTAGCTTTGTTTTTTGTGTATTTTAGTCTAGACGCCATCTAATTAACTATCGAGTTGACCTCCAAAGTCATCCGATGACCATATAAGCGATGTAATCATAAATAAAGATATAAATAGATTAAGCGAACTCGTGCTATTGGATTTTTCTAGGTCTGTTTAATTTCATATTATAGATTAAAAATATATGTTTATCATCGTTTTTACCTGTATAAGAATGATTTTTTGTGGATCCGATCTGTCAATCAAATGATTTACCTTTGTTTCACTTTCAATGTTGACATTCTTTTCCTTTAAATAACTTTACACATACAATTCACATGTTATCCATCTCTAGCGAAGGGGTTAAATTGTAGTTCACGTGAATACGGATTCAATGAGGTCGAATTATTCACTTGCAAGTGAATAATTCATCATCAATGTTTCTTAGCTTATTTTGACAAAATTGAACCATACTGGCGGCTAAAAGAGAATCATTATTTCACTATTTCACTTTCATTAATGATTGAACGAAAAAAAATCAGATATTGGATTTTTTATATATCTCGTAGCTAGTGCCCCTTTAAAATGAATCGTTTGATTTCATTCACCTTAGTCACAAACCATTGTTAGCGGCAAAGGTTATTATTATTTTTCAAATTGGTTTTATTCTAAATTTCAGAAGTCAATTGAAAAAAAAAATTACTTTGATTCTAATGAAAATCGTATTAAGAAAAGAAAACAAGATAAATTGTAAAAAAAAAGGTCTTGTTCCTGCTTACTGTCAGATAGTTTTAAAGAACTTTATTATACACACGATCATCTTTGATGATATTTTCTTGACCTTTTATGACAGGGAATAAATCATATTTATAAATAGGAGCTTAATGATGTTGAGTTGTAAAGTATAAAAAAATTTCAGATTTGTGCAGCCACTTACTGTTGGTCAATAGTTTGAACAAGACAAATATAGTAAAATGTTATTGTAGACATATTCATGTTTCATTATATATAATACTTTTATATAAGATTTTGATTTTTTTGATTTTTTGGTGTTTTAACGCCACTTTTAAGAACCGCTTTTGGACTATTTCGTGGCGGCTAGACTTTATTGGTGGAGGAAGCCGGAGTGCCCGAAGAAAACCACCGACCTACAGTAGTAACTACTTAGACCACTCGGCCACCGAGGCCCTCTTTTATATAAGAAGTTTATTTGATGATATAGGTAATTAATATGCAACATAGTCTTTTTACAAGACTCTCATTGTGAAAAGAAATAAAACATTTGAATTGATGACCAATGACAAAGGTGTCTGTTTTGAATTGATGACCAATGACAAAGGTGTCTGTTTTGAATTGATGACCAATGACAAAGGTGTCTGTTTTGAATTGATGACCAATGACAAAGGTGTCTGTTTTGAATTGATGACCAATGACAAAGGTGTCTGTTTTGAATTGATGACCAATGACAATGGTGTCTGTTTTGAATTGATGACCAATGACAATGGTGTCTGTTTTGAATTGATGACCAATGACAATTGTCTCTGTTTTGCATGCATTATATTAAAATTTTGACTTATTAAAATATCAGATTTATAACAAAAAAGACCAAAGAATGGTTAGATGTGTTTGATGGTTGTGGAATACCCTATGGTCCTGTGAATAACATGGAGAATGTCTTCATTGATCCACAGGTATGGTATAACAGATTAGTTCAATAAATTGAAAGATAACTAAATATGTATCACTATACAGTTTGAACACATATGGTCCTACATCATATTCATACTTATATTTTGGCATTGCACAAAATCTTGCTTTTCTCAGACTGTTTATGAAGTCTTTAAACTAAATCTGCTGGATGTGTGCTGATTGATATTTTAGTCTGAGAAAACATGATTATTTATTAGTTGTAATTGGCTTTGAACTATCTTTCAGTAAATGCAAATACTCTCAGATTGGTACTTTGTGTCTTTTTTATAATTGTCAGTTGTTTTTTGTGCTTCAGACATTGATTATGTAAAGCTTTCCCTTACTAATGCAAATGTATTCCTCATCAGTGTGGTACCTTGGTGTTATTGCAACAACATGCAAAAGAACAATGATTCCATTGAAAAAAAACTCCTGCTTCTTCACAGAATGTCAGATAAAAACTTTAAAAAGTACCTTTAGGAATATGACAGTTGTTTTCCATTTGTTAGATGTGTTTGAGCTTTTGATTTTTGCCATTTTATTGTTTTACCCCCAACTGTCTGTTTGTCCATCCGTCCGTCCCATTATGGGTATATAGTTATTCCACATAACTCCTCCTACAGTTTGAATGCTAGGAAGTTTTCACTTTGCTGGCTGTTTGTACATATATTGAAGGTGTGCATGTGGTCAGGGTTTTGATTTTTATTAATATTTTTACTCTTTTGGAAGATAGTTGAACTTTGTCATTTTTGGAGTATAAGAGGTGCGTAACCTTATAGTTATTCCGCATAACTCCTCCTACAGTTTGAATGCTAGGAAGTTTTCACTTTGTTGGCTGTTTGTACATATATTGAAGGTGTGCATCCGGTCAGGATTTTTTTTTTTATTAATATTTGCTCTTTTGGGAGATAGTTGAACTTTGTCATTTTGAAGTATATACTCGCATAAGAGGTGCATAGAATTTCCGGATAACTTCTACAGTGAACCATAGACCTATGTGCTCACATGCTCAACTTTGCGTATTTTAAAATAACACTTTGCATCTGCGGGGGCATCATTTGTGTCTCCCAGACACAATAATATCTCAAAGAAAGTCCTACATTGACTTTGTTATAATACAGATACTTCAGAGTGGAGTGTGGGGCATCACTTTGTCTAGTTTTTTAATTCCATTATAATCTTTTTATTACATAAGGGGACCGAGTGGTATAAGTAGTCTAACTAGTGTATCACTAGCCTGTCAACACTTAGTCTTAGGTTGCGAGTTTGAATCTGGCACGTGGCATGTGCTTGAGTCCAATCTTAATTGACTAGGGTTGTTGGTTTTCCTACCAAAAGTTGTGTTTCACTCTGGGCACTCTGGGCAATCTGGCTTCCTTCACCAATAAAAACTGACTGCCCTGAAATAACACAATAGTGCTAAAAGTGGAGTTAAATACCAACCAATCAATTGATCAATTCTATTACATAAGTTTAAATATTTTTTCCATTTACTTTGGATAGTTTTTTTGAAATGGCTATTAAGTAACAGCACATTGTAAAAATATCTGATAAGTCTCAAAACTTTTATAATATTATTTTGTGATGTCACAACTTTTACATGCACATACAATATAGGCTACCAAACCACTGTGCTTATCTACAAAGCAGGTGGGCAGATCTCTCTTTGTTAATAGTTTAATCATAGAGACAAAGAATTATAAAAATAAAAATTCTGCAAATTGAATAGCATGTTACATTCATTATACCTTCTTGTTTGCTTATCCTTCCATCCCACTTTTGAATCCCCAACTTCTCCTGAACTGCGAAACAGATCTTTTGTGTTGCTTTCACTGAATCTAACTCAAATGATGTACTTTTGCACCTCTTATTTTATTTCTTCATCAGAATGGAGTTTACTTTTACATGAGATGGACTCAATGTCAATTATGATATTATATTGTCCTTATATTCTTGTGTTCCATTGTTCAGGTTGAATTTGAATCTGTCCCATAGTAACTTGGTATGACAGTTTAACAATATTTGTCATGTAGATTATATGGACTTAATTTTAATGCCAAATTAGAGTTTTGACCCTAATTTCACGTTCCACTGAACACAGAAAATGATAGTGCGAGTGGGGCATCCGTGTACAAAATTTCTTGTTCAAAATGTTACAGGATGATATACTTGAAAATAGAGAAACCAATATTATAAATTTCTTGATGGTTGTCTATATTTTAAAAGACTTCAGTATGTAATGAATTAGAGGAAAGTATTCAGTAGAACCTTTGAAAGATAGCAACTCTTTTTAAAGAAATTTGCAATGTTGTCAGTGTAAAAACCAAGAAACATTAGTTCTAGATGTATACCTCAGTGTACAGTTGTTCTATTTCAGACTTTACACAATGAAATGATCCTTGAGATGGACCATTCTATAGCAGGAAAAGTTAGAGTTCCAGGTAGGTGATCTATTTTGTATCTTGATATTCTGACTAGGTTTGGGGGGGTCCTGTGAATCCAGCAAAGAAATATGGGCAAGATGTATGTAATGGTTTACTGAACATAGCAATGTGATAGGTTAAAGTTTTGGTTCAAGGTCGGTTAAAGTTTTGGTTAAGGGTAGTTTATGGTAACATCAATTTGAGTCTTAGTGCACATGTTCATTATGAAGTAAACTGTTTTTAATATATATGCCAAATTTGGGTTTGCATCAAGATTCCAGGGGTTGCACCAAGATTCCAGGGGTTAATGAACCTGGTCATATGACAGTGTGTTAAAGTACAAAATAGAAAAAATATTGTACAGTCCTTTATAAAATTGAATTATCTCCCCTTACAGTGCTAAGTTAAAAAAAAAATTGAATCAATCAAAAAATTATTCTGTATTTGTAAAAACAGTCTTAATAATAAGATAAAATCGCATATTTTTCTTCATTCAGATGAAAAAGTATTACAAATGAATTGTATTCCTGCCTCAGAATTTTCTTATTTCATGAGAAATTAAGAGACTCTTTTCTGCTATTTTACAATCCAAGGTGGCAGAAGACCCCAATACTATCTTATTGAACTGAAAATTGATTTAGCATTTGAAATCCAGCCATGTTTAGTTGGGGTTGCAGTAGTCAGAGATTGCTCTGACAACTGACTGCATATTTTAGGACTGGCTTGTGCGCTCCCACTGCCCTAGCTATATTGTTAAAAGGCTATCAGACCTTATAACAATCACAGACTAGAGCTGAGATACAAGATGCTTACCCAGTTTTGTAATTATTGCAAAATCTGTGTTTTGCTGTGGGAAACCCCCAGAATTATCAGAATTAAATATATGAAAGGAGGCACCCAGTTGAAACCACCAAATTGTCTGAGGCAGTTGACATGTTTACAATGTCACAAATGACATAACTGCACTTTAGTTAATCAAAGTTTATTCATTTATCAGTAGAATTTTTGCATAATTATACCCCCACTTTAAAAAAGTGGGGGTATACTGTTTTACCTCTGTCTGTCCGTCCATCCATCCATCCCTCCGTCTGTCCATCCGTCTGTCAGTCCGTCAGTCCTTCAGTCCGTCCCATGAAAATTTCGTCACATCTTTCTCAGGAACTACAATATAAGGATTTCTGAAATTTGGTTTCAGGGTTTATATAAGTCAGCTATACCGTGTGATGCGTTTTCAGATTGATCACTCAACAACTTCCTGTTTACCGAACACTTACATCATGTTACACAACACATCCAAGTTGAAAATTTTCGTTACATTTTTCTAAGGAACTACATTACAAGGATTTCTGAAATTTGGTTTCAGTGTTTATATAAGTCAGCTATACCGTGTGATGCATTTTCAAATTTATCACTCAACAACTTCCTGTTTACCGTCAAGTATTTGGGCTGGGGGTATCATCAGTGAGCAGTAGCTCGCAGTTTCACTTGTTTTAGATGTTTGGAAGGCTTTAATCATACTTCATTCTCTTGTTTTGTAGGCCAGGCAGTGAAGTACAGTGATAAACAGATGAAATCTACACTACCACCACCAACACTTGGACAGCATACTAATGAAATTTTAGAGAATATGCTTAATTTATCAGAGACTGACATTAAAATTTTGAGAGATAAAAAAGTAATACAATAGTAATATTTATCACTACAGCTAGTAACCAAATACAAATGTTTATTTTGTATTTATCAAAAGGACAAAAGAGCAATATTTGTATACTATGTCCTTTTGATATATACGAATTAAAGTCTTATAAGATTTTTCTTTATATTTAAAATCTAAAATATTAAGGCAAAATAGAAAAGATAATAATTATAAAACAAAGGATTATTAAATGTGCAACATAGCAAGCATTAAAATGGGAAGGAAAAGTTGAGCAAATGTATAATTGAGGGGTTGACCTGTGTAAATTAAAGGGAGATAAGTCATGAAATCAGCATTTTGTTGATAACATAGTCAGTTTTAAGCATTCATGTGAAACCAAATTAAATATGTGGTTTGTAAAATGTATTTAAGAAAATGGTTGACACAAATTTAGCAGTGGTTTTAAGATTTTTGTCCCTAAATCAAGGTTAGCCTCTTTACAGCTAGTGCGGACACATACATTAGTATGCTGCATATACCCTTATTTTAGGTATTGTGTACCAAACCTGTCAGAATATTACAAATAGTTTTCCTATAAGTAATATAGCAGACAATTTTATTCAAGTTTGATAAAAAAAACTCAAAAATTTATATAACATTTAAAAATATTTTGGGCCCATTGCATTTGCGCCAATTTTTAAAGAATACAGGATTTCATTTGAGCCCAGAAATAATAACGGCTTCTATGCCAGGATACACATAACAGAAAGGTTAAGATGTACATTATATCCTGAATACTAGGCTTTTAAAAAAAAATATCCCCCCACACCATGGACAATAAAGTGAGTCAATTATTTAATGCCATAAATAGGTTATCTAATGCTATAAAAAGGTTATCTAATGCTATAAATAGGTTATCTAATGCAAACCCAGAATAACAACCAATGTGGGCAGCACAACCATTATAAAGACATTGAATGAACACAACCATGGTGTAGACCAGCAAACAGTCAAATCTCAGCAATTTAAGATTCTTAAAACATCTGTTGACATTTCTGAAAGACCATTGAATATTATCCTGCTGTCCTGGGAAATAGAGCTGTTGTACATAATGTTATGATTTATCATGAAAAAATAATCTTTTATATGTACTATTTGACTGTATTATTGGTGCAAATAAAACATGGTTTGTGGCGTAAATGAAAGATTTTTTTCAGTGAAAATGAAAAACCAATTGGCACAAAAACAAAACACTGATTTTTTTCACCTTTGCTTGTTATTTTCTCAAATTAGCTAAGCAAGAGCATTTTACAAGAGGATGAAGTATGTGTTCTGTTTTTATATGTTTTCAAATTTTTTCTTTGAAATATCTAGAAGAAAGTGTAATATTCCAGAATTTTGTCTTTGAAATATCTAGAAGAAAGTATAATATTCCAGAAGTGGATTGAAATATTTATTTGCTTAATATATTCTGGTTGATGATTGGAAAAAAAACCCCAGTTATAATCATTATTTTTGTAATTTATTGATGAATCGAAATAGACATAATTGCCATGCTGTTATCTGTATAAACTATTGTGAATCAAGGATTTCAAGCAATTTAAACTTCTTAAAATTACTACATTTATATCTGTTACTTGCTATTGTTTGAATAAATTATCTTTTTAGGGTGCAAAGAGTACCATGTCGAGGTATAGGTTAAGGAACCAAACAAATACTTGACATGATTTGATTTTAATCGGTGCAAGATATAACACACCTTCAGTTAGACCCCGAACACACTTGGACATTTAGATCGATTTAAGCCCAATGTGAACGCTTTGAATTGATCTTGAAAGGGTTTAAACTAAAACACCAAAAGAGGTAGTTTTGTTTGAATCAATCTAAAGTGAACCGATCTAACTTTAAATGTGAATGCAGAGATTGATCTAAACTAGTATGATTGAAGTGATAATAATTTGTGTGCATGTATGGTGGCAAAATTACATGTGTAATTTATTACAAAATGGATGACCAACATAAAAGGGCTGAAAATTAACGAAACTATACAAACAGCAGTATCAACATTTGAACTTGTAATTCAAGTGAAATAATAACTTCATCTATAACACATTGATTTGATTAAATATTTATATTTATACACAGTGTTTACAATTTCACGGGTAATTAGGTCAGATCAATTTCATTTTTACTTGTAGTGTGAACGCAGTGGTTCAGATTAGACCGATAGAGATCGTTAATATAAAAAATAATGTGAACGCTAACTGATTTTATTCAGATCGATTCAAATCTAGATTGATTCAAAAAATGTTAGTGTGAACGGGGTCTTGCTTCTATTTCTATTCAACGTCTTAATCATTTTTTTTATTTTATTTTTTTTCCTTTAAATGCTGAATCTTATTGCTTGTTGGTTTGGCATCTAACTTATTTCTGTGAATTAAGTTAGCCTTATATTTTTATCTATATTTTGAATATCAAATTAAAATTGCTGTTAGAATATAATAATTATTTGTAATTTTCATTAATCAGAAAAAAATGCTAATGAATTAATTATAAATGCTGTACAATATTGTGATGATTTGGATAAGATGTGATTTATTTTACAATGAATTAAATATGGAAGAGACTTGCTTTCCTTTGATATTTCCAGATATTTGTATAACTTTATTAGAAAATGAATAAAAGAAGATATTTGGTAAATAAGTCAACGCGACAGTAACTGAATACCAATAAACCCTCAAACAACTAGAATATAAAAATAGACCCTCAAACAACTAGAATATAAAAATAAGAAGATGTGGTATGATTGCCAATGAGACAACTCTCCACCAGAGACCAGATGACATAGAAGTTCACAACTATAGGTCACCATATGGCCTTCAACGATGAGCTAAACCAATACAGCATAGTCAGCTATAAAAGGCCCTGAAATGACAAATGTAAAACAATTCAAACGAGAAAACTAATGGCCTGATTTATGTACAAAACAATGAATGAAAAACAAATATGATATACAGCAACAAACCACAACCACTGAATTACAGGCTCCTGACTTGGAACTTAATTTAATATTCAACATTAAGTCCCAGCTTTAAGATGAAATATTACAAAATCACAGCTATGGAAAAATGCATAGGTGAATGTATACATGTATAAATATGCAAACATTCTTCTAAAGTTTACAAAAAATACAATTCATCAAATTGATGAAAAATGTAGGTCTGTATGTATGTTTTAAAGCTCCTTTATTCTAAAAGGAGCGTTTGTTTTGTAACAGAATGGTGTGTCTTAGTTTTCAATAGGAAAGAATGGGAAGAAATGATGGTTAAAATGATAGTGCATGAAATATGTTGTAGAAATGATGATTTATAAAGTGTATTTACATGTCTGCTTTACAAATATTGATTAAATAAAGGTTGCTGTAGAAATATGTTGCTGGAGATAAAGTCACTGGGGTAGCAAACATACTTCATATAATACAGATCACTGTATCTAATTACTTTTGAATCCTCAAAGGATAATGGTTATCCAAGGGGAGGGGGGAATGGGGTTGTGGTTGTTCCGGGCGTTGGAACCCCCCCCCCCCCCCCCTTTTTCGACGATCAATGCATTTGAATGGGGACATATGGTTGGAACACTCCCTTTCTCCTGGGTTGGGACCCTCCCCCCCCCTTTTAAAAATGTCTGGATCCACCCCTGTTATATCATGCTTTTTTTAAAAACAATAAAAAGTATGGGTCACATGGCTTTTTATCAAGCTGCAGGTTGTGCAAAATAATCATAATCTGATTATACATGGAAAACCCAATTTTTTGTAATAAAAAGAAAACTAACAAATAGATTTTCAAGATAAAATATGAGAAGATAGCTCTTACAATGTACTTTCAGAAAATAAAGATAAAATTTGGGGTCATGAGCCTCGTTTTCTTGCTACACAACAAAATCAGTAAATTCATAAAACTTTCCTTTATAACATACATTATCTTGGTTATCACCCCTTATATGGCAAAGTTGAAACAAATTGAATTAACCAAAATATATTCTGTGTTTATAAAAAACATTCAAAAAAATATAATAAAACTCCTTTTTAGCTCACCTGGCCCAAAGCTTTTCTCATCACTTGGCCTCTGTCGTCCGTTGTCGTCGTCCGTTAACTTTTACAAAATTCTTTTTCTCTGAAACTACTGGACCAAATTTAACCAAACTTGGCCACAATCATCATTAGGATATCTAGTTTGAAAAATTTGTCCGATGACCCCGCCTACCAACCAAGATGGCCGACATGGCTAAAATTAGAACATAGGGGTAAAATGAAAGTTTTGTCTATTATTTTGAAAACCGTTATAAATAGAGAAAATCTGACGTGAGCAAAAATGTTCAGAATGTTGAGCTCTACTAATAGTCCAAATACGTAAAAACTGTCAGATGACTTCTTATAGGAGTTATTGCCCTTAAATGAAAAATTTTATCATTTTTATGCCCCCGCCGTAGCAGTGGGGGCATAAAGTTTTACCCTTGTCCGTCTGTACATACATCCCAAAATTGGTTTCCGTTCTCTAACTTGAGTTTGCCTCAACCAAATGTTATGAAACTTATACACTATGCTGATTACCACAAAACACAGATCAAGTTTGAATTTTGGTGGTGTCACTTTAACCGTTCTAGAGTAATGACCTTTATAAATGGAAAAATTGCAAAATTTTTAGTTTCTGTTATACTTTAGTTTGCCTCAACCAAATGTTATGAACCTTATACACAATGCTGATTACCACAAAACACAGATCAAGTTTGAATTTTGGTGGCGTCACCTTAACTGTTCTAGAGTTATGCCCCTTTATAAATGGAAAAATTGCTGAATTTTTCAATTCCATTCTCTAACTTAAGTTTGCCTCAACCAAATGTTATGAAACTTATACACAATGCTTATTACCACAAAACATAGATCAAGTTTGAATTTTGGTGGCATCACTTTAACCGCTCTAGAGTTATGCCCCTTTATAAATGGAAAGATTGCAAAAAATTTTATTTTCTTCTAAATATCAAGTAATTCTTAAAATTGGAGTTATCTTCCTTTGTCCCTGATTATAGTTGAATCAACTACAATCAATGCTTTATACAATGCAATGTTTAATTTTGACTTCCACTGATAAAACACAGATCAAGTTGAATTTGGGTAGTGTCACTTTAACAATTATTGAGTTATGTGCCTTTATAAATTGAAAGATTGCAAAATTTTTAGTTTCCATTCTGTAACTTAAGTTTGCCCCAACCAAACATTATGAAACCTAAACACAATATTCATTACCACAAAACTAAGATCAAGTACAAATTTTTTGTTTCCGTTTTCTAACTTTAGTTTGCCTCAACCAAATGTTATGAAACTTATACACAATGATTATTACTGCATAATACAGATTAAGTACGAAATTTGGTGGCGACACTTTTACCATTCTAGAGTTATGTCCCTTTATAAACATAAAAATTGCTGAATTTTTCGTTTCCGTTCTCTAACTTTAGTTTGTCTCAACCGAATGTTATAAAACTTATACACAACCGTTCTAGAGTTATGCGTGTTTACAAATAGAAAAATTGCTGAATTTTTAGTTTCTGTTCTCTACTTAAGTTAGCCTCAACCAAATGTTATGAGACTTACACACAATGCTTATTACCACAAAACTCAGATCAAGTTCAAATTTGGGTAGCGTCACTTTTACCGTTCTTCAGTTATGTACCTTTATAACTATATGATATGCAAGCGGGGGCATCATCTGTGTCCACATGTGGACACTATCCACATTTGTTTTTATTATTATCTTGAAAACTATAATAGATAGAGAGAAACAAATTTGCAACAGGGACTTTCTATACTTACGTATTTTTTTTTGCATTTTGCCTTACATGATAAAAATTATAATAGATAAATAGACACTTTAAATCTCAAAAATGATCAGCAAGGCAAAATCTACTAACAAGTCAAATTTTGCCGATATAGTTAGTGGACTGTTACTCTTTTATAGGAGTGATTGCCCTTAAATGAGGATTTTTATGCCCCTGTCATAGCGGAGGGGGCATTAAGTTTTACCCTTGTCCGCCTGCACGTCCGTCCGTCCGTACGCCCGAAATTGGTTTCCGTTCTCTTACTTTAGTTTGCCTCAACAAAATGTTATGAAACTTATACACAATGCTTATTACCACAATACACAGATCAAGTTTGAATTTGGGTGGCGTCACTTTTACCTTTCTAGAGTTGTGCCTCTTTACAAATGGAAAAATTGCTGAATTTTTCGTTTCCGTTCTCTAACTTTAGTTTGACATACACAATGCTTATCACCACAAAACTCAAATCAAGTACGAATTTTCCGTAATATGCAAGCGGGGGCATTATCTTTGCCCTATGGACACATTTCCCATTTATTTTACCCTCTTTTGTGTTTTGAGCAAAAACTAAAGAAGATAGAGAGAAACTAAACAATGAATGATCAGCAATACAAGATCAACAAAACAGATTTTTGTCATGAATTCTATTCTCATCTACAATATTGGAGAGTGTCCTTTGTTGAATATGCACATAGACCAAGGTGAGCGACACAGGCTCTTGAGAGCTTCTAGTTTTATTCATTTAGATTGTGTTCTGCTATTTTGCTATTTTGCAATCCAAGATGGTGGAAGGCATCCTATCTGACCTGAAATCCGTTTTTGGCGTACTGATTGCTATTTAAATCTGGGAAAACATGATTTATTTATAAGTTGAAATTGGCTTTCAAATAGCTCACAGCAAATGCTAGTAGTCTCTTTGTCTGATTCGTTGTGTCTTTTATCTTTTTGGCTAAAACAGTGTTTAATGCGTGGTTTAGTGTTTCGTGCCAATCTCAGTACGATTGACTCCCTTTCCGATGAATTTTTACAGTTTGTTGTTTGGTTCTGCTGTTACAGTAATACCACTGTCTCAGGATAGGACATGGTTGAAATAAGCACTTACAAACGTATTTAACCCCACCACAGTATCTATGTGTCTCAGTGGTTGTCGTTGGTTGCTGTCTATCATTTGTTTTTCGTTTATTATTTTTTTTATCCTTCTATAGCTACATATTCTCCATATGTGGTGATATCCTGTGGAATATACTTTGCTGTGTTTCCATTATGCTTGTTCCGTTGGTATCCTTACCTCCATCTCAAGCTTGAACAAATTAACAGTCATCCTAGTTATATGTGTATGGATGTTGCTCATTGTTGAAGGCCGTACGATGACATATAATCGCTTACATCCACGCCCTTTGGTCTCTGTCGGATAGTTGTCTAATTGGCAATCATACCTGATCTCCTTATTTTTGTATAACCCATCATACCACACAGTCAAAAAATGGTATACCAACAGTTTTAAAGAAGGAAATGTTGAAGAAAAGTTCCAAATGAATAAGATGGGGGTTTGACCACCTTTTTTGTTTTCGTTTTCTTTTGTGTAGTCGTAAAAGTGATGCGAATTTTATTTTAAAAAAAAACGTGGTGCCGTGAGTTAGAAGTCGCTGCCTTAAGAACGAAAATATAGTTTTGAGAAAGTGAGATATAATACACAAGTGACCTGTTGTGCACCTCAAATTCTTAATGTCATGTCTATTTACACAAAATAAATGTTTCTTGTAATTAGCATTTTATGGTTAATGTGACAGTGTTGTAAATTGACATGTTTTTGTGTTTTATGCGTGTGATTATACTGTACATCTTTCAGGTAAGGGCTTACCAAATTTTGTATTTCCAAGAAAAACAGTATTTGTTACAAGCTGGAAAGAGGTATAACTCAATATACTATATCTTAGTTTCAAGATGTGGTAATTTTATTATCAATTACTGTTGGACTTTGGGACTGTAATGGAAAAAGCATGACCTAAAGGGTTGGGGTAAAGTTTTTTTTTCCAAAGGACAAGACGACATCTTCGTTGAAACAACAGTCATGTATTTTTATTTTATGTTTTGGACGTAAAGTAATTCGTGTAATTCTGGTATTTTGTATAGTTCTTATCGTGCTAATTTCAGAGTCAAATTATTTACTTATGCACCTTTTTAGTCAATTTATCCTTGTTCTTTCAAAATAAAACCACAAGAATTAAAATGTGCCCACCTTCTTTCTCAATATAATCTTTTTGTTTTTGCAAACATTTCCTTGTCGCATATTTCTCATTTTGCTTAAGGCGAAGTTTATATGTTATTCGGCAGTATTTCGGATATCCATGATTTTTTTATGTATTTAGAAAATATTTTAAAATGATGTTATTACTGTGAACGATTATGTTTCAAAGATCTGCGTCTTTCCTGTCTAAATCATTCAAGTTTGAGTCATGAAAAACTACGATTTGCCACGTGACATCCTGATAATATAACGCTTATTTTGTCCTTCTGAACTTTTTTTTCACTCTGCATATGGAACATACGGAAGCCATAAAGGGACACATAAAAAATAATATATAATCCGTGATCTTGGATTGATAATCTGTTATCTCGGATTAATAATCCGTTATCTCGAACTACTTATAAACTGTTGACACAGAGATATGTCTCGCCGGTCGGCAGAAAATTATAAAAAAGACAATCTACTGGACAGCAACATTGGTTATTAATTCAAGTCACTGAACCATGACCTAGGGTACAGGGCCTCGAAATAGTTGTCAAACTGATATCTGCTGATAGTAATGCAAATTTATACAAAATATTATTGATCTATCACAAGTAGTTTCTACCACACTGACTTAAGAAGAAAACTTAACAATTGTTAAGGCTTCCTCCGCCGTCGCCATCACCGGAAAAGCAACACCTACGCAGGCGAGACAAAAATAGGGGAAAAATCAATATCTCATGGGGCTATAACTCCGAACCAGTTGTTAGATTATTTCTGTTTAATTTTCAGGACGGATACATCTTGTCATGCTGATAAGTCTTGCCATTTACACTTTAAACCTAGCTCCTATAGTTTTGAAACAATGGCAAGGAAATGCCAAAAAAGTTAAACAAGAGTGCACACGCTGAAATGTCTTGCCTCTTTACCTATCCTGATTGATTTTATGTTGATAGCCCTAAACATAAAGTTTATTACAAGTATCACATAAACTTAAAGTTATCAATGATCCATGAAAATGAGTTCCAGGTCAGATAAACCAAGCCAGACAGACATGTACACCTTACAATCATTCCATACATCAAATATAGTTGACCTATTGCTTATAGTATACAAGAAACATCCAAATCATAGAAACTTAACCATGAAAATGAGGTCAAGATAAGATGAACCCTGCCAATCAGACAGGTACACCTTACAATAATTCCATACACCAAATATTGTTTACCTTCTGCTTACAGTATCTAAAAAAAACAACAGAAATATGACAGACGGAAATTTCGTAACATTAGGCATCTGTATACTAAGTATGAAGCATCCAGGTTTTTTATACCCTCTGAAATATAAACCTTAATACAAATAGTTTACGCCGCCGCTGCCGGATTGTAATCCCTATGTCTCGAATACTGCGACTTTAGTCGCAGGCGAGACAAAAATCAACATTTCGGGGGCAATAACTCTAAAAAAAGGTGGACAGATTTTTCCAAAATTTTCTGGATAGATAAAACTCTGTTGTACTGATTATTTTGTCTCTAATTGCTATGGTTTTAGAGATATTAGTCAAAATATAGTTTGATACCTATATTGACAACGGATTATCAATCCGAGATCACGGATTGGGAATCTGAGAGAACGGATTATTAATCCGAGATGACGGATTATCAATCCGAGATAACGGACTGTTTTATTCGAGATCACGGATTGGGAAACAAAGATAGTGGATTATTATTCCGAGATCACGGATTATTAATCCGAGATCATAGATTGGGAATCCGAGATAACGGATTTACAATCCGAGATCACGGATTACTAATCCGAGATCACGGATTAGGAAATGTCTTTTCTGCAAGCGGGTTAATCGAGCAATTGCAGTTTAAAGTGAAAATTGTCTTTTTATATCGCCACTTTTTACGTATATTATTATATTATTTACATTAATTTTATAGATCTATTTCACAAATATTGTATTGATCGTGCATCTGGATGCTATAAATGCTACAAATATATATATATATATATAAATTATATTCCCTGACGCAGTTCAACCAGCCCTAGGTGTTCTATAAAATCCTTAAAATCCCATTAAGCATACTTCACCTTACGCTAACTTTTGATTTTTCCATTTTAGGTACAATCTATATTATGGAAATCCAAGTATTTATTTTGCTGACTTTTTGTGGGATAACTTTCGCAGCTGCCGATCTTTCTAAAGAAAAATGTCCTCCCGGGTGTGTATGTAGAAAAAGAGATGTGAAATGTTACGCATTAACGGACTTTCCTGTCAAATTTCCTCCGCTAACAACTTATATTTTCATGGACGAAATGAACATACAAACCATTCCACCAAACTCATTTCTTGGACTCGAATTTTTAAATACAATTGAATTCCAGCGAAGTAACTTTGGGTCAATTTCTACTTGTGCTTTTAAGTCAATACAATCCCTAGAGAAGTTAATATTTTTTAAAAGTGTAATTGGTCATCTGGATAAATTAGCAATATTCAACAACACAGGTCTTCTAAATGTTGAAATAATTAAGTCCAAAATAACAAAAGTTAGTCCATTTGCCATAGGAACGCTTGACAATATTGCATCATTCAGCCTTGAAGAAACCACAATTTATGACTTGAAAACAATGTCTATCGTGAACGTATCAGGAAAAAAATTAAGTATTGTTGGTAGTGTTTTCAAAACCGTTCATTATATGCCATTCGTTTTTGGTAAATTTTCTCAAGTAAAAATACTGAACAATACGTTTGAAATGTTACCTTGTGGAACTATTGACAATTTACTGGTGGCAGCTGTCGATAACAACACTCTTATTACAGGGAATGCAGTAATGTGTGATTGTGGAATTAGCTATATACATAAAATTCAGGATGTAAAACAGAAAGAACTTTTGAATAATATGTATTGCCTCGACGGTGGAGTAATCAATTCACAAAGAATTGTTAGTGAAGCATTAAGTGGTGCATTGCCTTGTGACCAGAAAAATAAAGAGACTATAACCAAATGTAGGACACAAGAAATTTTGAAACTGCCAAAGCTGGTATGCCCATCATACAGTCACGGAGGAGTGTACAAATCTTCAGAAAGCAACAACCGTAACTCTGCCAGTAGCTTACCATACCGCATAACTGTCTTGATACTGACAATTTTTGTTTTTCTATAGTTTTACCTAGTCATCTGAACAACAGTTTTAATTACGAATTAAATGCTTCTTTTTGGAATTTTTAATTTATTGGGGTGTAAAAGCTGTCAACCGACGCACATTTTGTTGGAATCGCTTCCGAGCTTGTATAATAAATGTTTGCACGATTAACTCTTTTACAACCCTATAGTATTACAAAAAGAGAGATTTGATTCTTTATAGTAACTGTTACGTTTTCAACTATGATATTACGAGTTATATTTCATAAGTCATACGTTTCGTTTATTTTCCTATGGATTGTTGTGACTTTGTCACGGGAAGCACGTGCTGTCATAAATTTTGAATTTTATATGTAAATACAATCCTATTTTGTAATGCTCTGGATTGTTGTCAGCCAATCAAAAGTACGGATTTGATAAAATATACATGTAAGGTTTTTATTTGTTTTAAATTTGTTAGAACAGATTTTACACAAAAAAATGATTTAATGATGAACTCCGTAGAGTAGCTTTGGATATATTACAATCTATGAAATTATCATAATTTTTTAGATTACAATTTTTATTTTTAGAAAAAATATTACATCGGTGTTTTGCACTACAACATTGTACAAATGGTATAAGTACTAGACAACAGAACAAACTTTTCGTTATTTTGGAGTAGTAAATCAGCATTTTCAATCCCTCTGTATTAAATGCTCTTTACATACTCTTTCTTTGAACTGCATAGTGTACATAAATTAACAGGTATGTTTGATTTTCGTTTGTTGTTGTAGCATAAATCAGGCCGCAATTTTCCGCGTTTCAGATTTCTTTCATTTTTTTTTCATGGGACCTTTTATGGCTTGCTATACGGTATAGGATTGACATAAGAGTACTCGCAGTTACTGATAGCTATATAGTTCAAAGCTAATAACAACTAATGAACAAGTCATATTCTCTCAGTCTTAGTATTAATCATCACACATCCAAAATTACACTTGAAAGTACGGTCTCATTGGCAACCTTACCACTTCGCCTTATTCTTATATGCAATGGAACTGTCCTGGTTTTTTTTTCTGGTTTTTTTTTCTTTTTGGTAAATAAAGTTATTTGATCATCTATATCGACAACTGACTATCATAGTAAAATTGTAAAAGGTTTAAGAGGGTTTTTTTTATTTTTCTCACAAGAAAGCTTGTTTTATCTTTAAATGTCCGAACGCTTTTCCGAGGAGAATTGATAATATTTAGAGAGCCACTTTCACAACGTCACAATCATTTTTTTTTGTTGCGTAACGTTGTTAGTACTCCATGGTTACTAACAATGCAGGAATCATCAAGATGACTGGACTGTCTTGTGGTAAGTATACCTCTTTCCGGTATTTACTCAAGTGACCCTTATTCTACTTAAGAGGACCCATTCCATAAGGAGTGCATCTTAAAAATGATTCAAATTCTAGAATTAACACCCCTAGACAACAGACGAAAACAACAGAGGCATATATATTTTATTACAGAGTGGTTGAGGGTCGGGTAACAGTGATGCCGCCTTCCCACCACATAATCCTTAACCAAGGAAGACGCTTAATCAAACCAAAAAAGTTTCAAGACTGTATATCATCAAACAAAGACATCACCGCATAAATACAAAAACTGTTAAAACTCATCATTCATCAACCGACCAATGTAAGAACTCATCCATCAGGATTACTGTCGACTGGAACAATCTTGAAGACAGCATAGTGACAGGAAAGTAAACCGAATGCTTTAAAGCGGCACTGTATATCCGCAATCGGGACAAATAAATCTCCTAGGGGTGCTACAGCGTTTCCATACATATACAGATAGGTCTTAGCTAATATAAACACTAAACTTGAAACCAAGTTGAGCCATAACTGACACTGACCCTAAAACAAAACCCTTACCCACAATAAACCTTAATCGAACCCTACCTCTGAATTATAACGTAATTAAAAAAAACGAAGGCCATTAGAAGCATCTCACATATTCACATTGTAATAAAAAAAAATAAGCAGATTTGGTATAATTGTCCAACCATTACCATCAACAAGAGTCCTTAGGACGAGGATGTAAACAAATACATGTCACCTGATTAAAAACCCATACCGTAAGTTACGAAAAGGCCCCAGCATGACAAAATGTGTAACAGATCAAAAGAAAAATCTGGCATGCTGATTTATGCTTAAGAAATAAACGAAAAATTAATACGGTAGACAGTAATTAACAACAGACACTGGATTACAGACTCTTTACATATTCGTTTTAGTCAGCATGTGTACTGTGACTTCGCGTTCATAATCTGTGCCTTCACGTTTTGGCATGCCCACGTTTTTGTGTACTGTGACTTCGCGTTTAGTAACATATTCACGCCTGGTAAACCATCAAAGCTCAACCAAATGGTTAAGCGAGAAAAAAATTTACTAACAGCTTTTCTGGTATAAAATATCAAAAATATACATAGGGTGGGTCGACTTTTTGTCAATTTATTGTCAATCTGTGATTTTTTTGTTAAATAGGAGAATGTCATGCCATAGATAACTAAATGAGAGCTTGTGTCGTTTATTACTAGGACCAATATAATTTTAAAATGACATCGGAATCACTTTTCCCCGCAGGTAAGTGAGGCCAGCTCAATGAGTTTTTGACAAAATGACAGTGAGTTCATCAATAAAGTTAAGCTAACATATATATCAGTGAATTAGTGTTTTTTCTTAATCAATATAAACGTATGATAACAGTTTTTCTTATTTCTTTATGGATTTGTTTTTATTAAGCTGAATTTGTTATAAATTATGTCAGGTTGAGATTGTCTGGTATCGGTTGTGATATTCTGAAACAATGTTGAGATATTCTGACAAATAAACTTTCAACTAGCAAATTGACAATTGAGTACGACCGTCAAATTTCACGAACCTTCTGTATATAGTGGTTGTCATTCTAATTTACTTCTAGTTTTGACATTTGTATGATATCTAGAAAACGAGATGGAGCGTCTAGCGCTGAGTGGCGATTTACAGTCTATAGCTAAAGATGTAACGTCCAGCGCTGGAGAAGTAGTCTAGTGCACGAGGTGTGAAGTAGAAAAACAAAGGATATGGGGTATCTATCTATGACACAAAATCCGTACATGCACAGCAAAAACACAAAAAGCAAAGGAACAGCACTTTTATTGCTGATCTTCATCTCAATGTAGCAGTGAGATCTTCAACACGGAGCAACTCTCACCTCACTGCAAGTTTAAGACGGCCCCCAGTACCGTCTTGAGTGGAATTCTTTGCAAAGATAATTTGGATAGACTTTGTAAGATGTAACACCACCTAATCGTGCCCGGTCAAAAAGGAAAGTAGTACACATTTAAAACAAAGTATAGTTCCCACGCATAGGTGTAAATATCAAACTATGTCTAAGAATATATTTTGGTAATTTAGGTATCAAATGAAAGGTGAAGGACTGGTGATCCTTGTAGAAAACATTTTGACTGATGAATTTGAATAATACAAAAATGTATGAATGAATTCTTAAAATTTAAGGCATATATTGCCTGTTTCTCAGATATGAAGTACCTGGTTTGTTGTTACCAGTACGGTCTCATGTGTAAATAACGGTATAATTGATCTCGACCCCCATAAATGTTTGAAAGTGGAAAAATTAACGTGGATAGGATGTGGGGCCAAGAATAGTGCATGATGTGCGCCTCATTAAAATTTTAGTACACACACTGGCCTAAAATTGAGAGAATGATGTGACATAGATAAGAAAGTTAAACGTCTAGCACTATATATATCAAGTCGAGCGCTGTAGACATAAGGATGCAATACACAGTTAGGAGTTTGGTTTCGCATTTTGGCCCTGGTAAATTTTTCAACTATGAAAGTTATTGTGCAATACAATTAATTATTAAATAGCTGAAAAATAATAAAGCCTTCAAAAGGGGGTTCATATGAACATCAAGATTATTTTTTGCATGTTGTATATGCCATTTTCTGTTTCACAGTCCGTTTTTCACATTCGTACAGGTTATATGTCCAGAAATTATTGAAGTGTTTTCCAATAGACTTTTTGCGCTAGAAACTTTTCAATCCAATTGTATCGAAAAATGAGGTGAAATGCATTTGTGTTTTAGTTGACATCTTGATGAATAAATGTCAATGGTTTCAAAAGGTATCACTCAAATGGATTGAAATTTTAATGGGGACATTTGTGACATTTTCATTCCCCTTGTGCAATAATTTGTATCAAATAAATGCAGATTGTTGCCATGGTTACACTATAAATAGATTCCATTTCACTATTTTAACCTATTGAAGATGCTGTTTTCATACATATGCATATGCACGACATTAACAGTAAGCCTAATTTGTTAGAAAGAAAGGGAGTAGTTAAAAATTATGAGTGTAAATTCTAAGTTTTCTTCCTAACTGTGTATTGCTACCTAAAGTCAAGCGCTGGGTATGAAAAGTCCAGCGCTGGAGAAGCAACATCAAGCGATGGGGATGTAAAGCCTTACTCTGTAGTTCTAAAGTCCAGACATGGAGATATAAAACTCAGCGATGTAGTCCAGCGGACGGTAATAGCGGAACTTTGCATCTACAACTCGGAAAGTTTTCTTCTACAGCAGCGCTTGACTTTATATCAACAGCGATTGGCTTTATATCTTCTGCGTTAGATTTTAAATATTCAGCGTTAGACTTTCCATTTGGTCAGCTAGAATTTGAAAAACCACAACTCTTCAGTATCAGTATGTATTAGACCAACAAGGCTCCATATAAAACTAATGTAAAAACTAGAAACATATCAAAATGAAAACCACTTTACATTTGACGTTCGTATCCGACACTTCGCTAGTTGAAAGTTTTATTCGACAGAAAATCTCAAATTTGGTCCAGAATATCACAACCGATACCAGACAATCTCAACGCGACATACATTTTAACTTATTCAGCTTAAAAAAATCATATTCGTAAAGAAATAGAAAAACAAGGTTATTAAGTTTTTATTGATTAAGAAGAATACTTATACACTGATATATATGCTAGCTTTATTGATGGACTCACTGTCATTTTGTCAAACACTCAATGAGCTGGCCTCACTTACCTGCAGGGAAAAAGTTATTCCGATGTCATTTTAAATTATATTGGCTCTCATTTAGTTATCTATGGCATGACATTTTCCAATTTAACAAAAAAAAAAATAAAAAAAAAATCACAGATTGACAATAAATGTTCGAAAAGTCGACCTACCCTATGTATATTTTTTATATTTTATACCAGAAAAGCTCAACAGGAAGTGCAAGAGTAAACATTTTTCTCGCTTAACCATTTGGTTGAGATTTGATGGTTTACCAGGCGTGATATTACAATTTCATATCCTACGGTGATCATATTGGTTAGTAATGTGAACTTTACCATATCCTTATCCCGTAAACTTTGTATATTCGATGTATATGTTTTGTCTGTCCTTGAAATATTCTTGTAGATTGTCATTCTCTGACACAATATCCACAACTCCAGTTCAGCACATATGGTTGTATTGGGTTGACATGTGTAAAGTATCTCCTCTGGCAAACAAATTATTGGACTTTTGTACTAGTTTGCAGGCTGATCCAATGAAACCAAAGAGATCTACACTATCGCAAATTGATTTAGAGGACCTGTTTAGTTTTTAGTTTGGCTTCAACCAAATGTTATGAAACTTATACACAATGCTTATTACCACAAAACACAGATCAAGTTCGAATGTGGGTGGCGTCACTTTTACCGTTCTAAAGTTATGCCCCTTTACAAATGGAAAAATTGCTGAACTTTAGTTTGCCTCAACCAAATATTATGAAACTTATACACAATGCTTATTACCACAAAACTCAGATCAAGTTTGAATTTGGGTGGCGTCACTTTTACCATTCTTGAGTTATGTCCCTTTGTAACGTTATATACAATCGGGTCCCATGGACACATTCTCCATTTATTTGATTTCAATATGAAAAGATGTGCTGAAGTAATCCTAGTTTCATTTCATTACTGATACAGCTGGTTAGCTTGTACATTCGACCTTGAAGGCACGGCAATGTTGAATCTACATTTAAAGTTTTGAACGTGGATTTTCTAGAGAAATAAATCGAAGAAACATGTCTTTCATGGAGCAATTTACCCCCAATTCGCCAGAATTGTTTAATTGCATTCGAATATATCATTTGCCAAATAATATCTGAACTTTTAAAATAGTTTAACTACATCGAAAACAGAAGATACGAATATTGGTTTGGTGGAAAAGTATTGTCTTGGATTATTGTGAAAAGAAATTGTAAGGGGTTCCGCGGAACCATGTGTCTCGCCTGCGATTGCTGCTGTCGTTGTAAAAGTGTAAAGTAAACTTAAAAAGTGAGTCCATTTATCAGTCAAATACAGAATTTGCTATTTCTTGGTCTTGAAGATTAGCTTCTGACCAAGTTTCATAACAATCAATGGAGGTTTACAAATATAGCATGTCAAAAAAATAAATAATCCCAGACTGTCTGTAAATGTTAACTGTAAAAAATTAAGTCCATCTATCAAAAAAATATTGAAAATGAAAAAAAATATATTTTCAAAAGTTTGCCTTTTAATCATAAAAAAGCTTCTGCCAAAGTTTCATAAAATTCTGTGAAGGTTTTGACAAAGTAATTGATGTGTAACAAACTGTTTGAATTGTTTTACACTAGTCATTTTGGGGCCCTTTATATCTTGCTGTTCGGTGTGAGCCAAGGCTCCGTGTTGAAGGCCGTACTTTGACCTATAAATGTTTACTTTTTACACATTGTGACTTGGATGGAGAGTTGTCTCATTGGCACTCATACCACATCTTCTTATTTATATTTAACCCCAGACTGAATATAGTTGTTAACTGTAAAAAAAACACAAAGTCCATTTAGCAGTAAAATATGGAAAAATGAAAATAAATATTTTCAAAATTTTGCTCTGGATACTGTATTCTGGTCATGATCAACATTCTGTCCAAATTTCATAAATTCCATGAAGGTTTGACAAAGTTATTGTTGACTGAAAAACTTTAACCTCGGATTGAATCTGAAAGTTAACTGTAAAAACAAAAAAGAAGTCCATTTATCAGTAAAATACGGAAAAAAACATTAACCACAGACTGAATCTAAATGTTGACGCCGCCGACGCCGACGACGGAATCTAGGATCGCTACGTCTCCTTTCGCGGCCCAGATGTCGCAGGCTCGACAAAAATGTTTCAAGCTGCTCGTTTTCCTTGAAAAAATTATGACCACTGGTAAAAGTTCAATAATACTTTGCATATCATCATCAAAAGGCATATCATTCTCGTTATCCATCACCATCATTATCAAATGTATATAGACATCAAGCTTATCAATATATTTTAGAAAATAGTCCGAATCTGGAAAACAGTTTTGCATCTCAACTCTTTGTATCCATGATGGGATATGGTGTGCTCCAGTATGTCGTTCTGTCCCAATGACCTCTCGTCGCGGTCATAACAACCAAATCAGTGGATGGGTCTTTCGCACAGTGGACTCGACAAAACAAATATTTAAAAAAATGAATCACTCAAAAGGTACAATGAATGCTACAAGTCACAAAATACAGATTCTTCGTAAAACTAATAAAGGTCAAATGAGATTAACCTTTATATAATGTCTCAAAAGCCTAGAGTTACCAAACATGAAACGATTTAAGGGACCGAAATTACATTGCATGTGTTGAACATAAAGTCACAGTACATTCAAAAACGCTTTGTACAAGAAGTCACAGTACATTCAAAATCGCTTTGTTCAAGAAGTCACAGTACATTCAAAATCGCTTTGTTCAAGAAGTCACAGTACATTCAAAATCGCTTTGTTCAAGAAGTCACAGTTCATTCAAAATCGCTTTGTTCAAGAAGTCACAGTACATTCAAAATCGCTAGTACAAGAAAAAAGTAAAATAGCAAAAATACCGAACTTCAAGGAAAATTCAAAACGGAAAGTCCTTTATCAAGTGGCAAAATTAAAAGCTCAAACACATCAAACGAATGGAAAACAACTGTCATATTCCTGACTTGGTAAGAAGTCACAGTTCACAGGACTAAAATGAACGCAAAATTACAGTACACTTGCAAACTAAACCGACTATGTATTTCATTCCATGTAAAGGTATACAGCAGTATTAATGACCATGCTTGTTTTATATCAACCATAAATGATTTTGAAGAGGGTTTAAGAGAGGCGAAAGATACCAAAGGGACATTCAAAAGTCGAAAATAAACTGACAACGCCATGGCTTGGCATTTGTAATGTAGTATTTTCTATCTAAATTGACAAAAATCTTTGAACTTCATCGAACGTTGTGACAATACACCCAAATTCTTTTTAATTGTATTATTATGTTTATGTAAATATTCAATTAAATTCATTCTATAATACATCATGTTATTGAAAAGTAAATAAACAATATAGAAAATAAAAACACATACCAAACTGAATGTTCTGTTGTCACTGGAAGTCATACTACACCGAGAACGCGAAGGCACATTTCATAGAGGACACTGTTTAGGCCACACTTGAAATATTTTGGTTTGCCCAAACTCTACCCGAAGGTAGAGACAGTGGGTAGGTAAGTATGCATTTTCTTTCTTTTTTTTCGGCAACGAGAAATTGAAGTGTCAGAGATGTTTTTTAGTCTGCATGCCTATCTAATTAAAAAAAAACTTTTTCACATCAGGACAATAAAAGATTTTGAGTAGGCAGCTATTTTCTGGGTAGGTAGGGTTAGCGCAAACACACATATTCTTTTTTATGGCCTCAAATAGTGTGGTTATGAGAACGAAATGTGTAAAGTTTGCAACGTTTTGATAAAAGTGTCCACTATTGCAATCTATATAATCCAGGATAAAAAATTTATGATATGACATTGGAAAATTGTTGCCAAATCCTTAATGTATATTATCCAATTTGTTAATACTATACATGTGTTCAAATTTCACTAGGTTTCAACAACTTTCGGGTTTTTACCTCATTAATGAAACAAATTCCGTGAAAATTAATCTAAGCGATATGAAACGTGGACTTCTATAAGATTAGATTTAAGGAGTTTGGCTTACCTGGATACAGTCCTAAAATGCATCAGGTCAGGATGTAAGCTACAACAACTAGAGCCTAAAACAAAACGTCGTATCCATACAATCTTACAATAAAAGAAGTTTATACATATTTCTTGTCCTCTATTGGGCAGCACGTATACAATATTGTAAAATCGTATGGATTAGAGTAAGATCACATTAGATAAGTTGAAATAGTAATAGAAATATAAAATGTACTGAACAATCTAAACACAGAAAAACAATGGGGTCTGTGCTCTAAACACCTCAGTGCGGGGGCAACGTCAATGAGACAACAAACAACAATACAAGTTGACCAAAATAGCAAAATATGCAAAAGTTATAACCAAATAATTCTTTTCTCTAACATGAACTGCATTTTCTTTTTCAGTGGCATACATACTTTATATTTATTATGAAAATTGTCATCTGTTACTAACAAACGAACGCATACACTGACAAATTTACCTCAAAAACACAATATGATAAAGAAGATGAATACAAAGATTTTGAGCGATGGAGATTTGAAAAAGCCTATCTATTTAATTGAAAATAAATAGAATGTAATAAAACAAATATTATCAAATCAAATGTCATCAGAATTCTCAATAGCGTCTACGTTACATCTTTTCCCAGACATTACCAGTTTGAATACGTAAAGATTTGCTTCCATGTGATATGTACACGATAGCAAGTTTTATATACTGGTTCCTGGTTGGTTTTCTGTATATTGGGATTGGCATACCGTATGCAATCCTGAAGCTGTCATTTTACTGTCTACAAATAGGATTCAGTAACGAGGTTTGTTAGCTATTCATCAATTTTCAATTATAACCTGTATATATATATAGCACTACTATAAAGTAATTGAAAGGAAATGGTTGTGTGTGTACGCACGTTAATGTTAAACATTTTACAGTATACTTTATCATGCATTGCATGTCCGTCCAAATGAGCACACCTCGCAAGAAAATTCGAGCGGTAATTGTAACTAAAAATATTCATCTTTTTAGTATGATATTTATTGAAATTTTATACATCTATCTGAACGACATTCAAAAGGCTTCGTATTGGAAATATAAAAGATATATCTATCATTTTTCGATATTGGTATGCAGTTCTGCATTCTTTAGCTACTTGCAAAATTGTAATTTTGAAAATTTACATCTGAGGTCTGTACAGTGTTACCAACCCGTAAAACTAATAGATAATTAACTGTTCTGTTGAGAAATAATATCATTCTATCATACATTGCTGCTCATTGTTCTTTGTTACATTTTTATTTCATTAACACAGACTTACAAGTCATCTCTTTTTACGATTTGAAATTATTTAAATATTTTCTTTATTTTATGCAGTGCAGCGTAGTGTGTCGACTCGTATCCTTCATATTGATAGAACTAGCCATTAGCTTGTTGCTAAAACTGATGAACGCAGGTATATATATATACATATTGATGCATATATTTTAGACTAATTCCTATATTCAACGTACAACTCCTCGGACTCTTAAACAACAAAATGGCTTCAAATAATATGATGTGTCATTTTATTCTTACTATACAGCGGAATTCACAAACATGTAAACTGTATGTGCTTGTCATAGATAGGACCTTTTAACTAAGACATGTCATAAGAACAACATATCTCAGTCCTAAATGATGGTGTATGGGTTCTGCTCATTGTTGAAGGCACTACGGGTGACCTGTAGTTGTTAACAGTTTTACACCGTCCACTTTGAATTCCAAATTGGTGTCTATTACCCAAAATATTTCATTTTGAACATCAATATAAAAGCAAAACCAATACGATGTCTCGAAATATTAATATTTTTTGTAAACGGTTTAGAAACCGGATAGCTGTAGCTGTTTACTTGGTTCGAAGCAGGGTTGAAATACTCGGCAAAGCGTCGGGTTCTACTTGTTTATAAGCCTTGTAAAAATAAATTTTATATTTTTAGACAATGCCAGTATAGTTATTTTATATCTATAGGTTGTGCTCATTAGTGGTGGCACCATGATGACCTTAGGACAATGTATAGTTATTTTATATCTATAGGTTGTGCTCATTAGTGGTGGCACCATGATGACCTGTAGACAATGTATAGTTATTTTATATCTATAGTGTGTGCTCATTAGTGGTGGCACCATGATGACCTGTAGACAATGTATAGTTATTTTATATCTATAGGTTGTGCTCATTAGTGGAGGCACCATGATGACCTGTAGACAATGTATAGTTATTTTATATCTATAGGTTGTGCTCATTAGTGGTGGCACCATGATGACCTGTAGACAATGTATAGTTATTTTATATCTACAGGTTGTGCTCATTAGTGGTGGCACCATGATGACCTGTAGACAATGTATAGTTATTTTATATCTACAGGTTGTGCTCATTAGTGGTGGCACCATGATGACCTGTAGACAATGTATAGTTATTTTATATCTATAGGTTGTGCTCATTAGTGGAGGCACCATGATGACCTGTAGACAATGTATAGTTATTTTATATCTATAGTGTGTGCTCATTAGTGGTGGCACCATGATGACCTGTAGACAATGTATAGTTATTTTATATCTATAGGTTGTGCTCATTAGTGGAGGCACCATGATGACCTGTAGACAATGTATAGTTATTTTATATCTATAGGTTGTGCTCATTAGTGGTGGCACCATGATGACCTGTAGACAATGTATAGTTATTTTATATCTACAGGTTGTGCTCATTAGTGGTGGCACCATGATGGCATGTAGACAATGTATAGTTATTTTATATCTATAGGTTGTGCTCATTAGTGGTGGCACCATGATGACCTGTAGACAATGTATAGTTATTTTATATCTACAGGTTGTGCTCATTAGTGGTGGCACCATGATGGCATGTAGACAATGTATAGTTATTTTATATCTATAGTGTGTGCTCATTAGTGGTGGCACCATGATGACCTGTAGACAATGTATAGTTATTTTATATCTATAGGTTGTGCTCATTAGTGGAGGCACCATGATGACCTGTAGACAATGTATAGTTATTTTATATCTATAGGTTGTGCTCATTAGTGGTGGCACCATGATGACCTGTAGACAATGTATAGTTATTTTATATCTACAGGTTGTGCTCATTAGTGGTGGCACCATGATGGCATGTAGACAATGTATAGTTATTTTATATCTATAGGTTGTGCTCATTAGTGGAGGCACCATGATGACCTGTAGACAATGTATAGTTATTTTATATCTATAGGTTGTGCTCATTAGTGGTGGCACCATGATGACCTGTAGACAATGTATAGTTATTTTATATCTATAGGTTGTGCTCATTAGTGGTGGCACCATGATGGCATGTAGACAATGTATAGTTATTTTATATCTATAGTGTGTGCTCATTAGTGGTGGCACCATGATGACCTGTAGACAATGTATAGTTATTTTATATCTATAGGTTGTGCTCATTAGTGGTGGCACCATGATGGCATGTAGACAATGTATAGTTATTTTATATCTATAGGTTGTGCTCATTAGTGGTGGCACCATGATGGCATGTAGACAATGTATAGTTATTTTATATCTATAGGTTGTGCTCATTAGTGGAGGCACCATGATGACCTGTAGACAATGTATAGTTATTTTATATCTATAGGTTGTGCTCATTAGTGGTGGCACCATGATGACATGTAGACAATGTATAGTTATTTTATATCTACAGGTTGTGCTCATTAGTGGTGGCACCATGATGGCATGTAGACAATGTATAGTTATTTTATATCTACAGGTTGTGCTCATTAGTGGTGGCACCATGATGGCATGTAGACAATGTATAGTTATTTTATATCTATAGGTTGTGCTCATTAGTGGTGGCACCATGATGGCATGTAGACAATGTATAGTTATTTTATATCTATAGGTTGTGCTCATTAGTGGTGGCACCATGATGGCATGTAGACAATGTATAGTTATTTTATATCTATAGTGTGTGCTCATTAGTGGTGGCACCATGATGACCTGTAGACAATGTATAGTTATTTTATATCTATAGGTTGTGCTCATTAGTGGTGGCACCATGATGGCATGTAGACAATGTATAGTTATTTTATATCTATAGGTTGTGCTCATTAGTGGTGGCACCATGATGGCATGTAGACAATGTATAGTTATTTTATATCTATAGGTTGTGCTCATTAGTGGTGGCACCATGATGACCTGTAGACAATGTATAGTTATTTTATATCTATAGGTTGTGCTCATTAGTGGTGGCACCATGATGGCATGTAGACAATGTATAGTTATTTTATATCTATAGGTTGTGCTCATTAGTGGTGGCACCATGATGGCATGTAGACAATGTATAGTTATTTTATATCTATAGGTTGTGCTCATTAGTGGTGGCACCATGATGGCATGTAGACAATGTATAGTTATTTTATATCTATAGGTTGTGCTCATTAGTGGTGGCACCATGATGGCATGTAGACAATGTATAGTTATTTTATATCTATAGGTTGTGCTCATTAGTGGTGGCACCATGATGGCATGTAGACAATGTATAGTTATTTTATATCTATAGGTTGTGCTCATTAGTGGTGGCACCATGATGGCATGTAGACAATGTATAGTTATTTTATATCTATAGGTTGTGCTCATTAGTGGTGGCACCATGATGGCATGTAGACAATGTATAGTTATTTTATATCTACAGGTTGTGCTCATTAGTGGTGGCACCATGATGGCATGTAGACAATGTATAGTTATTTTATATCTATAGGTTGTGCTCATTAGTGGAGGCACCATGATGACCTGTAGACAATGTATAGTTATTTTATATCTATAGTGTGTGCTCATTAGTGGTGGCACCATGATGACCTGTAGACAATGTATAGTTATTTTATATCTATAGGTTGTGCTCATTAGTGGAGGCACCATGATGACCTGTAGACAATGTATAGTTATTTTATATCTACAGGTTGTGCTCATTAGTGAAGGCACCATAATGACCTGTAGCTGTTTACTTTCTTGTCTTTTGGTCTTTTTGAACTAGTTCGATAACCAAAACTGGCCGAAAAACTGAATTGAAGTAGCTCACATAAGAGATGTTATCTCAAATTAAATACACGGCTGTTTAAATAAAAAAAAAAGTATACACCATTACGTCCGCGCGTGCACTGATTACTATCTAGTAATTAATGAGAAATAAGAGCTAATTTATGAACTATGTGAGATTTGCTATTCAACAGAAGAAGTTGACATGCATTCAACCTTGTTACAAAAGGGTTATCATATCCTAATTTTGACGGTGATCGGTTATTTCGAAAGGCATCACATCCACATGGTCTTTACTTATATTTTGGTGTATCACAAGGTTATTCTTTTCTCAGATCGTTTGTGACGTCTGATTGTTATTTTAGTCATGGAAAACAGTCACTTATAGTACTCTGAGATCGGGACTTGATGTCTTTTGTCTATTGCTAATATTTTTGTCGTGGTTCATGCCGATCTCCTGAATCAAGTTCTTTTTAACTGATTTGACAGTTTGATCTTATGCTGTACTGTTATACCACTGTCCCAGGTTAGTGAAAAGTTGTCCGCGTTCACACAGATGGTTAACCCCGCCACATTTTTAATGTGCTGCCCGGTGATTCCCAAGTCAGTGGCCTGTAATTCAGTGGTAGTCTTTGGTTATGTTTGTCTTATTTGTTTTCGTTTATTGTTTTAGCATAAATCAAGCTTTTAGTTTTCTCATTCTAATTGTTTCATATATGACATATCTTGGCCTTCCTTAACCCTTACTATACGATATCATTAGCTTTGCTTATTGTTTAATGTCGTACAGTAAACTATAGTTCTTTTCATCTTCGTCCTTTGTTCTCTGGTGGATAGTTGTGTCATTGCATGTAAATCATACCACATCCTTATTTTTGGCAGACACTTCAATAAATTGCACAAAAGAAACATCTGTTTTTTTTTATAAGCAATGCCCACATTGGAATATAATAAATCAAGGTTTTTTGTGTTGGGTTATCAAGAGTGTGCGCGTTATTTTAGCACTAAATGGGGACATTTTGTATCTGTCCGAAAAATTAAAAGAAGTAATAATGTATAGGTCTATTGATTTCAGTGTTAAGAACATGTGAAGAAGGTCACAAGATAACTAAAGGTCATACGTTTGAAGAAGAACAGAGCAGACTGATGGAAAACAGCAAAATAAGTCAAACATCGCCACAATGGAAATTGAAATATGAGATGGACGATAAAGAGTACAGGGATCTGAAAAAGCAATTGAAGCTCATTTTTACACGTCAGAAAAAGAGACGACATGATATAATATCAAAATTCAAAAGAAAACGTAAGAAATCCTTTCACAGGGCTATTGTGAACTTCTGGCATCGTTTGGTGTCTGTCGTCCGTCCGTATGCATTTTATATTTTAATTTTCTCCCGAAAACAACAAGCCATCTTACTTGACAGGAATAATGCATGGAACGATAAACTTACATGTACACGGGCTGTCAGATACATTTATCGATTATGCTCCATTAAATTATGCAAATTTCTTCTCGTTTTAAACTAATGTTTTTTCAACTTTAAATAAAGCAGACTCTTTACAAAGATCCTTCATTTCGTACTAATCGGGCAACACATACTCTGCCACATATATTTTTTCGGCTCAAACGTATCGGAAATAACCATTAATTTTCATCTTTTACCCTGAAAATACATGGATGATAAACATTAAGCAGGCAAATCTATATGTAAGCTTTTTAATTGTAAATGCTATATTTTAATTCCGGTCATGCAATAAGCAAGGCCGACTAAGCAGTTCTTGATTCTAATTGAACAAAGTTCAAAATTCGTCCCCTCTGAAGCTACAATGCAAAACACTTTCAAACAAAATGGAATTGTGATTGAGGGATCCTACATAAAGCATCCTCATTTCATTGTGATTGGACGACATTACTTAGTTGGGGATGTTTAACGTCCTACACACTAACTTAATGCCTTACTTCGGACGGTTCGGATGGCATGAATCGCCGGTGCCTTTTATAGCTTACTATACAATATGTTTTTTGTTTCATTGGTGAATTTAGTATTTTAGTGTTGGCAATGATGCTATATATAGTTTACTATTGCAGCCTATTGGAAATCACATCTTCACCAATACTGTCATAAATAATGTATGACCGTTATTTAAAAGTTACATTCCATTTCATCCAGTTCAGAGGTCGATCCTCAAATTGCTTCCGTGTAGCTGCAATGCCAACTCCTTTTAAACTTAACTGAAAAAAAAGAATGGAAGACCCTTTTCAAATAGTTCGGAATCAATGACAAAAAAATGCGGTAAGTCTTCTTAACCGTACGGCGATAACGTTTTCGTCTTTTCTGAAATACATGACCAATCTGAACCAAACTTACCAGATTGATGTAGTATACGAGGTCATTCATATAAGTTCATTTCTTCCTGATTCGGTGAAAAATATGGCCGCTAGTCATGTGTCCTCCTCTAATATTTCAAAACCAAATCATTTCAAACTACTAGTATGTAGGAATAATGAACATGAGACCTAAATCACCACTAAATGAGGAATCTTTAAATCTAAAGATTAACCTTATTTCTGGTAAATTTGGTTCTAGTTAATAATACATATGCTTTCAAGAGAAAAACTAGACTTACAAACAAAGACGAACAACATATTGCCCAGGTAGCCCCGACTATATACAGGCATAGTATGTGGCTGGATTAAACCAGATTGAGGTGTGAACATCCCCGGGGTTTTCCTTATCTTGACCGTATGTTGTAAAAGTAAAAACATAATTAAAAAAAAACCTTTCACAGTGCATCTACCGACAGAATAACCACTTACTTATTCTCTGTTTTTCCACTGAATGGATTGAAAGAGGAATTCTTATTAAAATGATATAATTCCTACCGAATCCAGAGTATAATCGAAGTTTCTAAAAATTGTCCATATGGTAACTGTACGTTATATGTGGCATAATCGCCGTCATGTATGTGACCCATCCGACCACCATGCACCAATGATACTCTATTAAGGTTTTAGATAGTCGTCCAATTATCTCTCTAGCTACTATAATAATGTCGAAAAAACCATGGGTGCATACGCCGATTTCCAAGCTTTATAAATTTATAGAGGAGACCTCCAATGAAAGCTGTATAGTCTGCCGACAATTTATATCAAATGGTGGGAAACAAAACATTTCCAAACATTTCTGTACATTAATTGCTGCTATGACCTTGACCTTAAATTTGACCTAAAATCAATAAGGAGTTTTCGCCCGAAAATGCATTATCCACCAAAGAAAGGAAAAGATCTGATTTATAGCTCAATAGATATTGGTTGGACAAATGGTTAAAAATAACAAAAACAAAGTGTTGGCCCAATTTAATGCCTCGTTCACACGTACATTTAATTCGAATCGAATTCGAATCGAATGCGAATCGAATTCGCTAATCGCGTTCACACACTCTTCTTTTTTAATTCGAATTGATTCGAATTGGCTAAATCCCATTATCCAATTCGCATTAGAAATGCGTTTTTGTTAATACGAATTAAAAGTTAACGTCGTTAGGACAGTAAAGCGAATTTGACGCGCATTGCAATTCGAATTAGAATTTACGTTTGAACGTTAAACGTTTTGAATGCGAATTAAACTAATTCGAATTAGTTAATGCGAATCGAATTCGAATTACGTGTGAACGCAGCATCAGTGTATCAATTCACTGCTGTAGCATTTAACTTCGACCTGGTGACGTCAAAATCAAAAGTTTTTTTTTCATCTCAAGGAGCATTACAAATTAAAATGGTCATGTTGAAACTAAAATTTTGCTCCCCTCAAATGTTTTAAATTTTTCTATCAATAGCTGCTGTAAACATGACCTTTGACCCTTTTACTCAATAAGGTTTTTTTTTTCATCCGTTTTGGGGACTTTCGAACTAGGATTGGTAAAGTTGGACATGTGGCTCAAAAGATAGTATCCGAAAAACCAAAATATTGCCAAAATGTCAATCTAATAAAAAAGATGGTGTGACCTTAACCTGTAATTATCTGACCTTAAAATCAATCGGGTCTTTCTCGTCCCATAGGATATAATCAAGTAAAGTTGTGTAAAGATATTATAAATGGCTTTAAAGATTTTGTCTAGAAACAAAAGTGTTGACGCCTTGATGCCCGTATATCCGGACTACATTCATCATATTATTCGTCGCAACTCAGCTTAACGTACCATAGGGACTTGACGACAGGTCAGATATATAGCCCGTTAATCGTCGCCGTGCATTTAAAAAAAAAGTATACTCCTATACTACCCAAACTGGATAGTAGGGGTATACGTTTTTGGATACTAGGGGTTTACGTTTTTTTTTAAAGGAAGTAGACGATTAACGGGCTTTATATCGGACCTGTAGCCAAGTCCCTACGAAACGTACAGACTTTTTGACTGTCCATGGCGTTAAAACACTAAATCCCTGCCTTGGATGTGTTTTAATTGATTTTAGTCACTGATGCATGATTTTTCATTATTAATTGTTTTGGCTCTTTAAAACTAGCTTTCAGTAACTGCGAGTACTCTCAAATCGTACTTTCGTGTTAATTTGACCTGTTGACACAATTTGTAATGCATTTCTTTTATTCAATGTTTACTTATTTTATGTTATATCTCTCGTCTTACTATTTTTAATATGTACCACCTTTGATAAGTATTTAGTATGACAAAAAATGTTCACTTCTGTACTCGTACTATGAATAACAAATTTATTTTGTAAAAAATTTTCTGTACTCCTAACAACAAAAGTATTATTTTCATTTAAATTTACCTGTGTACTTTACTTTATTGAACGCCATTTTGTCCTAGGATAAAGTTGTCTTTTTGACCGTGATTGAAACACCTTTTTTTATTTATATTGTGTCATAGATCAAACTAATTCGTGCAGTGTATATTTACTTGTTTTTGTGTATTGTTTTTTTGATCGAGTTAAACCATTTCAATTGATATTTTATTGCGTGTCTTTATATGTTGTAATGTTATACCACTGTTTCAGGTTGGCGCCTCTAAAACGTTTAAACCCGCTGCATTTTTATGCACCTGTTCTAAGTCAGGAGCCTGTTGTTCAGTGGTTGTCGTTTGTTGGTGTGGTTCGTAAGTGTTTCTCGTTTCTCGTTTTTTATATAGATTAGACCGTTGGTTTTCCTGTTTGGATTGTTTTATACTAGTCTTTTTTATGGCCCTTCATAGCTTGCTGTTCGATGTGAGCCAAGGCTCCGTGTTGAAGGCCGTACTTTGACCTATAATTGTTTACTTTTTACACATTGTGACTTGGATGGAGAGTTGTCTCATTGGCACTCATACCACATCTTCTTATTTATATTGTTCATTTTCTATTAAAAGGTTTTTATTTTGCTATTGATGTTTTGCAGGTGATAGTTTAAAAACTGAACTGGAAAGCAAAACTAAGCTGTTCTCTGGTGTTAAATGTAAAGCAACAGCCTTCGCTTTGGACACAGAAAATATGATTTTACAGATAAGAATCGGCCATGCAAAATTACAACGCTTAAAAGAAGAAAACACGAAACGTATGGAGCGATATGCCGAACTAGCAGAAAAAATACAATGGGATTATCGACAATCAAGTCTGGCAGACCAAGAACGATCTTTCTTTGAATTTTCTAATGACACATACGATTAAACTCATTGTTTCTTATTTCTTAGTGCTCAGCTGCCTTCTTTAAAAAAATCCCTCCTGATTTAAAAATCAACATTTTTTATTGACTGTAAAAAAGCCCATGATTGCAAGATGCTGTTTTTGGTACTATACCTAGACATTATAGGGGTATACGTTTATAGTTGCAGTGAGTAGTTGGGCGGATACCGCTAGTGGAAAAGGAAGGATGTACCCTTCCGGAGCACCCGAATTCACCCGTGATTTTGTTTTAAAGTGGTTCGTTTTGCTTTTGTCGTGGTGAATTTCATATGTACATTTATCTTGTTTTAATTCATCATTAACGAATGCTGGTCTCTTTGAGAAATACTAACAAAAATATTTCTTTGTTTTCATTGTTGTATAAACAATACCGTCCTCTTTTCCTCAATTGCGACATCCCCGAATGCGACATACATGTATAACCGAATTTTACTTGTAGTGAGTAGTTGGACGGATACCACTAGTGGAACAGGAACGATGTACCCTTCCGGAGGACCCGAGTTCACCCGTAATGTTGTTTTATAGTGGTTCGTTTTGCTTTTATTTAAGTTTTCTGTGTTATATTCTGTGTTGCAGTATTTTTTAATGTCTTTGTTGTCTCTATCGATAAAAGTGTTGTCATTTGACATTCGGTAAAGTTTTAGGGTACGATAACTTACTTATACCGATGATTTTTCAATTTGGCGATGTCTTAGGGTAAGACAAGAGACATTTACCAATCCGCTATTGTAAGATGCCTAATCAATGGATTTGACTCCCACATGTATGTTTTATGAGAGCCACCAGTAGAGCAGTAACTGCTAACACTAACGGTGCAATTGAGTTCACAGCCGTTTTTTTTGTGTTACTCAATCTTTAGTTTTCTGTGTAGTTTTTTGTGAACTGCTTGTCCTTAGGGTTGTCAAGTTGATTGCTTATTTCGTATTCGTTACTTATTCCTTACCTATTCCTTTTAGTCACAGTGACTGACACCTGTTTTTATCAGATTTACAGCATGGTTTTTGATTGTCTCATTTGTTATCTTTTCATTCTTTATATGTAACTGTCTACAGACGTCTGATGAGAATCAAGTACTACCATATATCCTGATTTTTATATAGAAATTAGTTGCTTAAAGCAAGGTAGACATAGCAACATAGGCATGTCTTAAACAATTCAAATATTAATCCGAGATAGATTAGACGTCTGAAGACGTTTCGTGAACTTGCTGTAGCCATTAGATGTCAGAGCAGTCGCGCCAGTAAACATCGTATGATATGATTGACATGGAGATATATGTTCCTATACACCAAAGGACAAAAATGTGAACGATTAAGGAAATTCAGAAAGCTCCAAATGTTCTTGAATTGTTTTGTAATATTTTTCAACAGTATTGCAGTGCAACATAACTGTATAAAACCTTACCACCTTTTACACAAAGACACTAAATAAAAAGTTCAAGTAAAACCAGAGACATATATATTATATGTCTCTGGTAAAACGTATAGATTTAACATTTCTGCAAATATTTGCAACTTTACAGCACAAAATAAAAGTAATTTCTGTTTTCTTTGTAAGAAGTCTGTAGTGGTGAGGTTTTCAGATAGAACAAAATTGCCTTTAAAACTATATTATCCTATCGATCATAACAAGAGTGGGTGGAAAAGGGGGGGGGGGGGGGGGGGAGGGGGCTATATAATGAGTGGTAGGGATGATCTGCTGGAATAGATCGCTTTTTCAAGCTTCATGATATATGATAAGGTCAAGAAATTAAGATGAAATATATGAAAAGGTTGCTGATAGAATCATAAGTATCTGAAACTGTTAAGATGTTGATTTCTTTTTTCTCAAATGCGTTAAAAACTAGTCATAAATGCAACAGATATTTGTTAAATATAATTATTTCTCCATGAAATATCATAACATGATAGGTATAGGTAGGTATTTATATTTTTTTTAATTCAAAACATGTGAAAAGGGTACTCAATTTGTCTCAGCTGCTCACCCCTACCACAAAAAGGTATAAGTGCCCCCCCCCCCCCCAACCCCCTTTTCCTTCAACTAATTAGATGTTGATATTTTTTCTCAGATGCAATAAAAACTACAGTCATCAGTGTAACAGATATTTGTTGAATATAATTATTTTCTCCATGAAAAAGCGTAAGCATGATAACTATAGGTATATTTTTTGTCAAAAAATATATGATAGGTGCTCATTGTCTCAGGCGTTCTCACAAAAAAGTCTAAGAAGATAAACTTCAATAAAAACTGTTGGTAAAAGACCCATTCTGTCAAATAGTTTCTAAATATTTGTACATGCAGTTTCATAAGAGAAGAAATGAAATAAAAGAAGAATGTGTCTGAGGACATGAATGCCCCCTCTCAAACTTGCTTATATAACGTGAAAATAATTTTTGAGAGCATTTGATGTCATTGCTTGTGCAGAAACGAAAAAATCTGTAATTGAAAAAATCTGCAATTTTCCAAGTTATAAAGGGCATAACTCTAGAACGGTAAATGACTCATTGCATAGATTCAAACTCTGTCTGCAAGTTTTGGCTCTTAGCATTGTGTGTGAGTTTCATATTCGGATGAGGAAAACTGAAGTTAGAGTGCAGAAACAAAATTGGGATGAACTGATGGATGGAAGGACAGTCAAGTGTAACACTTAATGCCCCCTTCTAGCGGACAGGGAATAAAAATGAAATGAATGGCAAAAATAAAAAAAAATCATCTTGAGGCCACATTTTTCATTTATTCAAAACTATATGAGGACTTTTGTATATCATATTATTTTACCAAATTTGGTTAAATTAGGCCATAAATTTTTAATCGATGACAAGATAAAATATTTGGCATCATTGCTACAATGTTTTAGCCCTAAAGTCTGAATGAAATAAAATGTATGACGAACTTTTCAAACATTCTTCATGCCAATTTCAAACTGACCAAGCAGTTTCTTCGCAGATGCTGAAACGATCCAATTTTAATTTGTTTTATGCTGAAAAGGAGAAATGTTGATTGCAGATGCTAAGTAATGGCACTAACCCACACTGTCTAGATGAGCTAAAATGGCATCATTATACTTAAACTTTGAGCATCTTATTGCTGTTGCAACTTAGTTAAATCTTTTGCCTGAAATTTAACAATCTTTGAAACCCTTTGCATTGACATCTCCCTAACAATTTTGTGTTATTTTTATAACTGTTGAATACAACTCAAACATCTGTGTCTGCCTCTGTACAAAGGATATCACATTTGTTTCTCTTACTTCTTTACACGAGATAAAGTGCTACATACTTTAGTCTGAAAACACCCAAACAATATACAAAAAAATAAAAAAAATAATTAAAAGTGAACAAATGGCTTTCAAAAATAAACATATAGCTGTTAAACTAAGATAGACAAGTTGTGAAGACATAGTACATTTTAAAAAATATAAAAATATCTGCCATCAAAACCAAATTTCTTTTAAAAGACAATTAAAAACAATTATGTAAAAAATGACAATAATTGATACTGATATGATATTCCTGACATAGCACAGACATTTTAACATGATTTTTGATACTAATCCTTTTTTTTCACTTATCATGATTAGTGAATCAACAACAGGTACAAGGGTGAATACAAAATTTTATTCAGTTTAGAAAAAAGAGACTTTACACAATAATATAGGTGTGAAGACTTAAAAACACAACTACAATGAAAATTAAAAAAAAATCAACAACAGTTTAACAAATACATATATAAGATAAATAAGATACTTTGGAAAAATCCTAAAATCAAATGAATTGGTGAACAAGAGGCTCACCTTGTGAAAAAGTGCCAATCTGCTAATAAGGACCTTTTATTTTACATATAAGTTATTTTCTGTGTTGCTAATCATTTATGTAATTTACACTTTTAATCTAGATCATATAGTTTTTGAGAATCAGATAACCACTAAAAACTAAAAAAATAAACTTGCCTGTCAGCACCAAATTCAGAAAAAGACAATCATTCGTAAATATAGCTCAACATGCAGACTTCTTATACGTTCAGGTATTTCACATCCAATTTTTATGGAAATATTCTTTATAAAGCACAAAAATGTCAGTATTCACCTCTGAAACTAACAAAACCTTTAAATAGACTTATTAAGAAGGGATATAGTTACGATACTGTTGTCAGGTCATTAAAGATTGCATATTTTGGCGTTAATATTGATTCACTTATAGGGTCTTTGCATCAGCACTAAACACATTTATTTAAAAACCAGTTGTTGGCATGACACGGGTTATGTTCTTCTCATATATGTTATGATGGTATGATACTAAACCCCTAACGGGAAGGATTGTGCCTGATATTCATATGATGAAGACATAATCTTTCAATCAGTTTAATTGAAGTCTGGAGCTGGCATGTCAGTTAACTGCTAGTAGTCTGTTGTTATTTATGTATTATTGTCATTTTGTTTATTTTCTTTGGTTACATCTTCTGACATCAGACTCGGACTTCTCTTGAACTGAATTTTAATGTGCGTATTGTTATGCGTTTACTTTTCTACATTGGCTAGAGGTATAGGGGGAGGGTTGAGATCTCATAAACATGTTTAACCCCGCCGCATTTTTGCGCCTGTCCCAAGTCAGGAGCCTTTAGCCTTTGTTAGTCTTGTATCATTTTTAATTTTAGTTTCTTGTGTACAATTTGGAGTTTAGTATGGCGTTCATTATCACTGAACTAGTATATATATTTGTTTAGGGGCCAGCTGAAGGACGCCTCCGGGTGCGGGAATTTCTCGCTGCATTGAAGACCTGTTGGTGGCCTTCTGCTGTTGTCTGTTCTGTGGTCGGGTTGTTGTCTCTTTGACACATTCCCCATTTCCATTCTTAATTTTAATATGATGGACAAACTGAAATGTACAGCAATATAACTTTATAGAAAATACTGTTATCTGTTGTAAGTAGTTCCTATCAAACTGATTTAAGCAGAAAACTTAACATTGAAAAATGCTAATTAATTCAAAGTCTCTGGACAATCTCTAGGGGCAGAGCCTTAAAATAGTCATCAAACTGATATGTACTGATATCAATAGTAAAGCAACTTTATAGAAAATATCATTGACCTATCACAAGTAGTTCCTATTAATTAACTTAAGCAGAAAACTTAACATTGAAAATTGCTTATAAATTGAAAGTAACTGAACCATGGCCTAGGGGACAGGGCCTCAAAATAGTTGTCAAACTGATATGTACTAAAGTAATGCAACTTCATAAAAAATATCATTGATCTATCACAAGTAGTTCCTATCAAACTAACTGAAACAGAAAACTTATCATCTTAAATTGCTAATTAATTCAAAGTCACTGGACCATGGCATAGGATACAGCCTTAAAATAGTCGTAAAACTATCCTGTACTGATAGTAATGCAACTTCCTACAAAATATCATTGGTTTATCACAAGTAGTTCCTATAAAACTAACTTAAGCAGAAAACTTAACATATAAAATTGCTAAAAAATTCAAAGTCACTGGACCATGGCATACAAGGCAAGGCCTCAAAATTGTTGTCAAACTGATATGCACTGATAGTAATGCAACTTCATACAAAATATCATTGATCTATCACAAGTAATTCCTATCAATCTAACTTAGGCAGAAAACTCAACATTTAAAATTGCTAATTAATTCAAAGTCACAGGACCATGGCCTAAGGGGCAGGGCCTCAAAATTGTCATCAAACTGAAATATACTGATAGTAAAGCAACTTTATACAAAATATCATTGATCTATCACAAGTAATTCCTATCAATCTAACTTAGGCAGAAAACTCAACATTTAAAATTGCTAATTAATTCAAAGTCACAGGACCATGGCCTAAGGGGCAGGGCCTCAAAATTGTCATCAAACTGAAATATACTGATAGTAAAGCAACTTTATACAAAATATCATTGATCTATCACAAGTAATTCCGATCAAACTGACTAAGCAGAAAACTTAACATTTAAAATTGCTTAATATTTCAAAGTCACTGGACCTAGGGGGCAGGGCCTCAAAATTGTCATCAAACTGAAATGTACTGATATTAATGCAACTTTCTATGACATATCAATGATCTATCACAAGTAGTTCCAATCAAACTAACTTAAGCAGAAAACTTAACCAATGTTGATGCAGTTGTCGCCTTCATCGTCGTTGCCAGAAAAGCAATCCCTATGTCTCGCTTTCCTCCACTTTCATCACAGGCGAGACAAAAACCTGTAAAAATCATACATTTCAGGGGCAATAACTCCAAAGCAGGCAGTCAGGTTTTTGAAATATTCAGAGTAAATAGATCTTGTCTACCTGATTATTTTTGTAATTTACAATTTTAAGCTAACTCCTATGGTTTTTAAGATAGCAGCAAAAAAAAAGAAATTGAAAATTGAAAATTGTTAAAATAGATATTTCAGGGACAATAACTAGAAAACAAGTTGAACATTGCATTTTTTACTAATTTTCAGTGTAGATACATCTTTCTATGATGATTATTTTCCCATAGACACTTTTAACCTAGCTCCTGTAGTTTAAAAGATAACAGTCAAAAGCTGTAAAAAAATGATAAAAGTTTACATTGCATGACCAATTTCTACTATTTTATTTGACAGTATTTGGGTAGATAAAATTTGATATGTTGATCCTTTTTGCTTCTCATTTACACTTAGCTCCTTAGCAAAGACCTGCCAAAGAAATTATAAGTCAATATTTCAGGGGCAATAACTCCAAAATGGGTAAACAGATTTAAAAATAAATGGAGAATGTGTCCATGGGACACAGATGATGCCCCAGCTTGCACTTAATAAAGGGGCATAACTCCAAATGGTAAAAGTGATGCCATCCAAATTCAAACTTGATCTGAGTTTTGTGGTTATAAGCATTGTGTATAAGTTTCATAACATTTGGTTGAGGCAAACTAAAGATAGAAATCAATTTCGGGCGTACATACAGATGGACAGACGGACGGACTAATGGACAAAGGTAAACCTTAATGCCCCCTCATCTACGTTTCAATCCATTCAGTTTCGGAGGACAAACGGAGCAAAAGGGAGGGCAATACATTGTAGCTTGGCTCCTAAGGCCAGGTGATCTATGATGCCATAAATTGAGTCTTGGTCAGATCAAAGTTTCAGAGAAGAAAAAAATCTGAAAAAAATTACAGTGATCTACATCAAATGAAATAAGCTGACAAGCTCTGATGACCAAATGAGCCTATTAAGCTTAAAGAAGTTAATAAATAAATCAATGTATATTTTAGTATAAATTGTTCTGTCATGTAAGTTTATTGATATGCCTAACAGTTTGATTTACTCTTTGGTTAGCTCTGTCTACATTATCTGTTAACTTATCAATGTTGTCCATTTGGATGTCTAATTCTTGTTGTGTAGACAAAGCAACTGATTTGATATTCTGAATTGTCTCACTTATTTCTGCAACTTCTTCATCTGTAACAATTTGTTTCTGACATAGTACTTCAGAACCTTCTTGAGAAACATACCCAGATGATGGTTGTTGGATGTATGAAAGGCCTGTGTCATAACAAAGAGTTGTCTCATCATCCTCTTTAGAAAACAATTTATCTATGAATAAAAAGAATTCTCTTTTGTTAAACAACTCCTGGAATTTTCAGATTTGGATTGAACCATTAATTAGAATCTTTTTATTCTAGGAAAGAGGTAGAAATATTGAGTTCATTTCTGTTTTTTTTCTTGTTATTCTAGTGTGTGTTATTTTTTGCTTTGTTCTAAGCCATTGTTATAACTACTGGTATCACATTACTTACTTATACATTTTTGTATTTTATTCTTATATCTATAGATAGATTTAGTTATTTCAAAGAATTTTCATCTTGTCATGGTTGCTACATGTACTATACCATAGCTTTATTGTAAAAAATTAATTTTTAGAGATTATCATTCCTCAATTTGAAAGTTTAAATCATGTTAATTCTAAATGAATGATATACAGGCTAGTATTTTCATATTCAGTGCACTATATGTAAAGAAAATATATATTTTGTAATTAGGAATTGTTGATTAAATATTTGTGCTTAATGACAAAAAAGCATATATTTCATGCAAACTAAAGATGGGAAGAAATATGATAATAATCATTATTTAATAGAAATGATTTAATTAACTTAGGTAGGTTAAGTGGGTTAACTAGGATGAAAAGAGATTAGAACTACCACTATGAAGTTCAAGTATGTTCACCTACAGACTGCTCAAAGAGGTTATTTTATGTGCAGATACAATGTAGCAAGGCACACTCTCAAACCATTGATCTTAACATCCCAATTCTAACTAAATGTGGCTTCATAAATCAAATGAGGATGTATCAACATAATTATAACCCATAGTGGTATTAAAAAGTAACTTTCGGAAAATAAAAATCCCTCATCGACATGCAGATACAGTATGGGATGGTATGAGGCCAGGTGTTTGGCTGATCAGGGCCCTGTATCCCTTTTCATTTTTTTCTGTTCATTAAAAATTTGTGTACAACTGTTGTGCATAAATTATGCAATATGTAGATGTGCATATTGTATTTTTGGTGTAAATTGGAAAACGGTCAATTTTGGAATAAAATTATTTTTGGTAAAAAAAAATCACAAATATTTAGAAACATTTTTGTTACTTCAAAATATCCAAAATGGTGTTGAGCACAATTTTGTCAGTTGTTGTCTTGATATGTAGAAGTGTGAATTGCTATTTTATGAAAAGTGGACAAAATCAGCATCAACATTTTTTTTTCACTCAGTAAACTATGGTCTACTATGCTATTCCAAATTTTTCTATAATTTTTGGCAATAGTTAGGTTTTGTTTAACACAATTTGAGCAAGAACAACTTCTCCTTCCTTTCCATGTTGGAGGTCTTAGTCCCCAAATTCCTTCATAAATCTGCCAAATTCAACTTGGTATACTGACCGCTAGACTTTATAAAAAGGGTTTAACCGTTCATCCCTACAAAATGGTAGCCAAGGGAAATAACTCAAACTCAAATTACATCATTCAAAAGCTACATGTACATGTATCTATACATATAAATTTTGTCATATTTCTTTCTTTTTAATCTAAATTTCTTCATTTATCTTAAATTATTCCTATATGAAAATTGTCTCTTTTCTGTGACAATGTTGAAATGTTTATCTGTTAATTCCAGTCATAAAAGTTGATAATTCATGTTTGTTTTTCTATTTCTAAAATTTATAATGTAACCAAACAAGTTAAATAACCCCAAATTGTCTCACCTTTTGCAAGTCCTGTAGAATCAATAATTGGTTTGTGCTTTCTCATGCTCTTCCTATTTTCTTCTTTGAAGACATCTTCCATAAACTCTACTTTACTTTTCAGTTTTGCATCAAGTAGTCTAAGAACCGGTAGAAAATTTGTACACACAAAGTCATAGGTCAAATCTTGTTGACCTATCTGATATTGTGTTACTGTGAGTTCACAAAGAGACAAAACTTTCACCAAAGATATATTTCTCCAAGCAAAATTATGCACAAGCTTCTGTTTTTCTGTCAATATGAACAAACCTTGGATACATACTCTTAAAATTCCTAAATGTTGATAATTCATCTTTCCCATTTCAAGTTTTGTATATAAAATCTCATAGTCTAACTCAGTTGGCAAATCTTTGCTTTGAATTATTTCTAAGCTTTCCCTTTTGTACTGTTGTGGTATTTTCCACTTCCCTAGCCAGCTATCTAGACCAGAAACTAAACTATCTGCAATGTCAAGATCATTGTGAATATCATGCATGGTTGCTAAAGATGATTCAACTTGTGTACCTTGTTCATGCAATACATTAACAGCATTATTCAATACCTGTTCTGAATCATGGACACTATGCAGAAGTTTTCTTCCCATTTCTGTTGGAACAAACGATTTTTGAGTGTGAGTTGGTGGTTTTTTCCTTGCATCTGAAAACAGATTTTGATGTTGGAAATACTGGAGAACATTATAAAGAGATGTTTGATCTGTTAATGAAGAAACCCAATGTTTTGGTTTGTCTACCAAAGTTATCACTAAAGCTCTATAGACCAATCCTGTCAGAGACTTCTTTATGTCTGTAACATCATAGTGGTGTAATATTTTGATGTATGGATGTATTGTTTCTGTCACATCTTCCATGAACTCTATATACTCTGGTGTCACTTTCAGCACACCATATTTCCATTTTCTGCTCTCATTGTCATAGAAAGAAACTGACCATGATCTGATTGTAACTTCACCAGGACTAAACATTTTTACCTGAAAGATATAAACAATGTTTACATGAACATGATGAAACAAGACATAAACTACTATTCAATTAAAAAAGGAATATTCAGACAGACATGTACACCTTATAAATCATTTTATACAACAGATATAGAAATAAGGGGATATATAGTTATGGGGGATTCAGTCCGTCTGTTGGTTTGATCTCATATCCCACTTTTGTATCAGCAACTGCTTCTGAACAGCATGACAGAATTTTGTGAAACTTTCCCCAATTCCCAATTTTCCCTACCTCCCAACTCCCACATCCCTCCCCATCAACTCCCACTTCCCTACCTCCTTAATCCCAGCCAAAAATCAGTCAAATTTTCCCCCCAGCAGATCCCTATTTTTACTCTCCCTCTTCCCCCAGTTCCTGCCTTCTGACTCCCACTCCCCTCCACTTCATTCCTATGTTCCCTTACCCCTGTCAACCCCTCCTCAATCGTTTGATGTACTTTTGCACCCCTATTTCACTTCTTCATCAAAATAATTTTTGGGGTTTACTTTTGAGTGACATGGACTTTGTCATATCTGCACATTCAAAGAACACATTTGTATCCACTTAAGGAATAACAGTACTGTAGTTGAAGAATTGCACTTGTCAATTGAGGATTTGACAGCCGCAAATGCAGTTTTACTTGTGAGGCATAGAGCAGACAGTAAAACAGATATTTGCAACTGTCAAATCCAAAATTGACGGTGGCAACTCTTCAACTACAGTACATACTGTTATTTCTATTCTTTGCATTACATAAACATATATTACACATGTTACATAAGAAGTTGTAAAAAGGTATAAATTGATGATAAAATTAAATTCTGCGAAAAAATTCATGAATGATTTTGGCACATACAAATCTGACATGGCAAAACATGATGTCATACAATTGAAAATGGTCAAACTGAAGGTTGTTCCTTTACTTGTTACCTTCAAATAAGGATAATATATATCTCATTAAAACAGTGTTTCAAAAACATTGTTACATAAAGACTGCATTAGAATTCTATTCTAATTTGTATCTTACACCTTTAATCATAATTTAATGAAAATATTTCAGAATCTTTACCTTATGTGAGATTATGAACTTTCTATTTTAATTGTTAGTCCAAACTATTTTTGGGTTTCCCTTATCAAAGCAAGAACTTTGGCCAGGCTTTATTTAGAGTGGAGGAGTACTGATTTTGTACTCAACTCCTCCTAAACTTCTTACCACAATTTATTGAACCTTTCTCACAATCTTAACAATGATAATTCTTTGGTGCATCTCCTATTTTGTTTTCTTTATCAGAATCTTTTTTTGGGGTTTCCGTTATCAAATCATGGACTTTTCAATTCAGTTTTAATTGAGTATAGAGGAAAGGAAGGGCCTTAAAATTTTTATTTCATCTTTTTAGACGATAAGCCTCTAGATTATCGGTAAGATTGGGAAACTGAAAAAAAAAAATGCATTTTAGAAGTAAATAATAAATAAAAAAAGTGTTACTTTCATTAACATGTCTCTTTAATGTCTGTTAATTTTGGCTATGGATGCCTTCATAATGTACTCATAGCTTAATTGTTTTATAATTCACCAATTTGATGTCTAGCTCAACTCTGTATATACAGTGACAATAAGACATTTTCGCTTCTAATTTTCTGGCTTTTTAATAAGAAAGTATATTAACAAAGGTACAATGAAGTAGAGAATTTCATCACAATTAAAAATTGCAATGTAACCATTTCCTTTGAAATTTAAATTAAAAGGCTTCCAGCCTACCTTATATTGAATGTGAACATACTTTTGTGAGAAACACAAGCTCTACAGTGTCAAGAAGTGTGACACACTGACGGACAGTCACGTTACAATATCATCTATGCAACTTTGATTGAAATTGATAAAAAAACGTAGAAAAATAAAAAGCTATTCAAAAAAGGAGTTAATCACTATGGGCAGTTTTGGGCAGTCAATCATGGACAACTGAGACTCATATTAATATTTAAAATCGCATACATTTCATGTTATTGTAGAAAAAACAGATTGGATGATACATGATTGCAGTATTTCATTACTTGAAGTTTTATACAGGCACAGATATAGATAATTTATTAACCAATCGAGGTGCCTTTCAAAGGACAGATTATAATTAATTACAATGTAATTATTCATAACATATTAACACATGACATATGCAAAATCTCTTTGTTCTTACTGTGCTTTAATCTGAATAATGCACAGCTAAGGTGTGCATTAACTACATGTAGCTCAGATATACTGCACAGTTCAAATGTACTCTTACCTTTAGGGGCGGATCCAGAAATTTTCAAAGGGAGCGTAATTCCATTAAAAAAAGTTGAGGATTTTGTGTAAAAAAGTTATCTATTTTACAACCAAAGTGTAAACCTTTCGTCCATATATTTCCAAAACGTTCATGTACATTGATGTCGTCAAGTGTAAAAACAGTTATTGGCCAATCAAATCAAGTAAATCGGTTTATGTCATTTAATCTGCACTGTCTGGATGACCCTATAACCTGAACTCCTACATTGTTCGGGTCAAGTAGGTCACCATAACCGTGCAGATTAAATGACATAAACCGATTTACTTGTTCAATAACTATAACATAAACAAACTTAACAATGAACTAATGAGACAATAATGGTTCATGAGAATTATAATTATAGTATAAAACAATGTAAAATGTCATATAAATACATGTAATAAGTATCATAAGGGAGAGAGATTAAGAAAAATCAGCAAATACTCATTTACTTAATGTTAGTTCCTGTTCAAATTAGTCTATTGTTAAGTCAGAAGCATGTTATTCAGTGGTTGTTGTTTTTTGGTGTCATACTCGTTTTGTTGTTTATTGTTTCATCATAAAGAAGCCAGTTGGTGTTCCCTTTTGAACTGTTTTACATATTTTCACGTCCAGAGACTTTGTTACTATACAGACTAACATTACAGGATTTGCTCATTGTTGAAGGGTGTATGGTGAACGATAATTGTTAACATCATGGCAATCATACCACATCTCTTTATTTTAAAATTTATACATGTACATGTACCATCAAATTAAATAAGTCCAAATAATTATGAAGTCTTATATAAAAGCTATTTTAACTTTTTTTGCTGTGATGCCTTCCTACAACGTCATAGAAAGGCAAAAACTTTAGTTTTTCATGACGTCATAATTATTGGATCAAAATCCAAAAAGGTCCTTTACTGTCAGGCGTTAAACAGTTATTTTCGGCTACTGTTAGCTTCAAATTGGTTAAAATTGTATAGTGATTTGTTAAAATATCCTTATCGTTATTCTTCAGCGGTCTCAAATAATTATCCATTACCGTTATTTTTGGAAAGAATTTAACGTTATGTGTCAAAATCAGTTGATTTTTTTATCGTCATTAAGATCATGTATATTTTAATGTCATGCACCAAAAAATACCGTTAACATCATTTGGCAAGTTTCATTACCGTTATTCGACATGAAAGTACCCCCATTACCGATTACGACCCTCATACATGTATGAATTTGTAAAGTTATTCCTGAATGATTTTCATCTTTGACATTACCCCTCTATTTGAGTATTTTACAAAACTTATTAAAGGTATCATTAGTCGGCGTCGAGTGTTATCGAAAATGCCTTTTACTATGAAAGTGGAATTACGTTTGAAAATTACTATAACTGCTGGTTTAAGCTAATTATCAACATATATGGTCACTCTACTCCTTGTTTACGTTCTACTTTCATTTTCAAATATAGAGTTGCGTCCCTTACCGGAAACGATTTTTCATTCTTAACCTGTGAATGATTGGCTGAAATTACTAATAACGAAGGAAACTGATTGGACAGTTACAGCGGCATGTTGCCTAGTATCATCAAGCGGTAACACGTTTGTGATGGGTATGTTTTCATCAATGTTTACATTTTCATTAATGAAACTTGTTTAGCTTGAATAATTAACATGTTCTCAAGACTTTGTAAATGAATTAAGGCAAAACCTGAAGTAGTCCGTTGCAATTTAAGCGAAACATAAGGCAGGTTTTTCAATATGAAATATTTTTCTTCTATTTTCAGTTTAATTTTGGGAAAGTTTCAATTTCGTTAATTGTAATTAAATTTCAGGTCGGTTGTACATATTAGATGAGATAATGGCTCCTTAATTAATTTGAATAACAAATCATATTCTTCTATAGGATGTCCATAAAATAAAACTGTACAGTCCCTGTAAAAGAAAACATGATAAAAATTAGATAAGATTAGTAAATGTACATTAAAGGAATAAAATTATACTGAATTTGAAAAAAGCTATGTAAATTCTCGAGTGTGAAAATAATTTTCTAGTAAAATGCAAAACAGAATCCAAAATTTTAGAATATCTAAAACAACTAAAAATAAAGCTTTAGTGTATACATGTACATAAGTTAAGGATGTATTCTTCTGACGTTTCAGGCTCGTTGGAATCTCGTTCTGGAATTATTTCCAAAACATGTGATACAAGTGGAAAATAGCAATGAATTTGATAAATATCATAATCAAACTTAACTCTGTGAAAAAATTGTGTATTTACAATACATATGTAAGTAGTTTTTGAGTAATAAGTCTTTTTAGCCAAAATTTTGAGAAAAGGGGTGAGGGGTACACGAAATGATTTTACCAGAAACATGTACATTGTACATCCCATATCACTTTTTACTTTTTCAATTTTCTTAGATATGTATTTTTTTAATCATTTATAACAAAGAAGTTAAAACAGAGAAAAATCACAAATTTACAAAATTGACAGCATGGTAAATTTGACATGAAAAAGCATCAAAATATGATAAAACTTTCTTATATTAACACCTACCTATAGTTTTTCTAAGTTAAATTTATTCCGATTGGTCCAATTCATCTTTATAGAAAGTATGAAAAAAAGTTTAATTGTGGAACTGTGATTTTTTTCACGATAATAGCCCAAAAATGGGAAAAAAATTGATGAAAAATGGGAAAGTCATCAACATTGGGTACTTTCAAAGGGCCGTAGCGAAAAAAGAAGTGCACCACCATATGAATTTTTCTTCACCAATTATTTTTTTACAGTCATATAAACCCAAAAATCAGGTTAAGAAAAAAAGTTTAATTCTAGAAATTTTTGGCTCCTCAGAGGTATACATCCTTAAAGAAGCAAGTAATACGATCAAATTCCATATGTATGAAAATAGATGCATTTGATAATTATACATCCATTCAGAACTCCGGATTCATACTATTTCTATTGTTGCACCTGAAATATAATAAAATATTTCAGGTATTCATATATAAGTTACAATGAACAATGTTATGTTTGATGATCTTAAACTAATTTAATTAATTATGTGATATATATATATATATGTATAGATAATCTATTTTATTTATATATTTATTTTAAGAACTTAAACTGGTTTTATTTTGATTTGTTTTTCTCACTTGTTTGTAATGCTTAATAATACAAATCCCTGATTATATCAATAATTATAGTTAATATTTAAAGGAAAAATATTTAAAAACTAACCAGGGACGTTTTTCATCTCTGTGAATATTCACTAATTGCGATAACTTCTGCGGTTAATTCACGTTTTATCCCTGATCGGATGACATTTAATTATAAAACTGGAAGCGGGTATGCGTAGCCTACGAATGCCAATTTGACTACTCATCCCTGCATGCAGGATCGCACAGACACTGCCATAAAACATTTACTGAAAATAATCTGCAAAACTTTCAGGCATATCCTATTTTATTTATTGTCTTCTGTGTAAAACCCTAGGGAAAATATTGACCTTGTTACAAGACATTACTACAGAATTTGCTGGTTGCCCGAAAAAATTGCCAAATTCCAATATATATTGCACCAAAATGCATGTATTCCCCTCTTTAAAGTCATGCATTACATTTATTTTAATGTCTCTATATATTTTTAAATCATACATGTGAAATATCAAAATATGTTAATAGATGTCTCCTTGCTCATCATTTACTATGGGAAAAATCTTTTCTAACTACTATTAGTAGTAAGCACAACAGAACATTGTGTACATTGGAACCTAATATATTACCTTTTATCAAAATTAAGGCCACAATTAAAAATATTTCAGTTTGCCCAAACCCGACCCATGATGACTGGGTGTGGGTAGGTAGGTAGGCAAATTCTTTTTTTTTATCAGAATTTGTATGAAAATATTAAAACAGTATATCTTTTTTTCCGTCAAACCTTTGTAGAGACAATCAAAAGCCATGAAAAACTGTCTGCCATTTTCTCATGTTTTACTTCTTTACAGGGATGTCACTAGGTTTTGAAGTAGCATGATTAATAATTAAAGTAGCAGGCAAGGATTGCGGACGTCGCCCATCACGGCGAGATTTTTTTTTCTAAAATGGTGCAAAAATCCTGCATTCTGGGGGCTCCTGAACTCTAATTTAGTCCTAATCAAACACCATTTTTTTTAATGATGATAAGGTAAATGAGCAGCAAGATGGTCATATTTTCTATAAAGTTGATCACATAAATATTATTATCACTATAACAAGACTTTCAGCTAACAAGTAGTTGAAGTTGTTTGAGGAAAATGATGAAGGCATGACTCTGTAAGACATGGTGATCATTCAGGAAACGATTCAAATTTGATCTTATTAGTTGAAAATATTTTTAGTTTAACTGTAGACATGCAATTATTCAAATAATTCTAACCCATAGAAAACATTTTTTTTTATTTCTCAGTATTAACAATTTCACAAACTTATTACAATAAATCAAATGATGAATTGGACTGTTTCAGGCAAAAAGGTGAGTCTTTAAGGATGTACTTTGGTGAAATTAGAAAAATGTAGAATTTAAAATTGATACTATAAGTCAGAAGACTTCAAGAGCATTAAAGTTAAGAAGCAAACTAATGGAAAGAGAAGAAATCTACAATCGGCTTAAATTTTGGTATATGACCTTTTATGAGTTAGTAATTGAAGTATTATATATGAAAAAAAAAATGGGGGTCATGGGGCAAAATATTTTACCCTGTATCGTAGGAAAAAAACAGAGTCCAAACATCTGACAGAAATTCCAAAACCTGACCTAAGTACATCCTTAAATGCATAATCATGCAGGGCTCACACTACTTCAGAATCATAGGGAGAAGTGACTTCTCTTTTTGAAACTGATAGGGAGAAGTGGTGAGATTTGAAAGAGAACTGCTCCTTTGCACACTGTGCTACAATGTTTGGTTTTTACTACCTATGGTAAAAAGGGTCATATGTAAATAATGTTCTTTTTATATTGTTCAATTCATATCTGAGTATACAATTAAAGTAAAAGTTCAAATTCAAAGTTGTTTAAGTTTAGGTTCTTGTGAGAAACTACCAACTAAATATCTAGCACTAAAAAGATTTTTTTTTATGACAAAAAGATAAAGAAATTATAATATATAAATCACAATTCAATTCAATTCAAAAACTATCTTGTTTATCATGTTTATGAAATTCAGTGTTTCTCATCAAAAGATATACAAAGTTAAGATGGGCCATATATATTGATATTAGTATTATAGTCCCAGAGTGAATTAAGAAAGTTTAATCAATATTTTGAAACAATCCATATATATGGAATTATATACATTAATCAAGTAAATCTAACAAATAGTCTGTTTATGCGTGTGGAATGCGTAATTTTTTCCATTTGGGACCAATTTCCTTGTCAGCTGTTCCATTCATGCCTCCGTAGTTATTATTGTAAAAATACGGATTTCGGTCATAGCTGGTCCGTTTCCGATCCGTAGTTAGAAACCAGTTAAGGACGAAGAAATTTACAAAAATAAACGATGTTTGACAAGCTATTTGGAAAGGAATATAACGTTTTTAATGCAATAAATGGATTAAACATTTACTGGAAGCAATTTTTATCACGTTCAAATGAAGTAACAAACTTATGTTGTCGCCGAAAGTTAGATTGATGTACGATCTCGTGTAACAAGTACCGGAAGTGAATGAAGTGATAAAAAGTTGTCTTTTTATTAAATAATCTGCTTCACACTGTAAAGTCAATGCTTAAATCTCTGTTCTTCAGAAAATGAATCGTTTATGTCTGAATTTCTTTAATTATCAATGTTTCATCGACTTGGTAAAAAATGAAAACTTTGTGAAAATATTATTTTTGACAATTTTGAAGTAGCCGGCGCCGAAGCAGAAGTAACCGTTCGTTAAATCAGAAGATAAAAACCGAGATCATCGAATATCGATTAACTGCGTCTCTTACACGCTTTCTTTTAATCTTATTCACAGTTACTTTCAAACGCAAAGACGACGAACATTAAGTTTTATACGATGACGGAGCGGACACGAAAAAGATCCGAAAAAAAAATTCTTAAAAAAAACGGCAAAAAAAGAATTTGAGTCGGCTGGTTTTTTTTGGGTCGGTCGCGTTTGGGCAAACATACAATATTTTTATTTTGGCCTAATCATTTATTGACAAAAAAAATATTATTGCGCTCAGCTCGCATTAATGTCAAAAATATACATTGGCGCTAGTTCATATGAATGATTTAGTAAATATAGGTAGTTTCTGTACACGATTGGTGAAAATAAGACAAACAAATGGATTTAAAGTGATTTTACGGTCATATCGTCTACACAATCCCAAACAATCTTCAGCAGGTCTGAAATATTTCGTGACTGTTCTCTATGAAACCTATAGTGAAATATAACTTAATATGCATCAAAATATTTGCAAGGAAAATATGCATATGTTGAGGGGGGTCCTATGTGTGAACACGATGATATGAAAATACTTACGTTTAAAGTTTACATCCAAGCGAACTATAATAATTTGACGGGCGCCATTTTTCCGTGAAACTGATCACGACGAAGTCACGTGTTTCGCGACTGTGAACTGTATTAATTTTCTATTTACATGTGCTATTCGTACTTGTGGCTACAACTTTCTCAATTGTTTTTTTTGTGATTTTAACACTTGTCAATGTCATGCTTGTGAAGTGTTCTAGAATCATTTTCCTGTACTTCTGAACATGCTGAACAGAATGATTTCATATAATATTTGGTCAGCAGCAGTGATAACACTGATAAGCTGTATTAAATGTGCGAGAAATGCTTTATGGATCTGTCAGACAGAAATTTATTGTTTCAAGTCACACAAGATAAGGGTACAAATGAATGTTTAGCATGACAGTGTTTGCTTTATTGTTTCAGGGATCGTGTTTTTAATGCGCAAATGTAGCAAAATGCAATTTTATCTGGTCCATATGTTCGATGCATTCTGTGCTAATTTATTTTTATTTGAAAGAATAAATCTTTCTTCTGCTTTAGCCTATTTCATAGCTGCTGGGGGCAAGTGTTTTTAGTTTGTGAATTAAATTTGCAAATACACTTCTTAAGATGAAAATAAAGCTTTATCTGATGTATGTTACATTGGCAGTTTGACATTCCTAGATGAACAAAGTCATTTTTTATAATGAAAATCTTCATGTCAACTGAAATAGTTACATACATTTTAAAATCTTAACCCGATCTTGTGATCCCTGGACTCATCATTTTCAAAACTAGTGTCAGAGTCCAAAGATGCATCAAGATTGTAAAATATTGTATCAACTGAGCCTAGCTATAATCATTTAATTTTACAGCAAAAGTTTAAAAACGTGTCTTTTGCTTGCACTTATTTGTCACAGAGACTTAAATGATAAATTATATAGCAGTAGCATTTTTGCTTCTCACTGTTGGACTCCACATTGCAAAAATCCTAAGTGAGAACCCTGTAAAATGTCCCTTTATCCTGTTTTTTTTTTTTGCCAAACTCAGCTTCCTTCTTGAAGACAGTAAAATTGGTATTTGCTGCTTCTCTGCATGAGGTGTTAAGAAGTAAGAACAAAGACTGGTCTGCTTGGAGTTTGAATAATGTATCCAGGTAGAGTGACATGTCTTCCTGCAGACTTTTACCTTGTGAACTAGCACGTTAAAGATTTGGCTCAGTGTGTTGGTCTAGTACAAAGCAGGTTTCATAATCATATCGCACTAGCATGTTCTCGTCAGAAGCAGATTTATGGGGTCAGGGGGCCTAGACCCCCCACCTTATAAAGCCACACATATTGTTAATGCATAGACTTTTTACAAGTCCAACTCCTAATGTTGTCTTGCCAGGCAACCCCCTTTTTCAAAATCCTGGCCTTGCACCTGTACGTTTCCTTTTCCAGGATCAAAAATCTTAATAATAATCTGGAATAATTTTGAATTCTGGAAAATTGAAAAGAAATGTTATGTATGATGAAAACTAACCCAACTAAGAAGAGTTAGCCATGTGCTAAGTTCAGATTTCTTTCACTGATATTTCAGTATGAACTAACTTACCACCATATAGCATGCATGCATGCATGGCTAACCCTCCTTAATTGGGTTAGTCCTCATCATACATGTACAGTTCTTATCAATTTTCCAGAATTTAAAAATATTCAAAATTCAAATAATTCCTTGTTTTTTGTGTTTTAAACCAATGATTTCAAACAGAAGTTTTGAAATCAGTTCAAAATTCCATTTAACATGTTCAAAATAAATATCTTTTATTGAAAAGGGCAAAATCTGGACATGCTAACGATGACTCAGTCTCCCCACTTCCAGTTTGATACTGAACATTGAACCTCAACTTTCAACAATGTCTCATACATGTAGTTACAGCTTACTTTTTTTGAAATACACACCAATTTGATCCATAGTCTGCATGCAAAGCATAGTGTTTGGCCTCCACACTTGAATTTTTGCCAAATAAAATCAACTTTGTTGATAAATCTTGTTTTGAGTTGAATAAGTATGCTGTCAACTCAAAAATCCTAAATCGATTTGCACTGTAAATGTTCTTGTAAAAGTAACATGTTGAAACATGCTGAGAGAAAAAAAAGGAGAATTGAATAAATTAATTTGATGTGGTATAAGGAATACCGGTAAATGAATTAATATTTGTCTTAAAAATGTAGTACTTAGATCTATTAAACTGACACTACATGTACATACAGAACACAGTATTGGAATTGACATTAGCAGTTTTACATTATTATATTCTTGCCCATATGTAAGATTTAAATCAAGTTTCATTTTATCATTAGTAAACACATTTAAACAATTTTTTACCTAAAAGAACCAACATTTTAAATTATTGTCAATGGTATTCAACTAAGAAGAAGTTATATATCTATGTATATGGAAATTTGATATTTAAAGACCTGTTTACCTAATAGCAGATAAATTTTGTATGAGATATATACATTTAAAATGAAATCGATTTGAATTGGAAATAAATTGAATTTTCACATACAAAGAAACAGTTTTATTGGAATCATTTGACAATGTTGACTTTCTTTTCAATAACAGGTAAGAATGATATTTTGACTCTTATATCATCAAATAACTTTTGCACTGAAAACAGCATAAAGATCTCATTTAAAAATTTGAAGTATTAGGTGAAAGCCTGCCCAAACACTTTCTGTATTTGTTGATTTAATGGAATAATTCAATTCTACTATAAGATAAACTGAATTTTAACAAATCTACAAAATTGTATTCAAACCTAGATTTTTTAAAGAAAGATATTTTGTAAATTTTTGCTTGGACTTGTCAAGAACAAGAAAACCTTGTCAACATTAAAACAGACACATTATAAAAAAATAATATTTGATTATGCAATGAAATTAAAAGCTTACGTACATTAAAACCCTTTCCTTAAGGTTTTTATATGCAGGAATACATCAATTCTAAGCTGCTTATCCTATCTACATGTAGATGATGTTTACCTTTTCAAGAAATTATAAAATTGGAAACAAAGTCTGTAATATTGTCAAATGGACTATTGACAGAGATAAAATCTAGTGAAATATTATGAATGATTTTGGATCATTAACATCATGGCATGACAAAACATCATTTGAATTAAAACTTTCACACTAAATATTATTCTGTTACTTGAATGATACAAATTTGTATAATTTCTCATTAAAATAATGGTTTTCACAGTGAGGTACATTAGTAGGGGGGGGGGGGGGGGGGGGGCAGTAGGACCTTTATCGTGATCCGAGAATTCTTTTTTCGAATTTCGGGATGTCGGCATTTAATTTTTTTTAAATTCGGGACCTCGGGATTCCATGTTTTTAAGCCCGGGATTTCGGGATCAGGACCCCTCCTACCCCCCCCCCCCCCCCCCCCCCCCATTAGTTGTTGTTTCATAATTTACTATTAACTAGAGGTCTCTGTTGTGGATTTTTTGTTTAACAATAACCAATGACAATAACTATTTCATTAAAATTGCATTAGATAAACAAATCATGTGACCTTGTGAAGTGATACTGTTGAAGAGTTTGAAGGACGAATTTTGAATTTTATTCCAATCTTTTTTTTCTGTCTGTATAAAGCGAAATTGTTTGCAGAATTTGTTCATTCTTATCAAAACTGTCAGAGACTTCTTACTGGAGTTATTGCCCTTGAATGAGGAATTTTGCCAATTGTTTTCATTTTTGCCTAATATCTTGATTACCATAAAGATAGAGAAACTTTTAAAGCAAAACTGATCAGCAAGACAGTTGAATTTTGCCAAAATCGTTAGTAGACTCATTATAGACATTATTGTCCTTAAATGACAATTTTTTTACCCTTTTTGCGTTTTGGGCAAATACTAAAGAAGACAGAGAAAAACTGCAAACAGATAAAATGATCACTAAAACAAGATCAATAAAAAAGAGATTTTTGTCATGAATTATATTCTAGTCTACAATGTTGGAAAATGTCCACTGTTGAAGATGCACATAGGCCTAGGTGAGTGACAAAGGCTCTTTAAAGCCTTTAGTTTGACATCATGTTCATTAATTTTCAGTCAGTAATTTCATACAACCATAAAATTTCTTAAAATTTGTGTTTTGACTACATGTGATATATAAATAGTAACCTGGGCCTACATACGGTCTCTAATCATGAACATTTGTATTTTGATTTGAATTTGACTAACAATTCCAATCTACCACAGCACTATACATTTATTTTATGTTATTTGTTAAAGATATACTTAATATCCAACCTCTTTTTCTTTTTAGATGTTCCTTAAAGAAAACTGAGGCTGAAAATGGAAATTAGATAGCAAAAAGCCCCACACGTTAACATGGGGGACCCAAGGTTATTTGGTGGTATGGAGGATATTTCCTTGAAGAAACAGCTACCTTTAAGACAAACTGCTCAGAAACCCATGCTTAAGTACCAGCCAGTTGCTAAACAGTTACATGCCTTCCATCAGTCAGATGGTGTTTACTCACCTAATGATGTCCATCATTCATACAGCAATCTCAGTCAGGCATCAGACATGGAACCAATGGTACCAGCCCCTTTTAGGATAAGTCGAACCACAAACTCTGTTACTAGTTATAGACAGGGTGGTCAGACTTATGTTTCACCAAATAACATTGGAAAGCCAGTGCCACCTACAAAAAGTAATAGTAATCCTTATGCTCGTCCATTGAGTGCCAAAGATATTGTAAATGATCTTCAGAATCAGCATTCACAGAAAATTCAAAAAACTAAAAGTGCCGTTCCAGTTAATCCTGGCCAAAGTCAAGTGCCTTTTCCAGTTAATTCTTTTATGCGACCACAAAGTGCTATTAAGAAAGAGGCACCTATAACAAAAGAAATAATATCTAGACTAAATGAGAACAATAACCGTGAGCAATCATCATCATCTAGTGGATCAAGAACTAGTCAAATGTCAACTCCAGTCTCAGAAACATCAAAATCACCAACTGTACAAAAAACTGTCACTTCAAATTTAAACTTAATGAATGGACAGATCACAACAATTGAGACTAATGGTACAACTGTTATTCAGAAAGTAACACCACCTGCAAATTTCAGTGCTCAAATTAACAACATTATCACTAAAGTGACTGAGAATCCAAAAATAATTCAAAATGGACAAACAAAACCCATTATTAGACAAGTGTCTTCTATACCCAAACCTGGAAGTGCTAGCAGTTCAAGTAAATCCTCTACCCCAGAAATGCCTTCGAAAGTTCGTAATTTGAATTACACACCAACAAAGCCTTATTATGAAGTGATGAACCCACCCTCGGAAGACGAAGTAGTGTCAAATAAGACACAGGGCAATAAACCACTTCAGACAACTGCAACAACTGTCACACCTCCAGCTGAACAAAAGCCCAAAAGCATTACAAACAGTAGTGTCTCTGCTACTTATGTCAAAACTACTCCCATTGAAAATAAATCTTATAGCGGAAGCAATACCATTGAAAATAAATCTAATAATGGAAGCAATACAATGTTTTATAGAAAGGGATCAAAATCTGAAGAAATGTTGCATGAACAGCGTCCTCCAGCTGTAGGAAGTCAAACTAAAGCAAAACAGAGAGAGAAATTGGAGAAAGTTGATACAGAAGATGGTGCAGAGGATGAAGGAGACGAAGATGAAGATTCAGTACCTGGGTATGTATAATGATGAGTTTATTCATTTTAAAAGACAGTTTCATTAGTCTTTCTTGGCAAAGAAAATATATATTTTTACATTTGTTTAATTAAATACATATCAGGCCATTCATTAGGAGGTGGTACCCGGTACTTTTACCCTCCTATGCTATTGACAAGTACCGCCTAAATGTAGGAATTTTTATATAAGGTATTCATGGAATAAATTGAAAAGTACCACCTACAAACTGGGAAAGTACCAGTCAACATAATAGATAATGAAACCCCTGCATATACATGTATAGTGCAGAAATTTATCTCAGTTTTATTTCGCAGAATTTGCCTTTTTGAAGTTGTTGAAGTTTGACTACATGATCAACCAAGTTGTAAGATGTTCCATGATAACCTGACATTTCCCACACAAATTAATCAGACAAGAAATATATAATGTGAGTTGTGACAATGAATATTGTGTTCTTGTCAAATCCTCTTACAGTCCAACAAATATTCTGCTGATTCTTTTAATTCTTTTGTCTTATATAAATAGATGTATATATCTCTTAAAAAACAAAAAAACAAATATTTAAATTATTATGTTTAATACATACATGACATACTTTTGTACATGTATGTATTTACTTACATGTCAAACAAATTGAAATATTTTTAATGAACATTTTATTTTAGACTTTCATTGTTGTACCCCCTGCATGGAAAGTTGAGTTATTATTTGAGTTACAAAAATATGTATCTTTTTTATCTGTCCAACATACTCATACCCTGGGCTAGCATTAAGCCTAAGATGACAGTTAAACATTTGCGTTTTCCCCTCTCCCTGTTGAATGATTTCGTGGTGGTACAGATGTTAACAGTACAATGTTGACTTTTTTTCTCTAATGAAAGATTAGAAAACCAAATGTCCAATTGGAAAGGGATTGTCTTCTAAGAAGAACAGAGACCAGATCAAGATCTATACCAAGAATTCAATAAAAAAACAAAATATCAACTTAAGAATAAGATACAATTTCTTATACATTTTGTACATGACGTACATGTACTTGTAGAAAACTGAAAACTGAAAATAGTTGAGCAGCTGTTTTTGAGAAGTTTCATGTACATGATGTATACATAGGCCCACCACTAATTTTTTTGGAACATATTGTATACATGTAGATTCTATTAGACTGTAGTGGTTACATATATTGATAAATATTACAAGTAAGCTTTTGCAGCTACAGGCCCAACTCTCATTTTTATGGAAAATTTTGTATAGATTTCATTGGCCTGTAGTCATGGTAGTGGAAATTCTTTCGAGCCAGATAGAAATTTTACAAGCCTGGGCCTGTGGCCAAATGGAAGACAGCTGGTCAGCTGGCGGGCCTCTGTCTAAGCATGAGGATTGAATTACAGATATATTAAGCTACAAAAAATGAACATGGTACATGATGTATGACTGTTGACACCAGTTTAGCTGAACTTAAGCAAAAAACACTTTATGCCTTTATTTAGTACCCGAGTTCATCCCCTATTATTTATATATAAGAAGATGTGGTATGAGTGCCAATGAGACAACTCTCCATCATTGGCATCAATATTTGTATGATTTACATGTACATGTATGTGACTAAATCTTTTGGATTTTTGGGCTATTACCTGTCGTTTCTTTTTGCCATTTCGTTTTCTTTCTTTCTTGTGGTTTTTAATTTCCACATTGTCATTGATCATCTTGTTTTTTTTATATCTGACATATACATTACTAGTACATGTACGTACAATGTATAAAGGTTTACTCTGTATCTCCCTATATTGTTATGGTGATCTATTGAGACTGCATTAAACAATGAATTATTGTTTTTTAAACAGACTACACAATATGAAATAAACATAAAACAATTCATATTCATTTAACACTGTCTTACTAAGTTTATTTGTAATGTTTTTAACATCAGTATATATGGTCAGATGTTATTGTATCTTGTCTGTGATGTACAATGACATGCATCTCCTATACTGATTTTATAAGGTATATCATATGACTCATTGCATTGTAGAATGCAAATGGGAAATTTAAGTCATATGAACCTAGATTTACAAAGTAAATACATGTATCTATGTTTGGCTTTGAGTAGTGATAATTGTCATAAATTCCAATGAATTGATAGGTATATATATAGATATAAACTTAGTATTCAAATCACATCTGAGGATTTATTAATGTTAAGAATAAATAAAGTTGTGAGAATTTTTCCTGTTTAAATATATACATTCGTACAAACATATGTATTGATCTTGATTATTCCAATTCCTTTCATGTTCCTTCTAAAGTGCACTTTGTGCAATGAATTACAATAAGTTGCACTCTTTAGAGTGACAAAAAATTGGCTAGAATCCTGAGGGAATTTTACTTTTAAAATAAATTTCAGATGTCCATGAAAAGATAAATAAATAACATGTTGTCTTCAAAACAATTGTAGTAACTATTTAGTAGTGTATAATGGTGAGTTATGTGGTACCTAACAGCCTCCAGATGGGACAACCAATAAGGATTACTTATGTTGTCTTTAGGCCTCATCCTCATAAGTTATGTGGTACCTAACAGCCTCCAGATGGGGCAACTAATAAGGATTACTTATGTTGTCTTTAGGCCTCATCCTCATAAGTTATGTGGTACCTAACAGCCTCCAGATGGGACAACCAATAAGGATTACTTATGTTGTCTTTAGGCCTCATCCTCATAAGTTATGTGGTACCTAACAGCCTCCAGATGGGACAACCAATAAGGATTACTTATGTTGTCTTTAGGCCTCATCCTCATAAGTTATGTGGTACCTAACAGCCTCCAGATGGGACAACCAATAAGGATTACTAATGTTGTCTTTAGGCCTCATCCTCATAAGTTATGTGGTACCTAACAGCCTCCAGATGGGGCAACTAATAAGGATTACTTATGTTGTCTTTAGGCCTCATCCTCATAAGTTATGTGGTACCTAACAGCCTCCAGATGGGACAACCAATAAGGATTACTTATGTTGTCTTTAGGCCTCATCCTCATAAGTTATGTGGTACCTAACAGCCTCCAGATGGGACAACCAATAAGGATTACTTATGTTGTCTTTAGGCCTCATCCTCATAAGTTATGTGGTACCTAACAGCCTCCAGATGGGACAACCAATAAGGATTACTTATGTTGTCTTTAGGCCTCATCCTCATAAGTTATGTGGTACCTAACAGCCTCCAGATGGGGCAACTAATAAGGATTACTTATGTTGTCTTTAGGCCTCATCCTCATAAGTTATGTGGTACCTAACAGCCTCCAGATGGGACAACCAATAAGGATTACTTATGTTGTCTTTAGGCCTCATCCTCATAAGTTATGTGGTACCTAACAGCCTCCAGATGGGACAACCAATAAGGATTACTTATGTTGTCTTTAGGCCTCATCCTCATAAGTTATGTGGTACCTAACAGCCTCCAGATGGGGCAACTAATAAGGATTACTTATGTTGTCTTTAGGCCTCATCCTCATAAGTTATGTGGTACCTAACAGCCTCCAGATGGGACAACCAATAAGGATTACTTATGTTGTCTTTAGGCCTCATCCTCATAAGTTATGTGGTACCTAACAGCCTCCAGATGGGACAACCAATAAGGATTACTTCTGTTGTGTTTAGGCCTCATCCTCATAAGTTATGTGGTACCTAACAGCCTCCAGATGGGGCAACTAATAAGGATTACTTATGTTGTCTTTAGGCCTCATCCTCATAAGTTATGTGGTACCTAACAGCCTCCAGATGGGACAACCAATAAGGATTACTTATGTTGTCTTTAGGCCTCATCCTCATAAGTTATGTGGTACCTAACAGCCTCCAGATGGGGCAACTAATAAGGATTACTTATGTTGTCTTTAGGCCTCATCCTCTTAAGTTATGTGGTACCTAACAGCCTCCAGATGGGACAACCAATAAGGATTACTTATGTTGTCTTTAGGCCTCATCCTCATAAGTTATGTGGTACCTAACAGCCTCCAGATGGGGCAACTAATAAGGATTACTTATGTTGTCTTTAGGCCTCATCCTCATAAGTTATGTGGTACCTAACAGCCTCCAGATGGGACAACCAATAAGGATTACTTATGTTGTCTTTATTAGGCCTCATCCTCATAAGTTATGTGGTACCTAACAGCCTCCAGATGGGGCAACTAATAAGGATTACTTATGTTGTCTTTAGGCCTCATCCTCATAAGTTATGTGGTACCTAACAGCCTCCAGATGGGACAACCAATAAGGATTACTTATGTTGTCTTTAGGCCTCATCCTCATAAGTTATGTGGTACCTAACAGCCTCCAGATGGGGCAACCAATAAGGATTACTTATGTTGTCTTTAGGCCTCATCCTCATAAGTTATATGGTACCTAACAGCCTCCAGACGGGGCAACCAATAAGGATTACTTATGTTGTGTTTAGGCCTCATCCTCATAAGTTATATGGTACCTAACAGCCTCCAGATGGGACAACCAATAAGGATTACTTATGTTGTCTTTAGGCCTCATCCTCATAAGTTATGTGGTACCTAACAGCCTCCAGATGGGGCAACCAATAAGGATTACTTATGTTGTCTTTAGGCCTCATCCTCATAAGTTATATGGTACCTAACAGCCTCCAGATGGGGCAACCAATAAGGATTACTTATGTTGTCTTTAGGCCTCATCCTCATAAGTTATATGGTACCTAACAGCCTCCAGATGGGACAACCAATAAGGATTACTTATGTTGTCTTTAGGCCTCATCCTCATAAGTTATGTGGTACCTAACAGCCTCCAGATGGGGCAACCAATAAGGATTACTTATGTTGTCTTTAGGCCTCATCCTCATAAGTTATATGGTACCTAACAGCCTCCAGATGGGGCAACCAATAAGGATTACTTATGTTGTCTTTAGGCCTCATCCTCATAAGTTATGTGGTACCTAACAGCCTTCAGATGGGGCAACCAATAAGGATTACTTCTGTTGTCTTTAGGCCC